ACTAAAAGCACAAAGTATTTAAATAACCAAAAGAAATCATACAATAAAAGTTGAAAGATAATAAACAAAATGATTACAAAAATAGTGGATTGCTTAAATGTATTTATAGAAAACTCGCCTCCAATATAAACTATAACATGATACAGTTTATTTATACACAAAATAGATCCGACATCTTAAAATACAGTAAAATCATTTTTATAAATACCACATATTTAAAAATTACTATTGTACAAGACAATAACTTAATACTTATACCACAACACATCTTCATTTATATAATATAATATATAAATATTGAATATACACCAATTAATTTCTAGGGAAACAAGTTTTTTTTACATTAATGAATAGGTCAGGAAGGTATACATTAAAATACAACTAAAATTATGAAAGGTTCTATTTCAATTATTTTATTTTAATTTTACAGTTAAAGTCTGAACTAGAATGGTATCAATTGTAAAGTGTAATTCTTCTAATTTTTTTTATTGGCCATTTTTGTTAGGTTTATAAAAACTTATAAATTTAATGCTCAAATATCATTTCTATTAAAATGGGTGTAATTTTGAATTAATTTGTATTAGCTAATTTAGAATATTCTTTAAAGTTATAAAAGAGCCATTCCCTGCTATAGTTTGAAGGCGTATTGAAAACATGTGTGTAATCATACATACAAACCACAATCATACGTGTTGCTTTGCTGTATTAAACCGCTAGCGTACACATATTACCATTCCTCGAGTTACTCTAACGAATTTCTTTACCGAATAGCCCATTGATTCGTCGATTGGTTGATTCGTTGATTTCAACCTTCTTTATTGTAACGTAAATGAGATACCAAATTTTAAAAGTCTCATTAGCACTCCTGTTGGTTCCAACAATGTGTATGTACCGAACAACTTGTGGATGAATCCACAAACATTGATATCCTTGACAATTATAATTTAAATGATCTACAACACGCACCCAATCTTGCCCATCATTTGAAACTTCAATGTAATAAGAGTAGCGCCTAAAATATCAAATAATTCAAATAATTTTTAGAGTAGTGTTTGTAAAACAGTATATTAAATGAAATATTAGTAATAGATTAATTGTGGAAAAGTTGTCAAATAATAAAAACAAAATATGAATAACTAATGCTTAATAAACAATGTGAATAGAAAATAATTTTTCATTCACTGATAAATTTGTTTGCTTTACTTATAATTAAAATAAATTGTCAACAAATAAAAATGGTTAGACATCCATAAAAGTCACGAATGTTTTGAATAATTATTCAAATATTTTTTTTTTTAAATAATGACGATTTCAGTATAAAATATTTATAAGTTTAAAACATACTTTTTTCTGGCAATGTTCATCCCATAACGATATTTCAGTAAAGTTTACAGTTTATGGAGTAACCAACCTTATCATATTAGTACCCGAGGTGTTATTTCTAACCGTGAAACCCCGAGACCGATGAATTAAATTCAAATCAGGAAGTGGAAAACTATGAGCCTCAAAAAGTATATGCTCATTGAGTTCTAAAAAATTAAACGCGTCATAAAATAAAAAGTACCTCGAGAGGCGCCTCGTTGTTGATACCAATAATTATTTCACCTGTTGGATAAATGTTTTGCAGCAAACCTTAGACACGCTAAGAAAGACTTTTTTTTTATCCATTATAATATACACCTTGAATAATATACCGTTAATCATAAATCAATTAATATTCAACGGTATAGTTTACTTATCTGTTCTACGATAGGTAATAATAGCTGTTTTGGACATCAAGTCATTTGTTTCCCTTTTTTCGAAACACAACTTTATAAGTTACATCCGTTTTCTTTAGTCTTTTATGAGGGGTATAGGATGGGAGGCGAATACCGCGTATGCTTGTAGGACACGATGATTGTAAATAAAGACATGTTTACGCCTGAATTTCAGTTGAATATTCTGAGGGTTCGCCGGCATCGATATTTTGTAGCTACAAAATCGCTACCCGTGAGTCTTGAGGGGGATTACCGGTGGGAGGGTAAAGGGAAAACAAGGATAAGAATATAATATAAGGAAGATGGCTAGGACAGAAAAGGGTGACTGGGCGGATATGCGGTATTCACATGTGGAGGCGTCAGGAGAAAATTGTATACATCAGTTTTGAAGTGCAATAAAATATTTCGTACACGTTGTTGTATATATCTGCCAGACTTTGGTGGCGAGCGGAGTGTACAATGGGGTTTGCGTGGAGAGCCCGAGAGAAACCCTTGAGTATAAGGGCCAAACCGAAATCTAAAAAACTTGGACGGTCCGAAAGGGGATTTTTATTATTGTACATATTATATATGTATACATTATACATATAAATATTGTTTCCATCCGTATTCAAAGCGCCTCGACCAATGATAATTCATTCGAACGTGTTAAAAAGACAGCTATGTATACGTGCGCGCGTTTGATACACGACCATTCAGCGCCTTTGCCGGCATACACAGGCAATATCCGTGCCCGTGCAATGGCAAGAATATTTATATGTAAAAACTTTCAAACAGTAAAATAAAAACAAAACAAACTTCACTACATTCAGTAACCCGTAATTTATGTGATTTTCCTTTGTAGGTACAAGCAATGCGACTTTTTTTCATTGTATATTTATATACGTACCTACAATATTACACACAACGCACCATGTTGTGTACCGACTTTTCTAGTTATTATTACATACTGTATGGTTGTTGTTGGTTTTTAGTTTTTTATTATTAAGGGGAATATAATACTAAAAACCTTACGGTTGAATTAGATATGTACGTTAAGTTAAAATTATCAAGTGTACAGTAATTTTGGTAAGTACACGATAATATTTCACTATTTCAGGTTTTCCAAACTATTAAGAAAACTATGTTTAATTATTGCCGACATAATATTAGCTAAATATTAAAGAGTCATAGGGAAATCGATAAAAGTAAAAAATAATATACTATTTAATTAGTAAAATAAAGAGTAAAAGATTGTGAACTAAGAAAAATAAATAGTTTTCATACGCCCTAGAAGAAAGGCCTAAAGAAATATACTTAATGATAACAATAAAATACCTAAAATATTCGCTTCGTGAATGAAAAAAACAAATCAATTGGAACGCTTAATTGTAAATTTATGTCCAATGTTGCCTGAAAAAATTCATCCTCTTTCCAACAAAAACCGGTAATTGTAATCCGATTATTCTATTGTGTGCGATAAAACTATCATAATTATATTATTTAAAATACTAAATAAGCAAAAGGTTGAAAAATGTTAAATCGGGTGGATGGATGCAACATACATAAATAAATCATACTAACTCGTCCTAAACATCAGCTGTTTTATTCATTTTATTTGGCATGTTTTGATTTTAAATTATATGGCACGGCCTTCGTCTTCCAAAGCAAGTGGTGATCAAATCGACCACACCGACTTATTGATCAGCGACATAGGCAACCTCTATCAAAGCGGCAGATATGTAGTATTGAATTTGTACCTATTTTTACCTACTTTTTTAGGTTTGTCTTACATACAGTTTATTAATACTATAGCCCAAAATATATTACATTTAGTTAAAATTATAATCAGTTGTACTTGTTTTAAAATGTTAAAAGTAAGCTGGAAGTGTGTCTCGTTTTGGTAATTTTGGTGTAATAATTCTAATTTTATTTAAAGTAGGTACTAAGTAGTACACTAAATAGAAAAATATAATATGCCTCGTTGCTTTCATTATAAAGCAAAATAAATCAAATGTCCTACTGCAAAAAACAACACAAATACGGAAAAATTACAAAAAATATATTATATGAAAAAAACAAAATTACTAAAACTTTATTATGGAATCTTTTATTTTTGGTTATTTCTTATTTTTATGAAATATTTGACTAACAATTTTAGTTATTTTTCATTCGAAATCACCCATTGGTTTCTATCTGAATTGAACATCAACTCGTTCCCACCCTAACTTAATATCGTTTCATCGAGTGACTATCTTTATGTGTGGTCAGTATTATAATTATTATTTTCACATTTCATTTATTGTATTTATTTATTTACATTTGATTCTATTTTGTATAGTTAAATATTTCCTATAACAACGGTTAGGTAGTATATTATTATAATTAATTTATAATTTTTTTAGTTCTAGTAGTTTTTTTAGTTTATAGTCTAACTCATGGGTTCCTAGAATATTATTGTAATTAAAGTGAAGTGCCTCGTTGTTGATACCAATAATTATTGCACCTGTTGGATAAATGTTTTGCAAGCCTTAGACACACTATAAAGATGGACTGCGCGTTCCTATTTCATTATATGTCGGTGAGCAGGATCAACATTCCAGTCATTACTCATTAACTCCTTAAAAGTTAAGGCCTCGTTGGTAAGACAAGACACAAGATGTATTTTCAGTGAAAGCTTAAACTTTTATTTTGTACAAGTATTATTGTTACGAATGATGGTAGATAAAACTGCTAAATAGCTTTGTCAATTTAAACATGATTTTTTTATCTAATAGCTATAACTAGGAAATTATTTATTAAATCTTATCGTCATAAAACTAATGTTTGAAAATGTATTATCACTATTACAGTTACAAACCTGACAGAGCCGCAGAGGCTGTGCGAAATTAAGCCCCAGTAACCAATTCAATAAAATAAATAATTTTTATTTTGTTTAGAAATTATCATATTTTTCATTTTTTAAACTACTTACACACACCTACGAAATACTTCAATTTAAGTAAAAACAATTTGAAAATGGTGCCAACACGTTCACGAATCACGTGTACGGGCTACGGTGTACCTACTCAAAAAATATATACTTACCCTTAAGATACTCAGATTATTATTCACACAAGTTTTAGTTATAAGCAATCGGCTATCTGTAATCTGACATTGAGCATTTTTTTCAGGACATATCAATTAAAACTAAAAGTCATTACAAGTTATTTATTAACAACCGAATTTATTTGTAAATATCTATAATTGGTGCGCTATCTAGTGGTAAAAAAAAGAAGCCGAGTGTTATCAGTTAAAAAGTAAATCTCATAGTGATAAGATTTTGAAAAAAATTCGACATGTGCATTTTATTGTACATAATAATATATTAAATTATTTAAATTATATAAAAATTTAAAAAAAATCACAACAACTTTAGTAAATCAAGTTTTACAATACAAAACAACAATGATTTCCGATGATGACGACGGAACTCAAAACAAAACAAACTTGGCTACAGAAGAATAGTAAGTCACAAAATAACAATATATTATTTGCTTTCTAGAAGATTGCTAAATTCGTTTTCCAATAAAGTTATTTCTTCAAGTAGTTTTGTTCTAACATTTTGTTTTTTCAGCGAATCGATTAATTCTAATTGTTTGCGAAAGCCCAAAACTAATAAGTCTTTTTCTTTCATACATCTATTTAGAGCTTCATCATTCTTTACTAATAATCTTGCATATTTATCTTCATTTTCCTTTTGGGCAATCTCTAATTTTTTAACTGTATCTTTAAGCAATTTGTTCTCATCGATAGTTTTTAATACAGCCGACCTTTGTTTTTCATGTATAATTTGTTCATGTTTATACTTCTTTTCTAAAGCACCCAAATCTTTCATAACTCGATTCAGCTCAGAATCTCTTGTTTTTAATGTTCCGTTTAAAACATCAACATCCTTATCATGTTTTCTTAGTTTATCTTTGAGTAATGATAGTTGATAAGTACATTTATCTTTTTCTTCAATCAGTTTTTTGTTTTCATCTTGTAAACGATCAGTCGCATCATCTTTTTTAACAAGTTCACTATTTAAGCGATCAATTTCTTTCTGTAGAACATAGTTTTTTATAGTTACCTCTTTACTTGAAATAGTTTTCATTTCTTCTATTGTATCTCCATTATCAATTATTTTCATAAATGTTTGAAATTCGGATGTTTTTATTGGTTTTTGTTTAGTTTTTTTGTTCAATTCATTCGGCATGTCATAGCATTCTATTTTATTTTTTATTTCATTAATCTCTTCCATAAATTTTCTGGTTATTTTATTGTTTTCTTCATACTTCATTTGTAGAACTTCTTCATTTTTTAAAAGTTCTCCTTGTTTAAGCTTTTGTGCCATTTTCTTAACTTTTAAATATTCACAAATTTAATATTATAAAAATTGTATACTTATTAAGTATTGGATGCATTAAACTTTACTTACTAATATAACTCACGGTTAAAGCATTTAACCCCATTCATTATTAAAATTAATATTATATACAACATACTAAACTATATTCAATCCTAGGAAATATTTTGTTTACATTTTGTTGCTAATGATTAATGATAACAGTTTGTTGATATTTGATAGCAGATTGTAATGATATTAAATACTACAGTGTGGCCACCAACCAAAAAAAATTATTAAATTCAAAATATTAAATTATACTTTTTGTTTAATGAACAGCTGTGTAATAACTAGAATAAATGTATCTTAAACGTACTTCACTATGTAATAATTAAATTAATGGTTAACAATATGATCCAATGTACTATTTAAAATAATAAATACCTATTAAATTATAGATAAAGCTTGTCTTTTTTGTCTATTCTCATCGTATAAACATTATGTACATGATTGTAATGTTTAATAATTTCAGTTTTTAATAATTTGAACATCATTTGAATTTACCCCTATAAAACTAGATAAAAAAAAATAGTATACAATTTTTTATACTATTTTGAAACTAAATTTAATCTTTGTACTCTTAATTTTTATAATATGATGACCTAAAAATTGAGTTTAAAGGAATATTAGTAGTTTTTATCGGTTAAAATGATATAAAAATATGTTTAACAATAATTATATACTTAGTAGAGATATTTTTAGAACACCAATATCAGTCAGTGATTAGGTATATCGAGAAGGTACTTTAAATGTTATTGAATTTTTTAAAAAAAAGTCTCTTAAAAAATTAGAAAGATCTGTTTTCTAACTATATCGCAAAATCCTTAACAGCGAAGTTGGATATTTTATATTTTTAAAATATTTTTAGGGTTTGGGATTTTTTTGTCATACTACTAATCTGTTAATCATTTGAACGAAGTGGTTAAAATATTAGGCTTATACGAAATCCGAATAGGCAATGATTATAACAAATTCTGAAGAAAATTTTTTTTTTATTATGACATTTTGCGTTTACAATTTATTTCGACAATTATATATATATATATATATATATATATATATATATATATATATACAGAGAGCTCAAGAACGTATTTACAAGAGAAACAAAAACAAAAAATAATAAATATAGATTAACTAAATTGCAAAGCCAGCCTCAAAAATAAAAGAAATGACATAATTAATTACAAAAACATTCGTGGTAGAAAGTATGGAATTTAAAGTTGGGAGAATATTATGAATGTGTAAGAAACGGAAAAAGAAGGAGCGTCTATGGATGAGAGCTGGACACTCAAACAAAATATGAGTGAGATTACAAATTGCTTCTTCGGTATGAAGAGTACAGAGAGAAGAATCATTTAGGGATAATTTATAAGCATGAGCAGGTAAAAGGGAATGGCCGAACCTTAATCGACAGAAATAAACAATCGCACTTCTAGGCAAAGTGAGATTGGTGAACCATGACTCGCGAGGAATGTTGGGAACAATAGCTTTATATTTATTGGCAAAGTTGGCAGGTAAAGTGGACCAGAGAAGAGACCAAAAAAAAAAAGAAATAAAGTGCCAACGTAGGAAGGGAATGAAATCGGACCAAAAGAAAATATATATATATTTTAATTTACCTAGTATAATAGTGTAAAGTTAAAATAGTATAAAATTAAGTGTAATATTACAACGAATATAGAACCGTATTTTAAATTCAATATAAAGCTGGTACTGTATAATTTTTACAATGATGTTTTTTTTATAGTTGGAATGAAGCTTACACGGTAGAACTAGAAAACTTTGAAAACTTTGGTGATCCCGGAGCTGAATGGTTTGGACGAAGTATAGGACAAAAAATGATTAAGTAAGAGTATACAAAAATAATACCTCCAATGAATAATAATAAATTGATAATTCTACCACAAACACTTGCTAATTATAATCCAAGTTCTACGAATAAATACAGTTTATAACTAACGTGTTGTTATACCACAATCTATAAAGTTTAAATTAATTTTGGTTATACGAAGCATGGTACATATTTTAATTTTAAAGCATTAAATTAAAGTTAGATAATGAAAAACAAGTTCTCTAAATTTAGCTGTCAATCATTATACATGTTTTGCATGGAATGGTATGAAATTCTATTATTTATCACCAGCATAATCGTCTGGACAAGTGTAGAAGAAATAGCAGTTAATCATACCGCAGTTGTCTAAATTTGTAAAAATGCTTAAGACTCAAAAAGAAGTTTTTTATTTTTTTTTTCGTTTAAAAATTACAAAATAATAAATATGTTCGCAGCTGTATACAAACTAACTGTTCCGTTGGTCCAGAAGAGCTTATTTTAGACATTGGATGCGGCAACGCTTTACTATTATCCAAATTAGTAATGTTTTTATTTTTATCAGTTATCACAAAGTATAATTCACGCCTAAACTATATTTTTGTATTTTGTTATTTTGTATTAGGCAAAATTGGGTTTCACTAACCTTTATGGTATAGATTATTCTGCTCCGGCTGTAAAACTAGCAAATTCCATAATTCAAGAACAGAATATTAATTGCATCAAACTACAAGTGTTTGACTTTCTTACCGACAGTGTGAAAACACTGCCGTTGTTTAGATTGGCTTTGGACAAAGGCACTTACGATGTGATTGGTATGAACGATGAAAATAAAGAAAAAAGAAACATATACAAGGAAAACATAGTTAATTTATTACAGCCAAACGGTATGTTCCTGATAGTCAGCTGCAATTGGACGCAGCAAGAACTTAATGATCAATTTAGCGATGGTAATGACTAATAGGTTAAAACGATATAAAAATATTTTTCATCTAAATATGAATATATTTGTTTATTTTTTTATTGTTATTACTCGCAGTTTTCGAAATCATGCAAACTATACCGACACCGACATTGCAATTCGGAGGAGCGACCGGCAACACAATATCGGCAATTCTTTACAAAAAAAAATTAAAATAAATTATATGAAAAAAAGAAAAACATTACAACGTACTTTTTATTATAATAAATTTACTCTAACGTGTGTGGTTGAACTATCCAAAACTAGGTATTTTGCGATTTTTAATAATTGCTGTGAAAAATAACGGCGACCACAAATGCCAAGTACGTCGATATCACGGCTTGCATTGCGCCTGAAAAACGGATATTATCGTTGGTAAACCACGGAGACATGTAAAAAAGGGTCTATGCTTTTTTTTTTTGTATAATTATCAATATACTTACTACTACAGGTACCGTCGTCTTCGGTGTAAAACTCTTCCCTGCATTGACACACTTTAGTATCTCCCACGGTCAGGTTCACCTCGCATTTGGCCAGTTGGATGCATTGAACATCCCGCTCGCAGGGCTGTCCCAGCTCTACCGAATGTGTTTTGGTTAAAACGAATAAAACAAAAAAACATTTGACGACCTAGCGTTTACCTTGTGGTTGTGTTATGCAATTTTCGTTAATCGGATGTGTCTGGTCAGCACACAAGCATCGTTTCCGGTGGTCTACCGGATCTTCGCCGCACGACGTCTTGGGCCACCGTTTGCAATTGCTGTCGGTGGTACATTCCATCTTTCTTATCAAGTCTGCAAACGATTTTTTTTTTTTTAATGACATTTTTGTACCGTATTTGAGCATATTTTAATCCTTTTACGTTTGATGTTTCCCACGACGACTCCCCTGCTGTATCTGTAGTGTGGCTCGCCGCTCGTCTCTTCTGAGCAGCACACCGCGTAGATTAAGACCGCAATCGCGCTGACGCCGGCCATCATGCTGGTAGCACGCATTTTGGTGGAATGAGCCGAAAAATGAGCTTTACCAACAAAGTTTCTCACCGCCACACCATAAGAAGGTCGGTTTTGCCCATTTCCTGCCGTGCAACGCCCACGCCCAGCGGCTATATTTTATTACTATATAATGTTTTCGCATAATAATTCCATTTTGGCCGACGTGGCTGCACGAAATCCAAACATTTCGGTGAAACCTTGAACCTCGTTTGACCACCACCCACCTCTTGCCTGGTACCCTGGTAATGTAGGAATCGCTTAAGTGTGTCTATATACGTATAGGGTACCGCCCGAGCAAGATAGCACACACGAAACGCGGTCGTATGGCGAATGAGCTAATAAAGAAAATGAAAATTTGGTTATTTCCGAGTGCCTATAGTTACCCCAGAGAGCGTGCCAGAGGACTATATACAATTTCAATACACGCTACTGCGGTGGGTTAAAATAGACATGTCACGTGTAAAACATTGTATAAGTACATACTGAGGTAAGTACTGTCTACCCGATGGAAAACAAGATTTTCCAAAGAAATTTCATCGACGACATGTTCTTATTTCTGACGTCATACACCGTGGGCCAGCAGGTCGCACGCTATGCTCTTAAACTTTATCGTTTTATCGAATGTGCACTTCCTTCTCCTCCCTCCCTCCCCCCCCCATCATTCCTCTCAAATCGTGCAAGGTTATAGATACGGTTTTTGAAAGCCCCAAAAGGTAGGGCAAAGAACGAGTAGATTTTTTCCCCTTTGTTTAGTATATTTAACTTTATATTTATACTTTCAACACGCAACGATCTAATCGCAAGCGTAATATAATTAAAAAACGCGAAACACAAAAAAAAAAAATTCAACAGCGCGCCTGTAATACTTTCATTGTAAATATTAATACATATTGTAAACAAGGAAATTAAAAATATAATAAAAGTTTTAGTAACCACAGCATATTATTAAAAAAAAACCTGCTTGTTGTTATAGGTAGGTACCACTAATGTGTTGATTGGGACTTGGGCTCGACAAAAACCTTGGCTTTCCAATGAAATTGTTATTTTAAATTTCTAGTCCGGCAAATGTTCCTAAGCCGTTTTTACACCAATGTTGCAAGTACTAATATTTTATCCTTATTAGTTATTAATTATTATACAATCATTTTTAGATTAATCTTGTCGCCTTGTATTGTTCACAGTTTGACTTCCAACCTCTTTACGCCTTTGGTTCATAACCTTACTATTGTTATTAACTTGATAATATTCGTATGTATCCATGTCTGATTTGCTGCTGATGGTGCAAAACGTCAGCAACAAATCAAAAACATGGATAATGATTACATCAGAATATTGTAAGGTCGATAATATTTCAATCCATGCGAAAACTTAAACACATTGACTATTGTTTATTTCCTGTAAGCTCATTGTAGATTTTTTTTTTGTCTTTACATTCGACTTTTTATAATAATGCGCTATTTTTTAACCCAACCTATATTATTACTATAATTATCACTGAACTCTGGTCATTATTTGCGGATTATAAGTTCAACTGAATGACACAAGTTCAATACTGTTACATAGGTACTGCATTTTAAACATTGTCTATCCCTGGTTAGCACTTGGCAGTAGTTAGTACCACCGGTTGAGTTAGGCGAAACCATTAGGCTCTAAACATTTAAATCTAGATACGAGTAACATTTTGGGTTTCATAGTCATAGTTTCATTTCAATTCGCATTTTTACATAGTGCGGTAAAATAATAAAGTTATGATTTTTGTGTAATCCTAAATGCTTTAAACGTTAGCAGTCGGTATGGTAGATATTAAATTTTGAAAAAGACAACGTGACAAATGACTGTAACACACATAAAGAAAAAACATAGTATAAAGAGATGTGTATTTACAAATTCTAAAAATGTATATCTGACTCGAGAATATTGTCAGCTTAAGGTGTTGTATTACTAGTATAACCTACGACTTTCTAAACTATTATGTGCTCACCCAAAACGAAACCAAATTCGAGCGAAATTATATTGTTTAAGTTGAAAATGTTATAAAAGAAGTATTTAAAAAAAATAGATATGAGACGCACACAATATGTATTTGGTGTCGAATTGGCGAATGTACAATCATCCATAGGCGCCACTAGAAAGGTGCTAGGGTGACTTAAGCACCCCAGACCCAAAATTAGAACACCCCCCCCCCACAAAAAAAAAAAAAAAACTAAACCCCAATCCTTTGATTTGTTCGCATAAAATTGTAATAATCTACATACTCTGTTTAAATTTTTTTATTTTACAATATTTTATTGTAAATCTAATGTTTTAAAGATAAGAATTATTATGTTTAGTCAGGCATACATTAAATCCGATTTTTGTTTTAGTCAAGCGGGTAAAATAATATAATTATGCGTAGTCCCGAACGTATTGAATTTTCATAGGTAGGTACAGATAGTTGAAACGAAAGATATTAAATAATAAAAAGAAACTCTGTGTACACATTACATGAAAAGTTACACATAATCATTTTCTGTACATTTCACACGGGATTTATGAAAAGTTCGATATATTTTGTTTTGTAAAAAAATCAAACGATACAGCGCAGTTTAAAATAAACCGTGTTAACACATCTGTGTGCATAACTAAAAAAGTATATCTGATTCGAGAATACCGTCAACGTTTGATATATTACTAGTAAAACCTTAAAAATAAAATCCGAGCGAAATAATATCATGAGTTGAAAATGATTTGAAAAAAAATAACAGATACATTATGTATTTGACGTCGGATTAGCAAATGTACAATCACTTGAGTAAGTTTCGGATACATCCACGTCACTAGTTATATGCCGACGTGTTTCGGACTCTTTGCAGAGTCCATCTTCAGGGCGATAGTGGTCTCGGCTGTTCAACTGTATGGTAACTAGTGACGTGGATATATCCGAAACTTACTCAAGTGATACATCAATCCACGAAAGTTTTAACGCATTCATAAATGTACAATCACCAAATAATGAGTAAAAAAACCCTAAAAAAATGGTTTGACTAATAATAATAATTAGTAGAGGTAGTTATTGTTTTTGTTATGTGCTATTGTTTCCAATTATATATTAATCCATAAAAAATTGAATTTTAATTTTTCCACAATTGTTTACCGCATTTGGTAATATATTTCAACTTTGTACGAAACAATTTAAGTTGGTCTAACCGTGTAGTAATAATTTATAATATGTTTCGGATTATAAATTTAAAAGTGAAAAAGTATAGCACTAATGTATGACAATATAGAAATTCAGTCTTGATATTAGATGATGACATGGAAGTTTATTAAATATATGTAATGGTGTTGCAATACACAATTGTTTCTGTAAAATTAAAAAAAAAAACCTTACACGCCTCTTCGTTTTATACAACAGATATACATGTGAATTTATTCTTTAACTTGTGCAAATATGCAGTTTTAATAATAATATCACGTTTATAAATTCAATGACAATCATACTCGATAAAATAATGTACTTGTATAGTCAATTCTATATAAAACAGGCGTTTAAATTCGGTGAAATTCATTCATTTTGCCTCACAGTTTAACTTAATTTTGTACTTCATAGAATATGACAATGTTTGGCAAGTTGTCTATTTCATTACTATAAAAGTATAAAAGTATCCTAGCTGCTAGCTGTACTGAAACATACCCACCTGAACTTTCAGCTGCATCCAAAAGTGAAACCGAGGTAATTTATATTATTCTTTTAAAACTATTAGGTAGGTTTTTGTCAATAATTTGCTGAATCATTAATAATATAAAAGTTTTCCTTTATATCTATTCTTATCGAGGAAACTATTATTATTTTTGCTTAAAGCCTAACAATTAAAAACTCTTGTCATAAGTATTTATAATCAAAATAAGTTTTTAATATTGTTGGTTAAAAAATGGTTTTGATATTCGATTTAAATTAGAATCTTAATTTAATCATCTAAGTTAAATTCATTTATATAATAAATTACTATAAACTTAAAACTTAAAACTTTTTTTGGCCCAAAAATTTACTAATTTCACTACTCTGTAAACCATTAAATATTAAGTTTTATCACACTTTGATTTAATAACTATGTATTGGTATTTGTAAATCTGAACGTAATAAATAATGTAGGATTTATTCTAAATAAATTAAAAAATTTGTTTAAATAAATTCGGCATAATTTTGTCTAAGCTTTACTTAAGTGTTTAACTTTGAACTAAATTATACGTGTGTTATTAAATAATGTATAGACACATTTGTATATAATTTAGTAATTTAACTTCTAAATCATTAAAGTTTATAATAATAGGTAATTCGTTTTTAGCTAAAGTATATTTCTGTTATATTAGTAACCAATAAAATAATGTTTAAAACTATTTTTAATTTTTAGTTTGGGTAATAAAACGTTAAAGCTTAAAGACCTGCTACTACAACTAAAATATTTTCTAAATTAAGTTTTAAAAAATAACCATTTTTTAGGTTTATTTTTTATTTAGAAATTAGTAATACATTTTTTTATATAATTTTCATTTAATAAAAGAAATTTCCTTCCAAAACAAAAATATAATACTAATCATATCTACATAAATAAAATTCATACTTTTATTTATAATAAACAAATAAAAAAATTCTTAATTTTTTTATTGCTATTTTATTAGCACATATTCAAGTCTATGCTTTATAATATAAATGTTTGAATTTATATTATAGAAATAAAACCTGAAAAATATATGACTCTTTAACTAGGGCTAGGTATTTTTCACACGAAAACCTTATTTTCTTAGTCTACATTCTCAGTCTTATTAAAATTTTTAATAATTTTATCGTAAAATACTTATAGGTATTAAGCGTTGAAACGTTTGACTATGATTTTATCATTTTGAAGTATAACATCCTTTTCCTACTTAGTTCACTGTACTATTTTTAATTTTTAGCCGAGGATTTATCGTGAGGCTTAGTATTACTTAACCTCTTTTACTTAAATTGTTATAACGTTTAAATATTAAAAAGAGAAACTACAAAATGTGTAGTATGTATTTTTATTTTAAAGTAATAGCAGGTTTTTACCCAAAGTATACATTTTGTAAGGTATGATGATTATAGTTAATCAGCGATAACAAAAATATAATATTAACTTTTCGTCTTATCTTATCTTAATTTGGTATAAAAATTCATCTTAGTGACCATTGTTTTCGATCTTAACCTTTCAATGCTCATTTTTATTTTCAAAACATATTTACTGATTTCTCATAATAACATGATGGTAAATTAAAAAAACAATTGAAACAATAAGTAAGTATTGTTATTACAAGTTTGAATAGTAGCTGAGTAAGTTGAAACTGTTTTATAAAGAGTATGGATGATGACAAATATATATTTTTTTTATTACTTAAGTGCACCGTCGTTTAAATATTCGTTTGGCCTTCGAATAATTATTTAAATAAGTTTATTAATAATAAGAAATAGCTGAAACCCATATAATCCTGCAAAAATGAGCAATGTGTTGTTAGTTTGTATCACTGTTGTTTCACATAATAAACATTTGTATGCTTGTAATAATTAGGTTAGGTACATTAAAAACGTATTATTACATAATGATAAAAATATTAAATATTAGGTACACCAATATTGTAATTAATACAATTAAATATAACTCGCCGTGTTGTTTGTGTAAAATATTAATAATAAATATATTGTAAATATAAGATTACATCGGTACTTAATAATTCAGTGGAAAAAAATTAATGAAAAAAATTGTGCATAAACTTTTTTCTACATCAGTAAAGACGACTCTAAGGTAAGCGTTCATTCCAAAACCAAGAAGCAAGGACTGTCACCAAGATGGCAGCGTAGTTGAAAGTCAAAAGGCTGGCATCTAAAAAAAATAAATAATTGTTTAACATGAATTCCTAATATAACATAGTATAATATTATTGTGTATTATAACTGTTATTTTTTTCAATTGTTTTACTTTATTTTAGTAATAATTACCATTACCGTATCAATGTGTTTTTATCCAAACACGATTTATAACACATTATTATTATGACAGTAGGACGTAGGTATTATAAAAAAATTATAATGATTGAGTATTGACATAACCAATATTTTATTCGTTTTCTAATTCAATTTTGTCCATTTTCGAATACAAAACTAAAAACCTATGTGGGTATATTTGTGTAGGCGATGGTTGTATGTAGTAACTACTCTGAAAATTACCGGAAATTTAAACATATATATGTTTTTTTTTTATCATTGTACTGGCTATGGCGTACGATATAAATTAAATAATATACCTAACGCTTATGGGCATGTCAAAATATCGAATAGACGGACAGCCACTCTATTAAATATATAATAAAAAAAGAAATATATTGAGAACGGGGCACCTCAGGTCGATTAATTTTACTATACCGAACAGTTAAGCAGCAAGCCGGCGTAACGTGGGCGTAGTTTTGAATGAAAGCCGCTTTAACGGTAGTTTTCCGTGTCTGGCGTTTTTTCTTTCTAAATAAGTAATGAACCCGTGCCAAAGAAATCGGATATAACGAATAAAAGTGTCCGGTGTTTGACGATAATTGACAACACATCATAAAAAAGAAAGCTATCAATGTTTTTTGCGAAATTCTATCGTACACGGTTATTGGAAAAAAATAACAAATTTAATCAAATACTACCTAAGGAGGTTAAACATTCATTTGGTTTTTGGCGATAACGGCCTTATTTGACGGTCGTTCGCGGTTGAACTTTTTAATAGGAGTCACGCAATCCGAACAATAACAATGACGATTGGCAAACGGTCGGTTAAAATTAATTCAGCCCAGTTATATTTATATATTGCCATATTGGTTTTGCGTTTGGGCTTCTTGCGGTCGACGTTCAGATCAATTAAACTAATTGACGCGCCCACTACATACACTGCAATAAACGTTAATCAAATGTTTGCCGTTGTCCGTCAAGTTATAGAAACAACTCTAAATACCTGTTTGCTTGAACAAAGGAGTTTCCTGTTCCGAAAATAATTCAAATTGAATATTCCGAAAACGCCCACGTGCCTGACAAAAATAAACACTATTACACGCAAATTATTCGTTAAAAATACTATTTTGACAAACCATCACCACAGAAACAACAGAAAAGAAACTATCCAATTTTTACATGGGCTCTTATTGGACGAGACAAAATCATGCCCGACGCGGAAAATGGCGACAACATTGTTGTCGGCGTCAACATTTAGTATATGAACAGTGTAGCCATAAGTCACAGAAAAAATGAAAACAAGGAAATATCCGAGATCTGGCAACACTGGATAAAACTCAATATGTCTGACCGTTTTTTGATAAGCTCCAAGATTCCCTTCTGTTTATTCTGTATCATCACCGCCCAAGAAGAACTAGGGGGTGGCTTATGGCTATAGCTGTTGTTTTAGTGTGACGCAAACAGAAGGACTAAAAGGCAGTCTGCTTAGTAAGAAGAAAAAAGTGATAGTTAAATAAATCGTGGTGATAAGATTTAAAAAATGGTACTGCACTATCTTGAAAAGAAGCAATCATATTTTAAGATAAGTGGTAAAAACTTATTTCATCATATTATAGAGTACCAACCGTTTAAACAGTGAAGACAATTTTTTCTTTTTTGTGGTAACACTGGTTTTAGTCCTTCTGTTTCATTCACTATGACATACACGCTAATATAGTATTATGCTATAGTTCATCTCTTAACATTATTACTCTATAATATGCTAAGACAATAATAAAAAATATTTATAAACAACGCATTTTTCATAATCATTTTCCAGAAGAATATTGAACGGGATTTTTATCAGATGCAAATCCGAATAAATCCAAGTCAGCGTTAAAACTTTAATCTTAGTGCATCCTAAAACATATTCTGGCTAAAATCCTATTCAAAACTGTTCTAATAATTTTTTAACAATTTTGTGGACATGCTCTATTCTGATAAATGCCGCCGTCCAATTTTCCATATTAATACCTACCGAAATTTTTTGTACTCGCGAATAAGATTGAAAGTCAATAATAATATATTTTACTACTACCACATTGGAGGGGCGTTATCAAAAAGGTAAATAAACCTTCTTACTAGTATAAAAATATTATAGTCTCTAAATTTCAATTTTTTTTTTTAGAACTAAAAATATGTGTGACGAAATCTAACTAATAGATGAAAAAATTAATCTATGGCAGATAATTATCAAAAACTGTTTAATGATGTGTATGCTGCACGTCAATTACCCAAATGAGTTATATAATAACTGGTATTAAATAACTACTATGAAAAATATGTTGTTATTGTTTAAATCACAATATTGGATTCGAAAAAATAATTATTTATAAATTAAAAATTACAATTGCAAGCCTCGTTTTCCTCGATGAACCCGTCTTTACACGTGCATATCTTTAACCTTGGATTCGACGCCGTTCCGTTTTGCAAGCAAATAGCATTCGGCAAACACTCCAAGTCGGTCTCGCACGATGATCTCAATGCTGGAACAAAAAGAGGCCCTAGCAAAAAGTTAGTGCATAAAGGCTATTAATATTTCATCCGAATGTAAAAAATAATTGTCGGACGATCACAGAACATCAAAACCAGAACTCGACAAAGCTAGAATAATGCGTTTGTGTGGTGGTGAACGACTAAAAAAAAATATAGTAAATTAAAGATGCCAATGGAAACATTGATTTTTTCATTTCAAAAAAGTATTATGTAATTTGTATACAACGTGTAATTATCACTTAAAGTGTAAATTTAGTACAAGGCAATTAACTCGTATTAATTGTAATGTATTTGTATATATGTTAATATAGGCAATTAAGATATATATTTTTAGTGCTACCAGTTTACATAAGTTATTATTGTGTTTTTAATAATATACGCTTCACTCGTGGTTTTTTTCAATGGTTATTACTTATTAGGTATCGATTAAAAGTTATAGTTGTAATAAACTAATTAAATATTTAAATAAATAGCCTGAAAGACTGTCTGCTGTTTTATGCGCTCATTGCTGCTGAAATACATGTACTCTATAAAGAATTATGTTTGAGGTTATGGGTTTATTTAAGTATGTAATTATTTTATGATATAAAACCACAAGTGTTCCTTAAGATTTTTTTCTAGTTATAGTTTTTTTTGGTCTATTATAAATGTATTGGATTTTCGATTCCTTAAAAGCCGTGTTGGCCCTATCAAAGTGCAATGTCGAGACAACAAAAATATTTTCAGAAAATCATCGACCTTATATAATTGTACAAATAATAATACTCCATTACGGTGTATACATATTTTGATTGTTTTATCCCATTTAAATGTGTATAAAGTCTATGGAAATGTGTTGTTTTATCTTTGCAGTGCATTTACATACACAAACGGTTTTCACAAGCCAATGTCTTCGTACAAAATACATGTATTATATTCGTTTAAAATTTAAATAAAACAACACTGTTGATACCTCTGGGTTTTTTCAAACACTCTCCGTTACTCGGTTGTTTGCCGTCCGCACAGAGACATCTTCTTTTTCTGTCAGTCGAGTCCACTGCACAAGAAGTGTAATGTGTGTCTAGACAATCCGAATCTGTACTACACTCTCGAATGGCCGCAGGAACTAAAAAAAGTAAATTTCAAACAAGTAAAAAATAGTATTAATATTTGCCTGCGAGTCAACTTAAAGACGCTCAGCGGTTAGATTAGCTTAAGGCGCACTGTGTATGCAAAATGTCTACACCCATGTACACCGACAAATAGTTGATAATATTTCGTAGTTTTTTTTTCACGGTGCTATCATAAAACGTATAATTTAATATATTTTTTTCAAGTCGAACAAAATCGATTGTTTATCAGTGTAAACTGATTTATATTATTATATACATAGCAATAATGTTCATGTTCTGTGTTTAATACAAATCCTAAACATTGTCGTTAGCCGTGGAAGTTTTATACTGTGTGACAAAATAGTTTTACGGCTAAAGGTCATCGACTAACCATGTGTAATTCGACTGTTTACGAGAAATCATTAATTACTATTGCTCATACCCAACACGATTAGGTATAAGGTGCATGTAATATAATATTATGTTGTTGTGCTGATATTGTAACGTTTTACTTATTAACGAAATGTCATTGACGTGCATCTATTACTAGCAAATAAAAAGAAAACATCATTATCTGTATAAGATCATTTAATATATATACGTCTGAGGAGCAAACGTGTAAAAAACGTTATCTACAAGTGCTCTTGATGTGCAACGGTTTAATAATAATATTTCTCTCTTTCGTTTGCTAACAATCCAATTTATCTAAATAACGATTTACTCTCAATTACATATAAGAAAAAAAAAATTGATATTTATCATTGCCAGTAACCTATTACCCATTTTTGTGTTAACCTTTGTACCATTTTCGCGGTTATAAACGCTATTTCGCAAAAATAACATCATATACAATAACGTTTAACACAGTGTAATATGTATTGTATTAATCGTAATTAATTATATTTTCGTCTGATTTCTATTGCGAAACATAATTTAATTAGCGATAGTCAACTAATAATTTATAACCTGTCTATATATAATATCGTACATCTGATTAGTTTAAACAAAAACCGTAAATCCGTCTCGCCGCTCCTTGTTTCATTTGTTTTGTGATTATTCGAACCTGAGGTTTTTGTCCGAGATGTACAATAACAAAAATTATTATAATTGATTGACATCGAATTTCCACTTCTTATTTTCAATAATTTAAGTGCCATAAGGCTATACAAAGGATATTTCACAAATTGTAGCTATGGAAAAAAATATATTATGTGTTTGACTGATCACCACCTCCCAACCCCCTTGCTATGAGTCAGTAGGTATGGACGCTACCACATACAGTTTGCTGTCACAAACATTGTGGTAAATCGATATTCGATACCTGATCATTAAGAACGAACGAAAAAAACCCAAAACTAATAACGTCGAAAAATAAATAGTAAAAACCTTTTGAAAATTAAATATGTTGTACATTCATCGAGACAGTCGGCCGATATAATAATATATATTTATTTAAACTTGTCAACTCTGCGTGGTGAACATTTTTAATAGTTTTCTTTATTTAGGGTCTTATGGGGTAGATTTGATTAAAAGTAATTGAAAACAAGGCCGATTTAAAAACAAAAAATAAAAGGGCAGTGCCATAAAAGAATAAAATTACATTGAAAAGTTTACCTATTTTCTATCATAATATAACATTATATAAATGTGCATTATAAATTGTTCATACCATAGAATACCACCATTATTTATGTACCATAGAATTATTGTATATTTTTAATCGCTAGTTTTAAAAAAAATTGAATTTAAATTTACCTCAGGAACTTAAATTTTTGTTTTTTAAAGTTGTTGACGTTTTATTTTTAAACACATTTCATAACGTTCGGAATTTTGATAAACAAAAAAATATAACATACTGTTACAAAAATATAAACATACTGTTAACCAAAAAAATATTGCAACAACCGTTAACAATTTCATCATCTGACCCTTTATGTAGATACCTATACATATATTTTAGTTACCGCGATATCAAAAATAAAACTGCACGTGCAAATTAAGTGATTACAATATAATATGATAATTTATATAAAGTAATTTTAGGCCGAACTTGATCTTTGGCGAGGTCATTGGTCAGCGGTTAATTCAGACGTCATCTTAATACATAAATACCCATCAAAAGGGTAGACCTTTAACAAAGCGGTATATATACATATATATATATATATATATATATATATATATATATATATATTTTACCGTTTCTCATATTTATATACATTTTTTTCCATTACTAAAAATAATATAAAACAACTAGGTACAGACAATACTTGACTATTTTTGTTTTTTCAAGTGAAAAACGCCAAAGTTTATCTCTATATAATACACCGCCGGGGGTTAGTAAATTACACTGGATTTCATGTCTTATAATTTTTGCAGTATTTCCCGTGCACGTACTCGGTCATTATAATATACATGTATATACCTACTAGCTGTAGTAGGTGTGCAATTATAAAAAATATAAAATGTCATGTATAAGCTTGTTGTTATTGTTGTTGACGTGCTCGGCGAAGGCGTTAAACAGTCCGTTCTTCGATAGCGTGAGCAAATGCCGTAAACGAAGGTTTTTTTTCTATTCTTTTTTGCTCTCCGTTTTCTTCCTCTCTCTCTCACTCTTTCTTTTTAATTTCCTATTTAATGCCCGAACACGAGCTTTGATTGTAACAATATTGTAGTAATTATATTTGCACTGCCGGCCGGATCAATATTATTATAATAGTATAACAACTAGTTTTTGCACTTGATATTTTATTTTGAAGGTTGGCCTGGAGTTAATCCGACCGCAACAGCAGTAATAATAACAATGACGAATAGTAATATTGTTATTATTCAACTCGGTAACAACAGCTAGGTGTACTATTCTCAGGTTCTCTACGTTTAGTTCGGAAAACTCGACTCAACTTGGGCTTAACTAATCATGTAATCAGTAGTGATGTTTTACCTGAAATGTTCTTGCTTTGCGTGCTACCGAACGTGGTCGACCACCTCTTGTGCCTGGTGGCCGTGGCCGCAGCCGCCGCCGCCGACAATGCGGGAAGCTCTGTGTCGGGCCGCCGATGCTGTTGTTCCAGATGTCCGTAAGGTCCGACGACGGCCGCGGACGCCATCAGCGGCGACAGCAACAACAGCGCCGCAACACAACGGCGGACAGGCTGCACCATCGCTGTATTGGCCATGGTCGACTGTCCGGTGTCGCGCCTGAATAACGAATGCGCCCGTCGACTGGCTACCGCCATACGTGTATATCGGTTGCATGAGTTGTGCCCCTGCGGTCCGTCGTGGGTTCGACCAGTGCGCACGCCTATCAATAACGCATATATTTTTCTTTAGTCGAGTTTTCTTTTTAATTTTTCTTTCTTTTTTTTTCTAAATCACCTAAACACGCAAACTGATTAATGTTGTTTTATTATATCTCGTGTACACGTACGTACACACTGTTCGGACGGGTCAGCACCGACCCGAAAGGGTATTCGATTCCTTCCTCTCAACCCCTCTCTCCCTCTTTATAATGGTCAATGAAGTGCAAAATTGAAATTTATTATTTACGCAAAGCCTTCTCATGAAAGGTCACACGTCCAGACGTGTACGCGGTGGGTGTTTTTTTCGTTTCGTTCTACAATATTGCAATTATTATTACGGGTATTTTCTTATGCAAAAACTCGTGTTTCGTTGTTTTTTTTGTACCTATATTGCCATGGCGGTATTTTCATAGCAAGCAGACTCGTGTGTAGACAATAAATAAATAAGTACACATGCACGAAACGTCTTTAAAGGGCCGTAACGCGATCGTCCGGAAATTGACCTCGTTTTTGGTAAATAAATAACGAACCAACTATAGATACGGCCAGTGGAAGTAACTACTTGTATATTATGTCGGGTACGATTTCATCATTATTACTCACACGGACATAAGAATTGTACTCGCGGTAAGAGCGGGCGGGTAGGCCAATACACTGGGTGTAATTATATTAACAACGTTTACCGGTCAAATATATATTATATTGAAAAAAAAGGCCGAAAATCGCGTGTCGAAGTCCATTCGTAACTGGCCCGGACCGAGCCAACACTTATCATGAGCATATCGTCGTAGTAAATTATACTACATTTCATGAAAAATTAAATGCGCCTATATTGTTATCGTTATCATTTCTTCCTTTTAACCTTCCCAAAAAGAATATGCTCCGACTTTACCAAAATAAAACTAGCACCTAACTACCGACTGCGCTTTCATACTTGAGGTCACTATTAATAACAACAACAACAAAGGCGTTCCCGGTAGGGGTGTGGTCCACGAGTCACGGATAATATAAAGGTGTAACGAGTAGAAAATGTAGATTAGCAAGAATAATGAATATTGTACTTGGAATTAAGTATTTGACCCTAAAAAATAGTTCAAAAAATTAGAAACGTATTTTGCAGTGACACTATAGGTTTGTTTTTAGTTAGATTTAAGTTCAATTAAGTATCAAGCTTTCTAGTTTCACTATAACAAAAAATAAAACGCTCTCTGAATAATATAATTTTTACATCAGTATAATGTTATCTCACTTGTTTACTTTATTCAAATCAAAATTAAGTACAGTAAAAGTTGAGAAAATTACATAAAAATCACTTAAACCTAAGATTCACAATATACCTAAGTATTATAGATAATATAAATATAATATAATTTTGTTTTACTGGTTGCAGTTTTTTATGTCTACCAAACTCAAGTGCACATCAATTAAATCAATGCAATTACTACTTAGGCATGTTATCTGCTGTATGACAAGTTCTCAATATAGTCTATAGTAGTGATATTAGATATAGGTGTAATTATTATTAAGTTATACCTAGGTATAACTTAAAAAGCGCAACGACCAAATTATATTGTTTTATTATTTTGAATGAGTAAAATTATAAATTACGCAAATAGGAAAAAAGTAATTATATAGTTTAACTTGCGTGTTCGTGTGCAAGTATTTTGTCCTGCGCATACTAATAACCCTTTTAAATAAAACTTCCTAAGAATTGATTAAAACATAAATGTATAAAAACCTAGTATGCAAATAATTTTCAATGTCAACTTTTTATTGTGCACATTACATTAAATACAACATTTGCACCGAAGCGTTTTAAATGAAAGTGATTTATCATAATAATTAGACACCATGTAAAATCCAACGATCACGTTTTTTTTATTATTACACAATATGGAATTATATGAAATGACCAAATAAACAAAACAAAATAAGGATCACGCCTGGCCTTGATTTTTATTTGTCTATTTTATTCGTCTTAAGTTTTTAGGTTAGTATAATTTTTATAATGGAATTACTAGTTTTACAAATTCGGTATAACAACTTGAATAACCGAAGAAGAAATTAAATAAATTTGAGCTGACTCCACTTGACTTTCATACCACAACCTTGTACCAATGTAGTACAGTGCGGATCTAATGATTAATCTAATGAATAAGTAATATCTTTATCAGGGTACCTAGCTAGGAATTTTTTTTTGGGTAGGCCCACTATAAACCATTGATAAACAAAGTTATTAATTATTAATCTTATTAATAATTAATTTCTTTATATATATATATATATATATATATATATATATATATATATAGATCATTTTGGGTAAGCCCGGGCCTACAAGGCCTACCTACATGTTATTACAACTTACTCTTGTCGTTAGATTATTTTGAAATAACGCAAGTTTGTCTTAAAAATTATTGTATTCAAATTTAAAATATTTCAGTAGTGGAGCCACTTGGAGGAGGTATGCACTTTTAATAGTTTAAAATGATGGTAAGTGTATTAATTAGAAACCATAACATTGGTTAGGTTTGTGGTTAGTATTTTAAAATACAAAAAAGAGTGTGGCAAACGTTAAAATAATTCAGCCCTTTTTGAAATTACGAAGAAAACCTGTCGGTACTGTACTAATTTTAAACCTTGACACGCTTTTTTTTTGTTTTTTGTGAAAATATAAATAAACCTCACTTTACTCACGGTCCGCGATCAGTGGAAGTTATTAAAAATAAAACTGAATTAAACAATTTTAACAGGACCACAGCGAGTATATAACAGCATAATATATTATATTATAACGAGTAATGTTAGGAATTTTTTTATTTATCACTATTACCAATAGCGAACCCACACTGCAGCCGACACCAGTTTTGGTTGAATTATAATATATTATATGAAAAAAAAAATAGCGATACACTAAAAACGAATTTGGTCGGATACGAAAAAAAAAAAAAATTAAAATTGCATTACAAAATCATTTCTCGAAGTTGCGTATTATTGGTTGTAAATCTGTCTGGTGACCTTCACGTCGCGCCGACGAAACCATCTTGCACCGAAAAGAAGTAGTACCGAAAAAGTCCTTGAGTAGCTCATTAAACACAATTACCTTGCAAGTCCTAAGTGTGTCATTATATGTGTATAATATTTCGAAATATTGTGATGACAATAACGGTACAAGTTCAGCAATAGGTGTACGCGCTAAATTAATACACATAAAAATTATTAGTCGAGAACGGCCATTTAACAAACACACGGGCAATAAAATTAATGGAACGCGTGTAGGTATCGTTCTCGGCATAATAATATAATACAAAATGTTCATACTATGTTGTACAAATATCACCAATACAATAGCAATTTAAAGTTTCTGAACTGGAGAATAATTCAAAAATATGTGTTGGTAAAATTATTATTCCACCAAACGCATTTCCCTGGATAAATAAAAATATGATTTTTCCTCAATACCAAAACTATAAAATGTAAGTACACACTTGACGAGAAGGCATTTTGCCGGCTGAACACCGCGATCTTGTTGATACGGATACAAAATTAACAGTGCCCGTGGCATTTTTTTTTTTGTAGATCTAAAATAGGTACCATTAAATAATTGTACTAAAAGCAGATATTTTATATGATAAGAAGGTTGTATTATTATTAATAATCGGTGGTACAAACTATTCAATTCTTGGCTGACAATTGTGTGCGATTGCCATGCCATGTTTATTTATTTAAAACAATTTTTTTTTCAATAACATGTCATAACAAATTAGTGTTACATGCATTCTAGAAAAAAAATTGTATTTTTATTTTCATTCTTAAAAATAATTTTATATTGCAACTTATGTTAGGAAAATAAGTAAACACATTAAATAGAAATATAAAGCTACACAATCTTTATAATCTGTACAAACCAAAAAAAAAAAAAATGCTTTTGTTTTGTCTAATAATAGATAATGATATTAGTTTACAATCAGTGTAAATTATTTAATACTATGCTGTGAATGAGGTTTTAAACAATAAATAATTAGCGCTATTCATATTGCACTTATTGCATTCTTTATTTCTAGTCTTAAATATTAAATTATTGACTTAAAATTTAAAATATTTTACTACAATAATATTATATTAAGTATAAGTGTCTTTGTATAAGCACTTACTTTACTGAGATATAAATTATAAATTAACAATGTTGTTAAAGATATTTTTCAGGATGTCAAAATAAATATGTTAAATAAGTACTTCAATAAAAATCTTCCCATAAGTTTGAGATCAGGAAAGATTTATTTATTAAATTATTAGTCATTTTGCATTGAGAAAACTAGTGGATTTATGGCACATCTCATTATTTATCTAATTAGCGGTTTGATAAATTTTGAATTGTGACATTGTAAGTTAGATAATATTTTTTCATAATAAACCAAAACAAAAAATTATTAATTTAACACATTTTCTAATTTCATTCGTACATAATATATATAAATATATTTTATACATGTATAATTAATCAAATAATAAATTTCAATAGGTAATTTGTTTTTTTTGTAAAAATTAAAATTTTAAACAAAGCATAAAAATACAGTAAAATTTTCATTTTAGACTATCTCTACTAGTACTTTATTACACACATATTTTATTTTGACTAACCCTACAGTATAACTAATAGGCCTACATCGACAATTCTTAATTTTAAACAAGCTAACAATACTCGACTTGCTTATAATTAAAAATAAATTATTTAAGCACATTCATATTGTTATACATAAAAATAAAAATAAATTTTTCTTAAAATAGTTTTGTTAAATAATTTATTGCCCGACTTAATCATAATAAAAACCGTTAGTAAAACATTTTTTTTTTAGTAATTCAGAGATGAGGATGACAAATTTAAACAGTATGTTTACACAGTATTTGTCTCATTTACTTTGAACTCATTTTGTAAAACAGTCTTCATTGAAAAAAAAAATCATAGGTATATACAATAATAATAATAAGAAGAAGACTACAATCATGTTGAATGAACCGCAGCGGATAGGCATTCTTGACAAAGATTTAGATGTTGACGTTGGTTCCATTCTTGTCTTTCACTAGCTTGTTGTACTCTGGAACGAGCTACTATTCGAGCACTATGTTTTATAGCCATTTGTAAGGTATGTCTACGATTCAAACGCTGTACACAAGATACGCATAACGTTAGAGGTAAGCCATCAGAGGATTTGATCTGAAACAAAAATTATATACCACTGAATTTATTAGTTTTAAAATACTGAAAAGTATAATTATCAGAATGTTTGAATAGGCGAGTAACGACGGCAATACAATAAAGAGGATGAAATATATTTTATTATGTCAATAACATACTGGAAGGTCGGCTACGTAATTTGAAATACTAACAAAAAAAAGGTCATTGTTTGTGTCTGATGAATACTTAAACATCTGAAATAAATTATTTAATTTTTGAATTTCTTTTTTATTTGTTTCACATCTTTTACTACAAAACATAAACAATTAATTGTGTCTAATGTGTTAGGACTCTTTCACACGAAATACCACAATATAAAAAAATCTTGCAGTTACCCAAAAGTCGAACTATGCCCTTATGCACCGCAACATACGTTTTCCAATCAATCAATCACAGTGCCCATCAAAAGAACACTTATGTTTAGTATACAAAATACTATTTAAGCAATAATAAAGTAATTGTCCTTTAATACTTGAGTTACCCAATGACATTTTAAATAATCATTTCAATTAGAACATCAAGACTGATACAAATGTACGCACAATTTATAATAAACACATTATATTATATCGGATTTAAACAAAATTACAATGATTTTAGCTAACTTATGTAAATTAACGCAATGTGTATGTTTTTTTTTTTAGATTAATAAACAATTCAATCCATAGAAATACATTCTCAAGGTCAGATTTCATAAACTCTTGACACATTAACCATTGTCTATACTTACAAAATAACTAACTGAATTTATAAAAATATATGTATATATGAATAAATATCATTACATAAAGTGATACATTTATTATAAAATTAAATTAATTTAAAATTATGTATGAACTCGAGAAAAAATTGAATATAATATTTAGCAGACATTTGCATAGGAAAAATAGTATAAAAAAATATACAATTTTATTAATTTTGTTCCATGATAAATATATGAAAGTTACGTAAGGGGTGCAGAGAGGCAGCAACTGGTTTGATTTTATTTACATTAAAAATTATAAGTTAGCATAACCTAACCTAATATACAGCTGTGCATAAATCACCCGAAAACGAAAATTGTATCAAGTAGAGGAAACATTTTTGATAGTTATACTTCAAATATTGATTTACATTCATTGAATTTTTCTAATATTCTTGATAGCTATATGAATATTGTTTTGATTTTGAAGAGAGTAGACTATAGGCAAACCTTGGCTTACTTGGCCAGGGTCGTAGTTTTGCCTAATCCATCTGTAACTGACAATAGCTACAATGACTATGAGTGGTTATATTGCAATAAATGTAATAGATTTTAATGTTGAGCATATTGACTTGTTAAAAATTAATGGGACTGATACACATTATTTCAATATTTATTTCAGTATCTCTGCCCATTCACAAGTTTGAAAAAAAACCTTAAGTAATATCAAATATTTCATACTTAGTAAATTTAAACTCTTGTAAAAATATTAATATAATTGTACCTTAAGTCTACAAACATTTAAGGCTAAAATATATAAATATTTATTATTCCAAAAGGCTCTTATTACTTATTATATTTGTGCATGTTTTTACCAAAAATGTATACATTATGTATTACTATTATTATGTGTAACATACATACTATTTCTTATATTTTAAGTTTGTTTTTACATTTTTTTCTACAAGATGGAATCGAGCAAGGCATTTGATTTGGGCAAGTTCAATTAACCAGAATGTCTGAGATGATCAACACTGTCATGAAAAAAATTACACTTGTCACCCTATTGTCCCTCTGTACTCTATTCAGATTATAATGTACCTACTATTTTTTTTTTAACTATTTTTTTATATTTTTAATTTTCTGATAGTAAATAAAAATGGTTTGATGTATTACTATACTGTGAGCTATAACAATAATAGTCAATTTCAAATTTAGAACTTTCTTAGGTTTTGATGAAAATTAAACAGTTACTCTTATGCTAATTTTAGTAATGAATGTCAAAATTAAAAGTGAGGGCAAGTATATACAATGTTGTAAGGAAATCTAATTTTTAAGATTAAATATTGTTAAGGAAATTCCTGCATTTTGACATGTAAGTCAATTCAAAAAAGCATTTATACTATAATTTAAATTTTAACATAAATTAAGCTTTTAACAATGTATTATTGGATAACTTAACCTTTCTAGTGCTCACGTCTTTGTTAGTTACACCATCACTTATGTGGCAGCAATTGCACCTCTCTCAATCTTACGTGGGAAATTTGTAAAAAATATTTTGGTATTTTCTATTATTTTGAAATTAGAGAATACCGGTTGGTTTCGCTAGTCTAAATTCACGCACTTAAGACATCGCATGTTTTTTTTTTTAAAAGGCAGTGTAAAGGTTAAAAAATAATGTATTCAAAAATTGAAAAACACGTTTTAAAGTGGTTTTTCTTCAATTATTCAATAAAAAGTGAACCATAATTTTTGTAAGTGACATATTAAGTTTAATTTCCAAAAACTGTGATGATTTTAGGAACTATGATGAATAATATTTTTTAAAAATTTGAAAAATTTCGAACAGCGAGGAATTTTAACTGCATTTTTGCCTAACTTAAATTTAGGCCATCACTACTAAAGTTGAGCTAAACTCAACATCTAGAAATATAACTACCTATATAGAACATTTAAAAATATTCTTAATATTTTAATTGATAGAAAATAATAATTTATTTGATATTTTGAAATTTTGCTTATAAATACAGAAATAACATTAGGTAGTAATGTTTTAAAAGTTCAGTTTGCTTTCATTGTATAACCAATTTCTTATCCTTGACTTGATTTTGAAACCAATTCATTCAATTTAAAATATATCCAAATATGTATGTAATATCGCAGTTAGGTCAAGGTAGCAAGTAAACCATAGAATATTCGCAAAACAATACATTTTATGTTATGAATATTAATATATTGCACTATTTGTCATCTGATTATTATTAGGTAGGTATTTTTAATTAAGTTAATTTCCAAACACTATAAATTAATTGAAATTTCACAAGTCATCAATTATTAGAAAGTACAAAAAAAAAAAACAGAAAACTCTACTCCCAACTCCTAAGAACGACTCGAGTTGTAACACTTATATTTTTTTTTAATTATTCAAAGATAAATTACATTTTTCAACCAAAAAACATTTAAGATGAAAACGTAATAGGTAATACATTTTTTTTTTTTGGGGGAACTCGAGCATCAAGGCTATGCCGTCCTCGACGCCTATGAAAGTAACACACTTTTAATAACCCTGAAAAAAATAGTTCACCGAAACAGTTGAGGTCAAGGTTGTGCCGGAGTAGAAATCACACACACGAGTCGGACAAAAAGCCTAACCCGACAAGACGAGCGACAACTACCCCCCCGGAAATCGCAAACCCCGTACTAGCGAAATGAGCTGTTTTCCAACACATTACACCACACGTTCGTATCGGGTGGCAACATCAATCTAAATCAACAGTCCGTGATAACGCAATACACGAGCCGAACACATAGCTCCTATTACTACACACGCGCAGATTTCATCATCGCCGTCTCGTTTCGAAATAGTAATGAAATCCAATAGGCCAACAATGGCGCGGTAGTAGTTATACCCATTATTTATTAATAATAATAAACACAATATTCGTTTTGGGCTTTCGCCACGGCGTTCACGACGTGGAGGCGCTTGCGGGGGCGGGCCGGGGAGGGTACGGCGGTTTTCGAAAAAAAAGAAAAAAAAAAGCCGAAATACAAATTTGAAGAAAAAAAAAACCCCGTATCGTCGCCGCCACCGCGGCACAGTCACATAACACCTATCTTACCTTGATGGGTAGGTAATCTCGGATCTTCTGCACCAAATTGTGTTTTCTGCCCAGTTCGCCGAATATGTGTATCACCCGTCTGTCGATTTTCGAACACAAACGACATATGAAACCGCAACGGACCGCGTTGTTCACGCTTCCCATTTAGACGACGTCGTCGGTGTCTGCGGGCGCGAACGGAGACGAACACACTGGACCGGGGAGACGAAGCGACGACCTGACGGCACACACGCAAACGGCGACGCGATATTCAGCTGCCGTATAGCAAACACCACCGTGTCGTAGTACACGTACCGGGCACGGAAACGGCGAACGCGACCAATTAACTGTTACTGACAGTGGCGCGGACGCTAGCCGAACTTGTCATTCGGAATTGAGAAAAAAAAATTAAAATAAAAAAAACTAAGGAGGAAAGCGATTACGATGTAGCTGCTGATCGGTGTGCATGCGTGCGTGTGTGTGTGTGTGTGTGTGTGTGTGTGTGTGTGTGTGTGTGTGTGCGCGCGCGTATGTGTGTGTGTGTGTGTAAACTGTAATGTAATGTATGTGTATAATATACTATACTATATACGTGCGTATGAATGTGCAATCACACGACTGATACTAGCCGACAATATGAGATAGGTACCTCATAGCTGCTGTTGTCCGCCGTCCAGCTGTTACTACCAACCTAGCATATTATACCGTGTCGGTGTTCACGCCATTTTTCACGCACTGCACCAACCGACATAACCTAACATTTTCAAACGATCATTATTTTCCCTATCACCATATCAGCAGCTCGGCTCGGCTCGCGAATTGCGACAAATTGCGCTCGGTTTGATACTTAATAGTACTTTTTGCCTTTTTGGGTTCGGGCTTATTTCTTCTAGTATGTACGTCGAGTATTTTTGATTTTTGTTTAGTTTCTATCGGTTGTTGTTGTATAATATTTTAAAAAAACTGTTCAGTATCACTGTTCTTGAATAAGAAAATAAAGTCTGAAAACAAAAATGAATTTCCCATCATGTGTTCATATTATTTTCTAGATGTCTCATTGTGAGTAATGCCCGAAAGGCGATGGCAAGAATATCATTGTACTCATTTATAATTTGTATTGTTTTATAGAGACGTTTTAGACAATAATGGAAAAATCGTGGTCGTGACGAACGAAAAATTCAATTTCTACATCAAGGAAGCACTAAAAGAAGTCTTTGGCCAGGTATTTTTTGTTTGTAAACATTTTTTTTTCTACTTAAACAATCTTTGTTATTGTTTTCATTTGCCAATGAACCTATACAGTACATTAACATCACCCACAGACATTTAAATCATGTACACAATTTGAATGAATGTTTTTTTGTAAACTAACTACATATTCCTCTGTACAAATAGGTTTAAATTTACAGTATCTGTTTAAAAATTGTTCTTTCCTGTTTCATTAAACATAAGTCATTAATTTGTTAAGAATATTCATGGGTATAAGAGATATCAATGTAGATAGATGGTTCAAATTAGATTAAGTTGTATTTTTTTAAACCTAAATACAAAATTTATATTAATGTTCAACTTACAAGTATATATATATATATTACAGTACCTAGTGATTTTGTTTTATAAGGTCTCTTAATAGTTTAAAATTTGAAGCTTGAAATAATTGTGCAATTAAATACTTTTTATTATTATTTTTTAAGCTTTGGTAGTTTTTTTTTGCTTTTTGGTTGGTTTTTAATGTGTGTAGTGCAACATGTGCTGTAGGTATGAGCCGTTGCTTAAAACCCTGGGTGGTCATTCATCTGGAATAAAGCAGCGACTGATGCAATTTTACTTCAAGTTCATGTGTTATCTGAAGTACCGCGTACACCATGCACCTTTTTTTTTTATCTTTTATTGTTGAGGAAGTAAGAACTTTTCTCGCATTACTTTCCCCAATTAAATACTAAGGTAGTAGGGCATTAGGCTAGTGTGAGGGTGCACTAATTTATTAACCATTTAAACCTAAAAAAAAAGTTTCAGTCTACTTAAGCCTAACTTTGTTATAATATACGTTTAAAGTAGATGCTCTACTTTCGTGTCATTATTTTGTGTCGTTTTCAAGGTAAGAGTCCAAGGCTGAAGCATGTTCCATGCAAAAAAATATGAACTAAAGTAGCTAAAAAAATATTTTTTGAACGAAAGATAGTATTTGTATATATTTAAAGCCTATGTCATTGATTTCTGGCATGTTGTTTATTATTGACATAATGATAATATTGATTTATTTTATATTACAGTTTGGATTAGGCATTAATTTCAATGTATTGAAGTTTGATTCTGGCAGAGGCATCATCCGTTGTCCATCTGCATACTACGTAAAATTTCGTGGTGCAATTACACTATTTGGCAGATCTAATAAGTCCACTATCAATTTCAACGTACATCGGTCATCTGCCTGTTTAATATCATTTATCGCTGACGACACGTCTTACAAACATGTCTCAAGTGTTTAAAGACGGTAAAGATACAATCATTTTTGCAACGAAAGAAGACCATCGGTCGCCCAGCAAAGTAGAACTATCGCCCCCAGAACCATCACCAGGGTTGATATTTCCAGATGGTTCGATCAATTGGAATTGTCCATGTTTAGGAGGAATGGCAACTGGGCCCTGTGGCGTCGAGTTTAGAGAGTCTTTCACGTGTTTTCACTACAGTAAAGAAGAGCCTAAAGGAATGGAGTGTAAAGATAAGTTTACTGCTATGTGGGCTTGTATGGATAATTATCCAGAAGTCTACAGTGCAGGAATGAAAGATGATGAAGAATTTGCTAATACAGAAGAGAACAAAGATGATGACAAATCAGCAAGCAGTTCCCAAATAGAAAACCAAAATCAAGAAGAAAAATCATAAACTTGTTAAATTGTTTAATTTAGAATTTTTTTGTTTCAAATAGATTTTTAGTAATATATAAGTGTTTTTAATTTTATTTTTGTTTTATAATTCATTTTTTAGACAGTGCCAAAACAACTAGTTACTTCTATGAAGTAAAAAGAAAACAATAAGGACTATTTAAAAATTATTGGTTTCAAAAAATTAGATTTAAATTATTTTCTATGTCATGAACATAGATAATTTAACATAGTATTTTTCGTTCTATATAGTAGTTATAGTATTGTCCTAATGTGTGTTAGACAAGGATTGAAATTTACATAAGAAGCAAATTTTTCTTTTTGGTCCTTGATGGCGTTTTCAATCCCTGGTATTTAGAATAATAAATTTTGCATAATTATTCACATGTCTGTAACCAGGAATTAATTAAGTTAACTTCAGGTACTAATAATAAAGAAAAAGTCAAAACTGAAATGTTAATCTTAATTTTACTAAATGTTTATAGTCAGTCTTTGAAATAATATATTTTTTAGAACTCGACAATTTTATTATCTAAGACATAATTAATTGTAAATTTAGTTTCACTCCTTTTATTTCTTGAAATGTATATAATTCATCGTTCTCGCTTGGAACTTCCCCGTTGCCCATGGACAAATAAAATAGTATTTTAAGGTATCGCTTATCGAGATTTTTCGCCTCTCAATTATGCCCAATAAATTAATAATAGTAAATTATTCGTTCAACAATAAAATAATTGTCATGAAGTTTGATAATTGATTTAGAAAACTACGTGGAATTTCGACGTCTAGAGTTCAAAATAATCACTTATTAAAAAAGCGTCCCAAAATATTATATTGATTCGTTGCATAATGCATTGAGTATGTAAAACGTTTTTTTAAATTTCATTATTAGAGTTAAAAATACATTGGGTAGTCTGTACTAATATTATATACAAAGGTATGATAATTAATAGGTTATAATTTAAAAGTGATTTACATACAATTAATCTGGGGAACTAAATGACAATTATATTTTCAATGTTGTTATTGGTAACAAATAACTGTTATTATTTATTCTGAACAATTTTGATTTTTATTCCGTTTCAAACCTTTGGCGCTATCTATTAACTATTCAACGTTTTTCGCAATTTTAATATTAATAAATTATATAGTTGTTTTGTCTCGTTTTTAATTGTATGTAAAAAAATAAGCATAGTTAATGAATCTAATTTTAGTTAAGTAACATAATAATATTATTTCAATGAAAAATTAAGATAATATTATTGTTGTGTTGTGGTCGTAGGTAAACAAACATAAAGTATAAAGCCTTTTTGTTATCACTTATCATTAATTGTTCACTTTTATCAAAATATCAAAATTATAAATATGTATTAATTTTCTGTATTGTAAGCGCCAACTCCAATTCAAAGCGGTTTTGTCTTATGTTTTAATAAATTGTATTGTAAAAGTATACTTATTCAATCATTTATTTATTTGTTAATGGTTAATTATATCGGTTAATGGGTTATTATACCATCAATCAATTAGGATTGTTTAAAATAATTATGCCGAATACGTTTTTGCTTGTTTTCATTTTTTTATACTAGTTACAATTTGTAAAATATAAAATAATTTGCCAAGTTTAAACAATAAAAAAAAGTTATATTTTGCAAAAGTAAAAATGGATGACGACTACGATGAATATCGTCGCTGGGATGGTGATGTCGATGTTGAAGTAAGTCTAATATATTTAATATTTTATTAGCTTCTGTATGTAAAGCTGAGACGATATGTTTTTTGTTTTTTAAGTATAATACTAAATGGTTTAGTTTTAAAAAACCTTACTTTTAAGAAAGTGCATGTTAAATATTGTTTAAAAATTTACTTTCTTATTATTAGTTTCATACAAACAATATTTATAATATTAAACATGAGTTTTTTACAATTTGTTACATCGAAACTGTTCAAAGAATATTAAGTAAATTATCTTTCATCTATTATAAAGGATTGGATCTTGATAATTAAATATAAGAAAATATCTTTTAATTGTAATTAACTATTCAAAAAATATACAAATGTATTTTATTCCAGTTATTATTATTACTTTTTTGTTTAGACTGATGATAATGATGATATACTAGAAAATCCACAAGAAACCTTAACTCAATGTTTAGAAAAGTTTAGTAGTGCCGATTATATAATGGAGCCTGGAATATTCGCACAACTTAAAAAGTAAAATTTTGGTTAATTTTTTTAATTATTTAAATAGTTAATTATTGTGTATTTTAATGTTAAAATTAACTTCAAAATGTATAGATATTTCCAAGTCGGTGGTACTCCTGAGAATGTAATTGAATTATTATCAAAAAATTACATTGGTGTAGCTCAAATGGCAAATATGGTAGCCGAATGGCTTTTACTTGGAGGTAACAAATCTTAATGATTTTTATGAATGTATATGTTGTTAAAATTTTAAGTTCTCATATGGATAACATTTTATTCAGGTGTTGCTGTTGGTGAAGTGCAATCATTTGTTGAAAACCATCTCAAAGATATGGTGTTAAAAACATTTGATCCCAAAAAAGCTGATACTATATTTAGCGAAGAGGGAGAAGTAAGATATCTTATTAAATATCTAGTAGCTGATTGTCAATTTGTATTTGTTTTACCTTAGACGCCAGCGTGGTTAACAGAAATGATAGAGCATAAAATATGGAGATCGTTAATTTATAGATTAGCCGAAGAGTATCCAGACTGTCTTATGTTGAACTTTACTATTAAGGTACACTTTTCAATTTCTATATTGTATTTAAAATATTATACAGCAGGGATCTTCAATAATATTTTTTTGTGTATCAATGTTGTTGGATTTTCTAAGTACTTAATTTAATTTTGCAATGTTGGAAAAAAAAACAAAAGAGTAACTGTATCAATTTTGTTTTGTTGGTTTTACGGAGTATACCATAATTTATACATTTTAATTTTAATTAAAATATCAACAAATTTTACTATAAAAAATAGCCAAAAAAAAAATGTACGTTATTATTACTATACCAAAGTATCAATATCATTAAAAACCCAATTATTAATATTATTATATACAGGGTGATTCATTAAGAATAAGACACTTATTTTCTCGGAATATATTAATATTTTGAAAAATATTTTTTTCAAATATTTTTTGGTACACATTGTACTATATTTTTCAATATTTTGAAAAAAATATTTTTTTATTTTTTGTCTACAAATGTATGTAATTAAAAATAAATGTTGCCATTTAAAAAAAAACTTAAATACCCCCTTTTTGGCCTTCAAGGATTGGTGATAACAATTTTCAAAATATTGGAAAAAAATATTTTTCAAAATATTAATATATTCCGAGGAAAATTAGTGTCTTATCCTTAATGAATATAAAAAAATGTGGAATATGCTAATTTTATAGTTATGTGTATTATATTTTTATTTATTAATAGTTAATATCGGATGCTGGCTATCAAGGTGAAATTACTAGTATTTCTACTGCATCTCAACAAATTGAAGTTTACTCTCGTATACTGAAAAACTTCATCAGTGAATCAATAAAAACATCTACTGAAAAAAGGCATAACACAATACAAGAATGCGCTGTAATTAAGATTTTTATAATTTGTTTAAAAAAAAAGAACAATTTACCTAATGTAAATAGTCAAAAATAAAAATTGTTTATTAGAATCTCAAAGATAAAACTGAAATAATTTTCAGTTTAATAAAAACTTATTGCTATTACCTTTTTTTATAGAAGTTTTTTTACTTAGAGTTATTTAACATTAACATTTTTTTTTTTCAACATAGTCTGAATTTTGGACTACAATCTTTGTTTCGTTACGTGTACAAACAATATAATAATTAATTTAAATTTTACAGAAAATGGTTTGTCATAGTCAACATACATACGTCTTTACTTTAGTAGCTCTTCAGGTTTTGGCCAAAGAATCTAATGGAGGTGTTAATATGAAAAGATTTGCTCAAGAAATTACTCGTTGTGCCCAAGAAAGGTAATGTTAGATGGTTATAGTTTTTTGTGTTTACCTTATTTATTTTGATTTACATCTTTAGGAACGATGTCACTCCTATAACTATGGCATTAAACGGTGCCGCTCCATATGACCAACCTTGTGCCGCATTGAGCTCTATGTTATCCAGAAACGCTCTAAATCCTGCTGATATTAGTGTACTTCATAAACACTATTCATCTGCCGATTCTCCTCCCGTCAGTTTACTACGAATACCACAATTTCTCGGTGAGTTTTTCTACCTTATATTAGCACTCCGTACACAAATTACCAATGAAAAACAACACTTCAGCTTGGTTAAACAAAAGGCTTGAACATTGTCATTTTTCATCAATATGTTATTTCATTTTAGTAGTTTAAGTATAATTTAAATGAATTTTAATTGTGTTTTATTTTTAGAACTTTTAGTCCAAGCATTATTTAAACCCGGTATGAAATTAAATCCAGAGTATAAACCAAAATATATTTATCTGTACGCGTATTCGGCAAGTGTTTACGAAGTGACTTCTGGTAAAAAAAGGAAAGTAGTTAATAAAGACGATTTGAAGTCAACAATACAAGCTGTCGATAAGGTTCATAATATTTGTTACATGAATAAAGGATCCACCGAGTTGATAGCCGAAGTAGCTACTATCTACCAATGTATTAGGTAATGTTATGGTCTTTTATTTTTCATTCTCTTATATTGATGGTATTTATTTTTTTTTCTGTAGATATCCAGCGGTTGCCGTAGGCCTAATTTGTTGGGTCGAATACACCGTAATGGAACCAAGTTTCTTTAAACTTTGCACTGAACATACTCCTACCCACTTAGCTCTTTTAGACGAAGTTGTTACCTGTCATCCACAATTACATAATATCATTCTTAAATTATTTGTATCACTCTTTGAATCTAAACAAGACGAATTAGAAATTTTAGTACATGTAAGTGTGAACATGCAAATGCTAATTTTTAACATATTTATATTGAAAATAATGTTAAAAAAAATTGCAGTTGGAAATGAAGAAGATGTTACTCGATCGTATGGTAAATTTGTTGTGCTGTGGATGTGTTGTACCAGTTATTAAGTACATTGAACAATGTTGGCATCGTGGCGATACTGATATATCATTAATACGATACTTTGTTACAGAGGTAAAATTTTACCATACCTATTTACCCGTTTTTTATTATTGTTATAATTTTTAGGCTCTTGAAGCAGTTTCACCCCCTTATTCGGTTGAATTTGTCGATTTATTTTTACCTATAGTTGAAAATGAAGAAATAACCGGTACCATGAGATGCGATGGTGATAACGATCCAGTTTCAGAATTTATTGGTAATTATTTTTTTGTTTTAAATAGAAAAAAAAATTAGTTTCATATATATTTTTTTTTTAATTAAAAACAATTTTTTTTTCAGTACATTGTAAGGGAATGACAATTTAGAGGAAAATATAATTATTATATGAGCATTTTTTGTTTTTCAAAATTGTTTTGTATAGTTAATTTATATTTTTAAACTGACTATAATTTAAATATTTTTATCATTATATAACTCTTTATTTAAAAATTATTTTGTTCACTTATGTATTTAAAACATAATTTTGTAAATAAATTAGTCTTGTATGGTAACAAATAATTTACTCACTTTTGTGTAAAAAGTTTATAGTAACAAAATATACAAAATTAACTCGATAATATTTTTTCAAAAATATTTATTGTTACGAGTTTCATTTTGTAATATAAAGCCGATATTTAGGAACTATATTGTTTAACAAACAAATAATTAGTTTTTTTAATATACACAAAAATAAGTATACAATTATTTGAATCAAATAAAGAAAAAGTATTTGACATTTGCTTATTTTATAACTTTTCCCTATTTATGTAAAAGTATTATATTTTTTTCTCTATACTTTATAGAAATTTCTTTTCCCTCACCTAAAATAATTGAATAGATCTGTCTGATTGAGGTTATTTCCAAAAATACTATTCTCTGAACAAACTGAGTATCACAATTTAGTGTTTACTTATAATAGTAGATACCCTGCTTATATATTATAAGGATTTAATCATTAGTTTCCCACAAGTAATAAAATTGACTACAATATATTAATTTATAAACAATTTAAATTGTAATTTAATAATAACTTCTAAAATACACTAAGTAGCGTAAAATCTGGAATTCATGCAGGGGTTAATTATAATAATGTAGTCGACAATCAGGTTTAACAAAACAAACTAAATTAAATTTTCTTTTTATAAATATAAAGTTATTACTTGTTAGATAAAGTAGGTATTCTTTAAAATTTAATATTTCTGAAGTAAGTACCATTTTTTAAGAAAATAAAATTATATTATGCTTTAATACTTATTTACTTACATAATATATAAATATGAATATGAATGTTTAGAATATTTACAATTTATAAGCAATTTGTATCTAATCTTCTGCATGCTTGACTCTTGACAAGGCAACATAGGAGTGTTTGGTTTTGTCATCGTACCATCCAATGGGACCAATTTCACAGTCAGCACATACAAGGTATTTCAACCCCGATTCAACGGGTTTCGAAAAACCAATATTGTCAAACATATACATATCAGGTACTAGCCAGTAATCTGACAACAGTTCACATTCAATAGATTCACAACCTTTCCTTTGGGCCATGTGTGGAAGATTAAACTAAAAAATAATAGTTAATTTTGAAATTAATACATATTATTTTAAAGGCAAACATATTATACATCAATTTTGGTATGCTTTCCCGTTGAAGACGACAGTATCTTGGACGGACATTTAGTACAAAAAACGGTAAGTTTATTAGTTTCTTCCGAAATCAGATGGTCAAAGTTATTTTTTACTTCAATAACTTCAGTCATACTGTTTGGTTCCTCTCTTGAAATTATGTAAACAGTTATAAGGTACAATGAGTTATCGACTCGCCAAAAACTTCTTTCGCGTTACGCTAAAAAACTTTAAAGATAATTGAAAATAAGTAATAACCAAAACAAACTTGAAGAAAATATGAATGTGTTACACTTCTTGGTTGTTTCAATATTGCAATGTTGTTATCAAATACTAGCTCTTAGATAATAATCCAGCATCTCAAAATATAATGTAATACAAATTTTGCGGCACTATAATTTTGAAAACTTGATAATAGCAAATTTGTATTTAACCAATGATAGTTAGAAAAATACATAGGTATGTCAGCAACTTGTGTTATCAATTTGTACAACGTGGTAGCCGGTTTATCAATAGACCTCTCTAGGACATAGACCTATAAAGATAGGTCTATAGGTTCTTTATAGGTCTATGCTCTAGGATATTAATGTCTCATCTACGCTGATGATACTACTGATGATACCCTACTTGAATAATTAAGAAACTTGAATATACTAAATATTATATTAAAGTACAAGTGTATTTTTAATATTATATTTGTATTTTACTACTCGTAAATGCAACCTCTACGCACTATGCGCATGTGCACATGACTTGGTGATGTCATCGAGTCCCATTGGCAACGCAGTACGTCGGCTCGCTGGAACTACACACATACTCAGCTGTCTATAGTAGTATATTAAGGTCTATCATCTATGATTATTCTAATCAAAACGTGATAATAAATGATAATTATTAGATGTTAATTGTTATTTGTTAATCGACTTTCGAATATGAATGATTTTAATATATATAGTTAACTGCAGTCATAGGCCATCACAAAATACTGTAACCAGTATTCGCAGTATTTAGTGAGTGCCAAGCATTATCGCCAGTTAGACGTTAGTACTTAGACGGTTTTGTTTATTAGCAGTTAAATTATATATATATATATATATATGTAAAATGATGATAATATGATGGTACTTTTCATATTTTATATTAAATTTGTCCAAAGTTCAAGGATATATTTTTTTATTTAATTAAGATTTTTATATAACTGTTTACATTTTATTTATTAACCATTTACAAAAATGGGTAACCGATCTTCATTGTTATTACGTAAAGAAGAAATTGCTCAAATAAGAAGTGAAACGGGTTGTAAGTAAATATTTCTCTACAATATTACTTTAATGTACATATTTATCTAATATTATTATTAATTTATTTTAAATAGATTATTGAAATTTGTTGTACTTAATTTTATCAAAGAGGAAATATTCAAATAATTATTTTTAGTTTATCGCATTTTATAACAAAGAAAGATAATTATTACACAGTTTACTAATATTTTATCTGTTAAGTCAAGTTGGAAGGTAGTTTTTATTAGTTAGCCAATATTATACAATTATTTTATTTTAACAAGTTTTAAATAGGCAAATATAATTTATTTATCAATAATGCAGGTATTTAAATGTTACTATGACCTTAAATGCAAACAGATGGAATTTTCTATTAACCTAGTAATTAATTAGTAATTCAATGAAAATATAAAGCGTTTTAAAGGTTATTGTATAATATTATTATGCTAATATAATATTGTAATAATAATAAAAATGAAATAATTTTCAGAAAAAAAATTATCTATGATGGATTTAAAATAAAAATACCTATTATGAAATTGAAAGTTGATGAAATTTTAGAGAGAATGTCATATCCTTTCTTTGAACATGCCTTAGAAAAAATGTATTAGTTCAAAAATTACCTTTTCTCAACATTAAATGTTAAGCTAAATACTTCATTTATTGAAAAGAAGCTTTTATATCACCTCCATAGTAGGTATTTGCTTTAAAAATACTATAGACCGACTTAAACGCATTCTGTTTAGCTATGTTTTGATGAAAAAAATATTTAAAATCACTGTCGAGGATATAATAATTAACATGTATATTATATTAAAGCCCATAAACAAACATTCATTGTTATTCTGCCCAAGCAAACTTGAATGACCCTGGTTTTATTTTATGAGTTTCAGGTGATTAATATGATGTACATTAAGTTTATATTTTTACGTTTGTAATTTGTAAGGCAAACAATGTATGGAAAATAGTGGCCTTGATTATTTTCTTTCATGTTTTTAACTTGAACTAAGCAAATACAAATAATAGCTTAGCTTACTTGAACCTTGAACAAAATGTTAAAGATCCTTTTTAGTTATACTTTATAGAGTTAACAATTTTATGTTTCTTTTTTTTTATTATTGGAATTTTTGACACAACTTTTCATTAATTAACTGTATCTTATTTTTCCATCGAGTAGAACGTGTAAAGATTGATAATTAATAATTATTACTATAAAATATATATTTTATGGTAATAATTATAATTGACTACATTTTTTAACACTTAAAAATAATAAATATGCTACTCCATATAAAACAATTTACTCATTAATAATTATGTTAAGAAAATAAATAAATATAAATGTATTTGTAGTTATATTCGTAAAATAATTATTTTATTTCTGGTTTTTACTGTAAGCTATATTTTGTTAGTTTCATAATTGTAATTTGTTTTCATAACTAATAAAACTGATTATGTTGTTCTCAGTATCAATTAATAATAATAAGAATAATGAACAATAAACGATATATTAGCAAATTATTAAGATATTAAATATAATATTGTAATTATTACTTTTGTCATTCAAATATTTACTTACATTTTATTAGTCACTGCAAATCAAATTGAACGACTGTACAGTAGATTTACTAGTTTGGATAGAGGAGATTTGGGTACTCTAAGCAGAGAAGATTTACTCCGAATACCTGAATTAGCCATAAACCCTTTGGGAGAGAGAATTGTCGATCTTTTCCATGCAGATTCTAGTAACAACAGTAGTCGTATCAACTTTTTACAGTTTATGAGAGTACTATCAAAGTTTAGACCAATTAAACCACTTAAGGAAAACAAACAAAATAATCGAATGGAAAAAGTAAAATGTATAAATCATATAAACAAATTAGGAATTATTGAGAAAAAAAAAAGATTAATTATTCTATGTCTAGTTGCGTTTGATATGTACGATGTAGACAACGATGGTTTGATATCCAAAGATGAATTACTAATTATATTACATATGATGGTCGGTGCTAACATCAGGTACGTTGTGTTTTAGAAATGTAATATATTAATTTAGACTTCGGTGTTGATTTTGTTGTTTGTATTTTATTAGTGAAGAGCAATTGTCAATAATAGCAGATAAAACAATATCTGAGGCCGATATCGACGGAGATGGGTTGATTTCTTTTGAAGAATTCAGTAAAACGTTTGAAAAATCTGATATTGAAAATAAAATGTCAATCAGATTTTTAAACTAGCCAAGACTGACAATTTCGAATCTACCATTCCACTCTCCGATTCTCTTCGTGTAATTAGTACTTTCACTGTTACTAAACCAACTATATATATTTATATACAATTTTTAATTTTTAAATGAATTCAATATGTACGTGAATGGATGAATGTAATTTTCTAATATAAATACATTTTTAAAAAATTGTATTTATTTATATATATATATTAAGTGTATATATGTATATTTAATCCTTACATATAACAAATAATGGCATTGACTCCTATATTTCATAGATAATTATTTAAAATACAAACAAGTATAAAACATTTTGTACAATTACCCAACTGAGGAATTGAATTTATAAATAATAAAATATCTTTAATAACAACATTAATCAGATTTTAAAATGCTTTCTATGCATTTGAAGACACAGCTAACTTCTTCAAGTGTTCCATAAATAGTTGTAAGCTTACATCGTCTGTCAAAACTGGTGCCCCAACATCCTACAAAATAAAACATTGCATAAAAATCAAATACTTGTTTTAAAATTAGAAAACATTTGAATACTTACACCTCCATAGGCATACATATTATTGTGGGTTTGAGATGGATTAACTTTACATAGCAAAAATCTCGCCTGAGTAACAAATATCATACATTTTTTAGCTATTATATTTTTGTTTATCAATACTTTAAAAGATCTATTTGATTATCTAACCTGACTTCCGCCTTGTTCTGTGTCAATATAACGAGGCATTGGGAATCTTGTTTTTAATATTTCTTGAGCATCATCGACAGGAGCTTGGAGTAGTTGTTTAAAATTGCTGTATTCTGGTCTGTTTTGATAATCCATTGCTCTCCATTGGGCGATTGTCTTTAGTTTAAATAAAATTTACATTAATTTACCAATCAAGTAATACACCATTGTAAAGCCCGTTTCACACCTAATGGTTATGTTCCACATGGTGTTCATACGCCGCATATAAAAACGTCCAAGTGTAAAACAGGCCTAACACAACAAATTACTCACCTCTCCGTGGAATATCAAAATATGGAAAAATGTATCCATTAATAATATTTTGTCTGGTTGAATACTGCTTGTATCTAAAAGTACTGGTTCAGGTCTACCATTAAAACTATAACTATACAGAATTGGCTGTATCATAATTAAACTCTGTGTAACATCTTCGCGCATCAGCATATGTCTATTAAATAAATAATTATTTTTACTTATTAAAATAAATAATTAAAACAATGTAGAGCTTGAATAAATTAATACATTTATAATTACCTATAATATGATGTTTCATCTGGGCTGTTATTAAAAACTTGTAAAAATTGTGAACGCCGCAAATGGTACATAAATTGAGGGTATAAACTGAAATTTTCTGGTAATCGGAAGCTATTAGGATCATCTTTTTGGTACTCTCCAAATTTCTGACACTATAATAAAACAACAAAATTACAGCATTTATGATAATCGTGATGATAATTTAAAATATATTACCAAACGTATGAGTGTTCGATCAGCCCAACGCATAACATCAGGGCTGTCTTCGGTTTCTGCACGGTTCACTACCATTCGAGACATTAAAACGGCAGATGCTTCTTGATCAAATCCAGCACTAACGTGCATCATATTTTGCACAGGATCTGCCCAACTAAAATCAGAAGATTTAATAAAATTCATATTTTAATAAATGTATATTATTGTTATGTTTTTTACTTTCTAGCCAGAGTTGTGACTCGAATCCTTTTCTGTCCACTGGAATGTTGGTATTGCGTAATAAATTGAATACAGCCTCGTCCTCCTTGTGGTATAGGAGATCCATGCTAAAAAAATACACACACATTTGAATTAATGATTTAACTATAATAGTTTGGTTAAGTTCTTACTTGGTTAACAATTTCAAAGAAAAATGCACATGTCGTGTTAGGCATTAAACTGCACATTTTCCATTGGCATGTACCGCCCAATCCTAAATCGCAGTCTGATACACACGAGTTCTTTATATTCAGTGAGACACATGGACCAATAGCTCCCATTACTAAATCATCATAAAAAGTTACAATTCTATACTACACACACTATTTATGCATCATTTTTTTAATAAATTCAAATGATTTATAATTGTTTTGTATTTGTTAGCAGGCCATTGTGAAGTTTCATCTGTGCTCATGAAAGTCCAACAAAAATGGATTTTTTTTGGTTTATTTCCAAAATTCAAATTTTTATTTTTAATTACTATTCTAATTTTTCTTTTTTTTTTAAGTAGTGTGAATGTTGAGTGGTTAAATGTTAGCAATAGTGCCTTACTTTTTAATTCTCTAGAAGTTTTCACTTCTATGTTAGCATTAAATGCCATTTTCAAATTGTTTTCATGATCTCGTGCCATTACTCGTTGAAATGTCTGTTTAAACAGAGACGAATTGAATGAATCACCCATTACCATGTGGCCACTGGAAAGAAAAAAAAATATTACCAAAAGTATATTTAAAAAAAAATTAAATTTTAAAGTACCCAGTAGAATTACAGCATTGTTTCATTTCCATCAACCCAGTTTGATCCAATGCACATGAGTATATATCAATTGTATGCCCATTGGTAGCCGCACGTACTCCAATACTATCGTAATGCTTGGTAGCTTTTTTCATGTACGGAGCATTATCTTTCATGATTTGATCATGAGAACGAATTGTATCGGAAAGTTTTTCATTTACTACATGACCAGGACCTTGAGTACAAGCTCCACCAACAAACAACATAATTCGAGCACCAACATGAGGGTATGAAGACTAAAACAATAAATTATCTTTAAAATAAACATTCAACTGTTTATAATATAGTATTATTATTATTACCTCTAATAGACTAACAGCTATGGATAATGCCATTCCAGTGCTTCTCAATGGTCGCATGCCTTGAGCAACAGGCCATGGATCTTTTAACAGTTCACTCAATAAATCTGACATATTAACATCACAGTTTTGAACAGGTTGTATAAATCTTTAAATAATAATAAATATTAATAGAGATGAAACATAATGGTAAAAAAAATGTTTTTCTTAAATGCAAACCTATTGGCAGGAGCATTCATCTGCTGTTGTTGTTGTTGTTGTTGTTGTGGGGTCATTCCAGGTTGAGCTACTGGAGTAGCATATTTTCCAATTCCTAATATATCTTGGATTTGTTTGGGCGGTAAATCTTTGGTACCTCTGAATACAAATGATTTGGAAATACCATCTCCACGTAATTCGTGAACCTTGAAAAAATAAAAATTTATAAAAAAATTAGTAGAATTAAGATAGTTTTTTTTTTTTACCTGAACATTATTTCCAAAAGTTATCAATCCAACAAGTGCATTTGGAGGTAATAAACTAAGTGACATCTGCAAGGAATCTTTAAGTGCACCTAATTCTTCATCATCCATACACGTGTCGACGACAAACAAAAATATTGGCGGCATAGTTTTAATCCTCTAAATCAATAAATTATTTGAAATATAATTATAACTTACACATATATGAATTCTAGTTTAATCTGTTCAACATAATAAATCGGCAACAAGTTATTTACCGTAATAGTATATTCAATAGTAGAGAAGGCTGGAATAAGTTCAGCTGGTTGATGTTGTTCTGAAATCGCTCCATATTGAGGTGGAAACTAAAATAAGGTAAAATAAATACAGTCAATAATCTGTTAACTATTTTACACTAAATAACTCACAGAATTGCACTGAAAACAGAAATTACAAATCCACATCTTGCCCCTGTAATCAACTTGGCACAGAGGATTTAATATCGCTCTACATGTGTTGCGTGTACATAGCACAGGGTCATATTGTATTGGAGGCAAGTCTATGATACAAAGTTAATTATAATAATACTATATAATATAGCTAATTATTAAGTTATTTAACCTGGTCTTTCTTTTAATGGCTGATAGAGACAACCCACTGGTACGACCAAGCGAGTGGCCTCCAGCCTACTCGCAGGCCATACGTTCCAGGACAAGCGGATTCCATCACGCTCTTCATTTTGCTCAATGTATTCTTCATACGTGGTCATACTTTCTAGATCAAATCAAATTGATTTATTAAAATATCAATAATATTTAACGAGTTGTGAGTATTAAGGTTGATTTGAAACTACACAGTTTATAATCAATAACAGTATACACATAAAAGTCAAACAAGTCAAATAAATAAATTATAGGGGAATTTACCGATGTTGATAAACAATCAAAAAGCATTTTAAGCGAGAATGTTACCTAATAAATATTACCAGAAAATTATAAGCAGTTGATTAATCATATTACAACAAAAAAAAATGATCAACATTAAGAAATATATAATAGGAACTATAACTTGCCTACATAAAAATTAGGTACATTCTTTGTGGTAATAATTCATAATGAGCATAAGAATAAAACACAGAGAATAATAAAAAGTTAATTTTCATCATACTCCAAAAGCTAGAATTAAAAGTTCGAAACTTACTCAAGTCTTTAGAGGAATTAAAAAACGATCAAACTTTAGTCAGATAACAAACAAATTAATTGTTAAAAGTAGATACACGATCCAGACTAAGTAAAATATGGTACTTACATTAGTAACGACACGTTGACGGGCCAACTATGTAAAATATTTTAATACTTAACTAAAGTAAACTGTATTATAGTTATGACTTAAGTATTTAATTTACGAAAAAACAGTTTTCGAAAAGGTGGAACAGAACACGTCATTGGTCACTGGTTAGCCGCTGTACGAAAACCGCGGTTACTTTTTTGATGGCTAACAACTTGAATTGTTATCTGTAATAATAGCGTTATCGCTATGATATCAAAGAAATTGATAAGATAACTCTTAACTTGTCGCGCTACCACAGAATAACCATCATTATTCGACATTCACCCCGCACCCGGGCCCCGGCTGGCCATCCACTGCTATTTACATTTCACTGTTACGGTTAATATAATCTAGAATTTAGATACATTTTAAAATAGTTTGCTCCACCGATGTAAGTCGACACTTATGTTTTATTATGTCAAATTATAAAACCTTAAATGTGAACCTTTAAATAACCAGTCTAGAAAAACTGAGTTAACCAAACTAGTCCTATATAATATAACAAAAAGTTGTATAACCTTAAATGTGAATCTTTAAATAACCAGTCTAGAGGAACCGAGTTAAACAAACTAGTTCTATATAATTTAACATATAACAAGAAGTCACAAATGAGGTTCCGGACTCTGATCTTGTGGCTCGTTTGTAAACCAACATAATAAAATATTAGTTAATTTGGTAAACCACAATTTGCTTGTTAAAAGATCAAAATAACATATATAGGAGTAAAATTATTTATATAAAACTAAAAAGCTTTACAATTTTTAAAAACTTTCGAACAAATAATTTTTAAGATGAATTTTCAAAATTCTTATAAAAAAAATCAAGACATTTTATTATTATTTTTAGTATACATGTTTATTATATTACTAATGTTTTAATTAACTCTTCAATAATTGATACAATTTCATTATTTGTATCCTCAACCTCTAAAGATATTAGAATTATCAAATAATAATTTTTTTTTTAATTATATATAAGAAGAATATTTTTGTTTAAAATTAATTATGATAATAAATAATTTTTATAGTTTTTCTGGTTAACTTGCATGTTTTATAATTCATCGGCTAACCAAATATCTGAAGTGCAGTCACCGCCTGGATACCTAGAAAATATTAAGAGTTAATTAAAATTAAGAAATAAAACAGACGTACAGTAGAATAAAAACTAAAATTTAGTTTTTTTATTTAACCTTTTGATATAGTTAGTTACTAAATTATTATAGAAATATATAAGCATGGAAATGTTTTAAGGCTTTGTTAAAAAAAAGTCAAATAAACGAGTAAGCAAATATAGTAACAGGTGTTCATTAGCTTTTGTGGTTCACCCCAAAGGGCTCCCTTACGACTGCGGACCGACTAGTAATGCTAGATGCTAATTGCAGGCCGAGAAGAAAGCAAATATAGTAAATGAGTAAATAAATTATCATGACACAAAGCCTCTGACAGATTTGTTTGGTGCTTTATATATATATATATATATTACCTTGTTTCATGGGCCATTACAGGTCCAAAAGGTTCTTTTCCAAAGTCCACTAAAAACTCTCTGTCCAAAGTTAAACCTCCTTTTTCTGTGTCTACATCAACTTTAACCAAAGTAGAACCATTTCTGTAAATTATGTTTTAAAGTTGACTAACTTGTTTAAAACTGTGTAATACGTTTATATAATGATAATTGCAATTGATACTATATTTACTTGACAGAATCTGGAAAAAATTCTTTGTCCCACGGTGTGAATAAAGCAGTAGTCACATATAGCCGTTTTCCGTCTAAACTTAATTGCAACATTTGTGGTGAGCCATACAGCCGTCTATCTTTGATGAAAACAGGTAAGGGTTGTTCCTTAATAGACATGAAATTATTTTTTATATTTTTATTCTAGTTATAATATATATCTATATAAAAACAAATTTATAGATAAAGGCTGCACTGTTTAGCCAAACTTGGCACATATATTATTTGGATCCTAGGGCATAAATCTCCCTTCAATGCACTTCAGGGCCCAAAAAAGACAAAAAATATTATAATTTGACCTTCATTAACCACATAAAATCTATTTAATATCTTATAGTATAAACTATAATATAAGTGAACTTCGGGCTAAAAGCATAGTTAGGTAGTTTAAGATTTATAATTATTCAATACCAATGTGTTTCAATGGTATATTTAACCTGGACAAAGCCGGGTTTGTGGCCAACTTGTTATGTATAATACTATACTGCCCTGTTAGGCAAAATTGCCATAATTCGAAAAAAAAATGATTTAACTATGGTATCCGATAGGTATACTAATCATACACATTTTCTCTAGCCAACTGGGTTTTCGAGTTACAGCACTTTTGCTTAGCTGAGCAGTATAGGCCTACACACAAGACATGCAGGGTGTGCACCAGCATACCCAAAGGAGTCTGAATTAAACAATAAAATATTGTTAATTCATTTTAATTATTAACTATTAGATCTATTTTATACCAAATACATTTTATTTTTTCAGATTAGGGTTCATTTATTGTTTAAGAGTCTGTTTCTCGATTGACTGAGCAATACACACACTTATAATATAAAATAACATAATTATCAGATTTACCTTAAGCTCAGTATCTTTTATGACTGTCAGTTCACTTCCTTTTAATATCAACCCACCTAAAAATATTTGACCAACAAGCTGTGGATTTTGTGTATCGGTAATATCATATTGTCTGATATCTCCGTGTAACCAATTAGAAAAATACAGATACTTATCATCTAGTGAAATTAATATATCAGTGATCGTTCCTAAAAAAAACATAAATTTAATAAATAATACATTCGGATAAGTAATAAGGTTAACCCTGTCAAGCGCATTCAGATAATAATGTAGACAAGTTAAAAAATAAAATACATACATACAATAAAAAGCTAGTGTACAATAATACACTAGTCTTACCTGATACTTCTCGTGTACCATTTAAATCCTGCACTGTTTTATTAGGAACACTAATTACCTTGTCAGAACCCCATGAACCATCATTTTTACGATAAAACCTTCAATAGAATAAAATATTAGTTTTTTAAAAATAGTCATACCCGAGTATTTAAAATACACTTTTAAGGCAAGCATAATAATTCTTCATATTTGTTCTGTAGGATAAAATAGTAGTGTTGTTACGCACACAGCCTTTTATCTTGGACAAGTAATTATGAAGAGAAAGAAATATTCCAGATCAAAACTTTACCTGAGCTTTTGTTGAATGTAAATATTATATGAATTTTAACTATAAAAGAAATCTAATTGCATTCAGCATTATGCAACTTCAATTACCTAAATACACAACTATTAACAGCACATCCAACAAAACCTTCACATTTTAATGGATTATGTAAAAAACGAAGTTCCAATGGAGCTATACCATCTGTGCCTAAATCAATTGTTTGTATTAATTTTCTTTCTGACCAAGAATAAAAATTAAGCGAACGTCCATATTTTTCTTTAAAAAAAAAAATCTAATAATAGTCGGGTTATTTGTTTTATTTATTGATTTAAAAATATAAGTACCAGGATCGTTTACGTGTTCAGCATGAAAACCAGTTTTAAAATATTTCGGTGTGCCCCATTCTGATGAAACTAAAACATCCCAATGTGGCTGATACCAGAAGTCATAGCCAAATTCAGCAGTTTTTCCTTTTGTCCATGTTTCTATCATATTTAGTTAACAATTAGTAACATTTTCAAATCTTAAAATTGTGTAATTGCCGTACTATTACCTTTTACCACTCCTTCTTCAGCATCAATTAACAAAAAATCACCTTTCTTATTACCTTCAGCATCACCCATTGTCGAAATCATTACATAGCCATTAGGAAGACAGTGGGATGTATGTAAAGCAGAAACATTTAAATCATGAACGTATTTTGGTTCAATTGTCTGTAAATCATAAATTTACAAATTTATTGTAATTTTGCGGGATTTAAAAAAAAAACAAACTTTGTGCAATTTAGGAGCTCTTTCATCAGATACATCCAAAATATAAATTCGATCAGACCCTAATGCAGGCAAAATTATTTTATTTCGCTTTTTTAAACAATCGCTATGACAACTGCTACAAGTATTCCAACCAAAATGATGTAATTCATCACCAACTTTTTCTACGTAAGTTCTGTATATGACCTGTAACAAATTAGTTATCTAGATTTAATCATACACAATTACGTCTAGATATAATTAAAAATACTAGTAATAAAATTAAATCCCAAAAATATAATATTCAAAGAGTCCACATTTTTAAACTTATAAAAAAAAACTATATACTAAATATTAAATACTATTACCTAATACCTATATATCAGGATATAGGTATTAGGTAATAGTATTTAATATTTAGTACAAAAAACAGAATAATAATGGTATTTATGGACAACCACACAAAAATGCATTACACACATAATATAAGTATAATTTGTATATTATGTTATTACCTGGGAATAAGTTGGGCTCTCAGGATTTACATCAACTGTAGCCAAGTAGTCTGGTTTATTGACTATTTCTGAATTTGGCTGAATGCATACAACATACAAAATTGTTTCTCTTTTACCATTGATAAAAGCATCCATGGGACTTTTGTACCCAGGTCCACCATTTTTTGTACAACCTTTTTAAAATTAAAATATACTTGATTAAACTGCGAATCATAATATGCAAGTTGCTTAATAATAAATATTATAAACAATTATTAAAATCGTAACACATACAAAACAATAATTTTTAATTACATATTAACCATACAGGTCATAAATTCTTAATATAAAATATTATTTAATACCACTTACACGCCATATTTTTCTACTAACAACCGCCGATTGCCGGAAATTTTAGTTTTAAAAATATTATAAGATTTTGTGTATGAAGGCAAACTAATCCAAAATTTATACAATGTAGTTATTATGCAGTTATATATAGTCTATAGACAATACAAATACAAACTGAAATGTATTCTGTAATCTGTTTGTTTTATAATATTGTTTTTTTACTCAATGTTATCAAGTCCTGTGAATTGTGATATGTATAGTTGTTACGTATTAATCAAGTGGATATAAAAATATGTATATACCTATTTTAATTGTCTTCTTGGCGGAAACTTATACTTATTATTATACATTTAAATCGAATGATTTTTTTCTTTTAATATTTATTATAAAACTAGATAGCCGTACCTACGTACGTTATAACTAATAAGAATAGATGTACACATTTCACATATGTATATATGCAAATAATATATAATGTGATAAATAATGCACTTCAATAACAGAACTTGTACAAAGTCCAGATCATTGATTCCAGGTCTCAAAATTCAAGGTTATTTTATTTTGCAAATGTAGTTATTATACTAAGAACCTACCGTTATTTTTTATTAAATTTAAATATAGGTATTTGGAATAGTGGAGAAATATTAATTTAAATTTTTCTGTGGAGGAGTGGCTTGAGCTCTTTAGTCTATGCAGTAAAAATGAAAACTTTCGCAAGTATTTTAAGAGGAATTCATAATATGACAGAGAGGGGTACTTTAGCTCCTTTCCTTTAATATTTTAAACACATATTTTACTTATATAAAATTTAAGTTTTTTTCTTATGACCCATATCATCATTGACCCAATTAAGTTTATTTTGCTATTTATTTGCGATTTCAAACATTCAGCGGTCTGCTGAAGATTGTCTACTTTAATGACCCACAACACATACGTGCCTAAACAAAAATTTTCCAAATTTATGTAATACTTAAAACTTATAAGTAAGTAGAACATCTGGTAAAAGTTTCGTGATGGAGAAATTATTTTAACACTTGTAGTAAGGGTTCAAATTTTCCGATTTACATTTATTGGAAATATACACAATTTACGCAACCATTTAATTTATTCCTTAGTATAATTGTATTAAATTACAATATTATAGAGTAGGCGCTTATAAATTATTAATGATATTATTTTATGCTAACAATAGTGATGCAGGCGATTGGAGTTATATAACGGTCTTCAAATTTATACCGTAGTATTTGGTTTATTATTAGTTTTAACTTTTAAGTTCAATTTCAAAACATACATCTAGGCAGCAATAAAATTCGTTATCTATTATTATTCTCATTGACTGAGATTATATTCAGTCATTCTTTAGCTAATAGCTATACCTACTTAAAAAGTATGGCTAATATTTGTAACCATAACAGATTTTGGATTTGAGGCCTAGTGGAACTATTTTGTGACCGCACACGGAAAGAGTCCATGCGATGGCGTAGGTTATACGGTTAAATGATTAGTTTATAAGGTCACTGGCCAGTTTGTAAAGAATATCAAACAATCAAATTCTTTCCCCAAAAACGATGTTCGAAATGTGTTAATAAAATATTAAATAAATTCAGTTTTTATACATAACTACCAACAATGTTATTAAACATGAACCAAAATTAGAAGACCCGTATAGAAATGCATAAAAATATCCTGTTATTTGTCAACAACATCGTTTCATCCCAGAAAATTGAAAAACTCTTGAGATATAAAATATTTTAAAAGTCTAAAGCAAGGGTCGCAAATAGCAATAGGCGGCCCGGGGTCCAAATACGGACCACAAAGGGGAAATCAATGGACCGCCAAAAATATTTGACTGTTTATACTGTGCTTTTATACAAAAATAAATAAATTTATTAACTAATATTTAAGTATTTTCTGGACCTCGAAATTTTTTTTTTTAATTTTCCGGACCTCCTTAGAAACTAATTGCCGACCCCTGGTCTAAAGACTCAAAAACTGCTATAATATATTTTAATTAAAAACTAAAAATAATTACATGTCTATGATAATACATTTTATATATTTTACTATCATGTAATTCTTTACTAAATTAAAATTATGAAAGTTAACAAAATTATTACCTAAAGTATTTCTTTTAATTTTTTCCTCATTTTCCTAATATATTCTAAAATTAATTCATGTATAGTACAAAATATTATCACTATTAATTTAGATGTGCCTAATCCATAATATCGTATTTTGATATAGTTCAACTAAGGAATAAATTAAATAGTTGTAGAAATTGTGTTTATTTCTGGTTTTATCTAATCTGTGGTATAACTGATATCATATATGACTTTACAACTTATATCGAGTTTATTGCTCGATATATGTTAGACTGCATTGCATACAACTTATAAGTTATAAGTTATAACTTATAATTGGTTCTATTAACCGCCTTTTTAGACTATTAACGCGGTTTATAGAACCAATAAAGTTTTATACACGCCTACATTAATCGTTTCTAGTATTTACAATGCCTTTGTTTCTAACGAATAACGATGTTTATATTAAGCAATAGTTTAAAGCTTTATACATTTACTAATATTGAACCTTTCTGTGTAGTGTTACAGCCGATTTCGATAACAACTTACATAGCTACACCTGCTACAGATAACAATAAAATGTATTATGCACAAATTTAAACTTCTAACCGTACAAAGTTTGTTTCTCTCTAAATAAATGTAACAGAATATTAAAAAAAAAAAAAAAGAGAAAAATATTTAATTAGACTGATTAAATAACTTAAACAGCTTATAGAAAATGTTAAGAAAGATGAAAAAAATGGTTTATGTCAGTATTGTACCACATACATATGCAAAGAGATGTTATGGACTGACGAATTACAAGGGGGTCCCCTTACTATAAGTACCTCAATAAAGCACCTACTATCGAACGTAATACTATTTAATTACGAAAATCAACAGTGAGCTATTAGACAAGGACGTACCATCTCTGACTCTGTAACATTGCCCTGGAATCAGTGATTAGCGTCGTACAACTGTACAAGATGGAGAGCAATTATTCAAGTAGGTACAGGGAAATATGGAGAGGCATAGTGAAAGTGGCAATGGGCTAAACGGCCTGGAATGAGCCAAAAAAAAAAACATCCATGGAACTGAGCTATTAAGGGTAGTCCATTTCTTTATCAGACCACCAAATAGTCTAATTTAAATTTTGACTATTTTCATTAAAGTACTAAAAAGCAAGAAAAAAGTAAATCTATTTTACTATATTTTTCCACTCAATGGTTTACCAATTATAAAATAAGTGTAATATTTCGTATAATAAACTGTGAGCATTTAAAACACATGATAAACAATAAATACATTTTTCTAATAGAAGTCAATTTGTCAAGTTTTTATTTATAATCTTCTCCGTCGTCCAACGTTTGAGGTAAATGACAGTTTTTGGTTTCTGGTAAAAGAAATGTGACGAAACCACCAAATATTTGCAAAACTCCCATCACTACAAGTGTCAACTGAGACCCCGTTCCCTATTTTATAAAAACAAAATAATACAATACATTAAATAAATTAGATTACAAATGAATACAATACGCTTATATTAAAATTATTAATAACTATTAAACAAGTTTCTCACCACATAATTCACAACAGGAAGAACAACAGGTCCAATCATTCCAGCAACTGAACTAACACTTATACCCAAACCTCTCACTACAGTTGGATATAGCTCAGGCGCAAACAATGATAAAACGACATAGGACGACGATATTCCCATTTTTCCTATACAAAACATTACCAGTGTCCATTTGTTATCTGTAAGATGAATATAGGCAATTAGTTAATATAAAATATCAAAATAGATGTCATAGTACCATGGTCCATACTAAATAAGATACCATTATTCTTACATACCTAACTCAGAATAAGTAGCAGCTAAACAAGCACATCCTCCAATCAACATACTAGTACATAATAAACTTTTCCTACCATATTTCATCATGGCAGGCCATAGTAATATATAAGTGGGCAACTCGACAACACCAGCCAAAAAAAAATTTAAATGCTCATCAGAGCTCAAAGCAGGGGCATAGTATGAAAGGCCAACATACACAGTCGTATTGACAAACCTGAATGTTCATATTTAAAATTCATTATAAATTTGTGATGAATAAATAATCATAATAAGTAAACCGTTTCATCTCGATAGAAATATTACCATATAAAAGTCACTGCTAAAGTTTTAAATCGTAAGTTTGGTGTCTTAAATAAATGAAGCACACTATAATTTTCACATGGTTTATTTTTTTGGATTTTAAGAGTCTCATCATAAGTGACCTGTATAAAAAATATCAGAGGATAAGGATATTGGTTATTATATATATACGTCGCAAACGAAAAGTACTTTTAATTGGACAAAATAATCAGATTGTATATTTTTCCCATTTGTTTTTGCCATTTTAAGTAAAATAATTTTTGCTCTATCAAATTGCCCACGTGCAAGAAGCCATCTTGGCGATTCTGGAAATCTCCTAATTCGTATAAGGAAGTATAATAAAACATATTGTTAGGTATTTATTAATATTAGTTAAAAAATGTGTAATTGAGTTCAATCAGACGAATAATTATAGTTTTAATATTCAATTGACAATTACTTACCACCAGTACAAAAAATATGTCATAAATGGTAATGATGTTGCCAAAGCAAGTTGACGCCAATCTCGAAAAGTGTACAAAATCAAAGATAAAAGTACCATGCCGACAGAGTGAGCAATATTGGTGAGTAGAATGCAAGTAGTCCGGTGAGCAGGTCCAACAAATTCTATGGCTAATTATAGAAAAAATTAAAAATGGAAAATATAATTTGTTTTTACCCTTTGATAATAACATTAACTTATGAGTGACGACAGCTAATTACTTACGAAGTACATTGGGAGTTGCTAAAATTGCAGGAATGGTGAACCCAACACCAATTCTAAAAAATAACCAAGTCCAAAAATCTCTGGCAAAAGCTGTAGCTATACCAAATATGTTTTCAATTAGTAAGTATATAAAAAAAGCAGGTCGTCTGCCAAGCCTAAAAAACATTCAAATGTATTTAATACTTCATAATACGTTATAATTAATAATATATGCCGAAAACCGGGAATAATCGTAAAATAAGTAGGTATTTATAGTTCCAAAGCGGACCATTTTATAAACAGCTGCGTTCCTACTCAGCTACATATCCAGTAAGTTTTCTTAAAATTTTATAACAGAGGAATTAAATTACTACTTTATAGTGTTGTATTATAAAATTACCTTTCACGATGAGGGTGATCATCGCTCCCTTTTAAAACCGCCCCCGTGTACCTATAGGCTATATGCAATCGCTCAACCCCTATAGCCACTATAGCTGTTATTATAATTTATAACTATAAGTTATAATATTCAGACACGGACCACGGTTTTCAATAATCTCGAAAGGTGGTTGAATTTTAAACTAAAACTAGAACCATCAGAACTTAAGGATTTGCTTAATAAAAATAAAAATTCAGGTTTAACAAAAATATAGCTGTTAAGCCAGCTCAAAATTATTTTTTCCTAAACAGCCTAAAACTAGGTTCATTAAAATCTCAATAAAAATCCAATCATCATTTTAGTCATCAAAAGTGTAATTCAAAAAATCTACTTGTAACTTATAGACCCATTATTAACCAAACATTGTTTTAAAAGTTGAATACATATATTTTTCGTACAACCTTCATGCAAACCAAGTTATTTTTTCTTGTAGCATATTTATTAGTTCAGCGTAGGTTTTTTATTATATTATTTGATTTATTCCCGGTCCTTTCTAAATATTTAACGATCATTATAAGGTTAGGCTTTGTTATATTACCAACCCATCTTGAAGAAATCCAAATAAAAGCATTCCAAATAATCCACTCAAGCCAAATAACGTCAAAGCAAAAGTGGGATAAAATCGTTTTGAACATACTAAGTTCCACTGAAATATAATATTATGCAATAAAATATTAAATTACACCAAATGCCTATAAACAAATATTATGTAAAATATAATATATAATTTAAACATGCAAAATGAATAAATATTTTTAGAGATTTACACCTATTGTAAAGCCAATTTGTAATTTAAAACGTTTATTTATTATAGATTATAGTAGGTATATCCTAAGCAATTAAAAAACTGATTGTTTGGTGAATAGGGGTTACTTAATAAGGATGTAAAGCTATTCATAAATATTAATGAATTAGTATACAACAAGTGTTTTGAATCATACAAAACATAATTTAGAAAAGAAGGGTCAATGCAATCACTAATAATTAAAAATGATTAAATCTCTGACAAACGCTTTGATGCGATTTTTTATGTAAATAAGTTATTCATAGATTTCCATTTGAGCGTCGTTTTCGAAAGTCATTTTATACTTACTAAGAACTTTCATTAAGGAGTATATACTCCTACTATGAATCGAATAATGTACATTTATTGTTTCTTTATTTATATTTTGCTATTCTAAAATTGTGTAAAACTTTAGATAAATAGTGTAAAGTTTAAAAAATATCGAAAAACAAATTTGGTGCCTATTGGAAAAAAATTGTCCGTTTGGTCCCGAATTAAAAAAAACTGGAATGGCTCTCTTTTTTAGGGATAGTGATTTTTTCTCTGATTTTGCTAAACAGTTTAACCTTATACATAACACAGCATACTAAACATAGTATATTTATCCATTGGTAAAATTAAAATTTCATATAGCGTAAAGACAATAAAATTGTGATTTCAAAATTACAAAAAATTTACTAATTAGGGTTGATCTTTCGGGGAACGGAAAGCGCCAAATTTTTTACAAATAAAGACTTAAACGCAAAGGCACTTTCTGAATTGTCTACCGAACCGATTCCAAATGTTTTTTATGTTATAAAGTTTAACATCTTCACTATGGGAGCTAAAAGGCTAATTTTTTTTTTCATTTTAATAAGCGCTTCTTTTTATACTTTTTTATAGTTATTTCTAATAAATTTAACTAATTTTCTAATAACTAAATCAAACACCAGCCTTTAAGCTCCTATAGAGAAAATAGTAAGATTCATTGAAAAAGAAAATTGAAATCCGTCCAACAGATACGCCAATGACATCTACGCGAGTCCTTTTTAACAAACTTTCACTATAACTCGGAGAAAAATTACTTTAAAAGTTTAATAACTAGAAAAATTTAATATTTGTTCACCCTAAAATTAGTTGGCATGAATAAAATGGCTACTAGATTAATTTTTGTCAAATATTGCCTATCCTTTGCCCCTTAATAAAAAGCGCTTTCCGTTTCCCTTACGCTATAATATATACTAGTGCAATTACGCATTGGACATTTTCATTTTTCTTCATCCTACAATACAAGAGGAATAAAGTGGTAAAATAAAGAATACAAATTGCATTCAACGTAGGGTTGAGTATTTTGTGTTAATAATCAATAGCCATATTAAATTACAAAACTATTGTTAATTAAACGCCTCCCTCCTATTTATGGCATTGGTTTTTGTTTTGTTTTAGGTGTAAAATGTCTGACTTCAAACTATATTTCAGCTCTTAAGTACTAAAACTGGGCCATAAAAATACGAAAAACCTCCCCTCTTATGGATGAGGGACTTAATGAAATTTTTTTTTTTATTAGGCGTGACCGATTTATGCCCCATACAAATTTCAATTTAATTTGTACTTTTGGTGTGGACTTTTTTTAACTATTTGGACTTCTCAAGAGCCAAGGCACCGTTAGGGGAGGACTGGTCGGAAACATGTTAGCAGAGTTCCTAAATTTGATATCATGTTGTTTGTTTATTAACTTTTTTAAAGTGCATTTAAGTGTATTTAAGTTTTTTAACGTGCAATTGTATTATATGTTCGATGGTAGGTACATCACTATTCATATTTATAAAAAGTAAAATCTAAATGATTAACTTTACTTCGGTCACAATCGTAGATGAATACCGACTCAAATCATAATCCCAATTATCACATGTACCATTCATAGAATTCAAACAATGATTTAATTTAGATGTATAATTGATGTTACTAAAATTAAAACAATCATGAGATCAATAAAAATTGATGCTGAATTTTATAAATCATGCATAATATATTTAATATTTACTTTTCTTCTTTACACCAATGTTGTGGGGTAGCAGCCATGAATAATTGATTGTATGCATGAAACCCACATGGCAAGACACACGGTAATACGATTAACCAAATTAATTGTTTTTGATATAGCCCATATTCACCGAAGTCTATTAATATTTTATCAAAATCCATTTTTAGCTGTAATTAAAGGAGCTATAAGGTCCGTAGCTGGTGTTCTAATACAAATATGTTTACCAACAGCTTATGCATTTACCTAGTTAATTTTACTCCCTCTTTTTATTCTTTTATAAATCAATTACATGACTCCGAAAATAGTTTTTTTATAACCATACAACTTTATATAACCTGCAGGTAATGTATTTTGACACTATTAACGCGTCTATAATAAATAAGTATTATATATATATATATATATATATAATATAATGTAAATGTATATTTATTATAATATTTTATATTTCCAAATATGAAATATTAATGAGTAACAAATTATAACTTTTAAGAAAAATTTTTCTACCAACCTAAAATTAGGTATTGGTATTAGTACAGAACATTGACGTATATGTTTACAGATATTAAAAATCAATTGTATGTTTTTGGAGGTATGTGATATTTTAACTTTTATTTGAATTAAAGATCCCAGTTCTAAAATTGTAAAAAATGAGTACTATCCAGTGATGAAACATTATAGGAGATGTCTACCCACTTGAAGATGAATAATTCGTTTTTATTTTATTTAAATAGCAAATATTTTTATGGATGTACGAACAGGCATCTATCGAGTCTATATAGCAAATAAAATGTTGGTTTTACAAACGATTTATAAGTGAAGACGTAATACATTACCTTACTGATTTAACTCTGATCATTCAGAAATGGCAAGAGAGTAGCTGTGACTCAAGTTAAAATATAAATATGTCGAACATTAATAGATATTTACATTTAAACTTACAACTAATATTAATTTGCGACTACAATTAAAAAAAAAGTTTTTTATCATTGTCAAAAATTAAAAAAACAATGTTAACACTTTACCCTAAAAATGAAAGTAAGTAAATGTTCCCCGGACCTAAAAATGAAATACAATTAATTATTTAATTAATGTGTTATTTATGTAAAATATTTTAAAAGTAGTACTTTTTTTCAAAAAATGTTATAACTATAGGTGTTAACTGTTATAATAGTGGTAGTTCAGTAACATTTCTACAGTTTACAATAATTTAACATTACAGTAAAAACAACGAGTTATTTTATACTAATATTTAAGTTTTAATGATTAAAACTACATAATTTTGTATACATGTTTATTAATAAACATTACATAGCTAGTATGGTTATTGTTTGATTTTTACAATTTAAATAAGTAATTTTTTATGCACATAAAAGAGCTTTATAATATACTTTTAGCTTTACGTTTTTTCTCTCCTTTAACAAATACTTTGCCTCTTAGAGCCTTTAATCTTTTCATCTCATCGATAAAGTCTTGATGTTCATCTCTAAATAAACCATACCGCCGAAGATTCATTATTAGTAGCCCAGTTTCTACATGACGAGGATAATAATTTATAACATTTTCTTTTTTGTACAAGGGCTCTTCACTAAACATTTTTACCACCTGAAAAATAATATAATATGATAAATCTAAAACACTATTTACTTTTATTCAATTTTATTTACCCTCATAGATTTTTCATTGGTAGGACGAACAACTTCACCAAATATGCGATTGCTGAGCATTTTCATGCGATTAGAATATTGAGTATTAGCATTAATTAGTTCAGTATACTTATAAAATCTCATTATAATCACCTAATGATACCTAAAAACAATAGCATTATAAAAAAAAAACGGCTAAAACGTAATTAAAAAAGAAATAAAGCAATATTTCAATTGCAAATACTTTATTGGAAGTTGTATAAGTAAAAAGATTTATCCAACTAAATATTGATTAGTACTTACAAAATTATATCAATAATATAAATAGTTTAATTTCTATGAATAATAATTAATATAATCTAAATAATATATTTACTTTCTATGAATAATATAATCTAAATTTTAGAAACGTTTTATCCTCCGGAACTCAGAAGCATGGGCTATATGATAACATGCATTAATTGTGATAAGCTAGTGATATCTTATCAATTAATAATAATATGTTTGGGTAATGGTTGATAAAGACGATGATAATGTCACAATAACATTATTATTATATGATAAAATTCAAATTCGATTTTAAAATGATAACTGATAAGTATTTAATTTTAATCCTCAATATGTATTCACTTTTGTAAATTTTGTTAGTTGTCATATTTAAGAATAAAGGAGCTTTATAAAAGTTCAATTACCCGCAATGATTCCTGCGTTAAATTTATTTTTAGATTCTGTGGTGGATACAGTAAGTATTAAGTATTTCTTATTATTCAAATTTTATATTTAATTAATTTAAATAACAAATCATTATGTTGCTAACAGACAGGGGAAGACATTTTACATTTAATATGAAATTATTTTTTTTTAAGATAGCACCACCTATTCCAGCATTGGAGAATTGTATATACCACTGGGAAAAGTTCATCTCAAACTACCTAGATTGGACTACCGATGGAGTATGTTCAAACACACATATTGATGTAACTAATATTCCAGTTCATCTTGAACATCTTAAACAGGTAGATACACCATATATAAATGCCAATTTAATTAATAAAAGAAAAATACAAGACTAGGAAAAAATGTATAAAACAAAACAAATTGTGTTAACTTTTACTTAAAAATGCTGGAGGCCTAGTGTGTATACAGCGAGGCTTTTATTGGTTTAGGGTCACTGAAAATGAATGTTTGTACACGGTCATGTTTATCTTAATAGTGTGCTGAACTGAGCCGGAAAGTGAAAGAGCGATTGCCCTTAGGGCCTCATAGGTAGGACACTAAGCTTGTTATATTACTTTTTTTTAACTAACCGAGAAGGGCTGATATTTATGTAATTATTAGGCTAGATTCTATGATCGCCCGAGTCTATATTTTATCCCAACTCGTCTCTGGTTCTTAAAGCTTGACCAAGTTTCCTAAACTTAAAATAAAAAGTTAAAATGTTTTTGTATTTTTTAATGCTATTTTCGCCTTGACACAAAATGCTCATCTATTATAAATATGTGTTAAATTTTTCTTCCATGATTTTTTTCCTAAGCTGTACCAGACTTAATCTTTTTTGTTATAACTAAGTAAATTTGTTTTATATACAACCCAAAATAAAGGTACTATTATCAGAAGATGAAAATGATAACTACACCACAAATTCTAGCATGGAATATGCACTGCAAAATGATCTCTTCAATATATTGGCTATAATTGCAGAAAAAGAAAAATTAATCGGTCTCAGATTATATATTTTAAGATTTATGACAGATCTTATTGAAAAGTTGAATAATCCCATGCTAGCACACCAATCTGTTTCAAGTGCTCTTTTGGTAAGAAATTATATTTTATTAACTTTTCTTTTAATCACAGGCATTAAACTAAATATATTCAGTTTAACGGCGATCACATGTTATATATTTATATAACTAAATATAAATGTATATAATTTGTGTTTTTGCCTTTAGAAACTTATAAATTTGTGCGACTATGTTTTACATTCTGAAGATCAAACAGATCAAATCCATTTTCTGTTTACACTATGCAGTCTGTTGAAAAGTCAACCAAATGCCGCAGTTCTATTTTTATCTCGTGTAAGATTTAAATATTAACCTATGCATTTAAAAAAAATAACATTATAAATAACTATTTTCTATTTATTACAGGACTCTGAAAATTACAATTTAAAACATCCAACTGCACAACCACAAGGATTAAATCTCTTAGATTGCCTTCTTTCCTATATTAATACCAAAGTTAGTATTTTTTTTTTTATAAATAATGGTGTACATAAACTAAATATTGTTTTGAGTCATAATATTTTAAAAACTCAATATTATGCGTCAGTTCTCAAGGTCGCCATGGAGCAAATAATAAATAACGATCCTTAAAAGACCCAGTGGCGAAAATAGGAAAAAAAGTAGGTTTAATCATTCAAAAACTCTTTCAAGCCCCTCCCCTCACCACTAAAAAAAACATAACTATCAAACTTAACATTAAAGATTTATGAATGACATACCTAACTTATTTGCTTACAGGATACAAATGTGTACATTTTATTTTGTAAATGTATATTAATTTTAATAACATTAGAAGAAGAAATAGTAGGAAACTCTATCGTTGAAAATACAAAATTGTGTCTTGTACTATGTTCAAATTTAAAAAATCTGTTTTGTATGTTACCAACAAAATTAGATTACAATGGCTTGGAGGCGATTGAATTGAAATGGAGGTAATTGTTTCTGATAACTTCACTGGTCTTATAGCAAAGGTTTTATACAAGTTAATTTTAATTGTATTTCCTATTTTCTTTTATTATGAAAGTTATATTTGTATGATTTCAGAACTGATTATGACGCAACATACTCAAATGATGTAACTAAATTCTTTTGTTGGTTTGATTTTATTATTGAAGTAAGTTTTTTCTATTGTGTTATTTTTAATTTAATATAATATTTTATCTAAGAGAAATTTATATTAATTTATTTTTTAGGTAATTAAACACGGACAATTTATTATATCGTGTAACATTTGTGAGTTATTAAAATCAGTATTGTTTGATGAAATAATGTACCTGTCTTTGGAAGAAATTTCTATTTCTACAGTATTTATAATTAAAAAAATGTATTTGTTAGCAAGAAGCTCTCCTTTAATACATAGTATGTGTCATAATTTTTCTTTTAATTAATTAAATCTTATGTCATGACAGAAATTAAATGTAGCTAATTTAAATTGTATTTTAGTGATCAATAATTGGATTAGATCACCAAAAGACAGCAGAAATGCTCCATTTGAAACTTTAATTAAGGTCTGCTATACCAAAGATGAACTTTTAACTTTTCATGTTATGAGTTTTTTTAATGTTAAGTATAATCATTATTATTGTAGGTCTACTTAAAAAATTAATTTATTAAATTTGATTGCAGGTGATACTAAATGAACTGGATAAGGATAATTTAGAATTTATAGTTTTACAATATGTAAATAACAGAAGCTATTACGAAGGAAATAATTTTGTAACATGGAGTGACGAAGAAGACGAAAGAGAAAAAAAAACATTGTTAGGAATTAACAAAAGTAACACTAGCTGTACACTCGCACCATCAAGTATTGATCGTATAATAAATAGGTGAACTAAGAATTTCTTATGGGTAAAAACCAAAGTAACCCATTTCTCATAAAGTTGCTCTTAAAATAGGTTATTAACTCTATATCCACAAAATCTACAATCGGACTCGTTACATACTTTCAAAAATTATATAAAAGTAACAAATGACAAGTATGAAAACGTTTTTGACGTATGTAAGCATTTTGATTGGCCAACAGAAGCAATAGAAATTGATAAAACAAAAGAATTTTATTCAGGACCATTTTTAGAAATGATTTACAGCAAAATACATAGCATTCCAAACCAAGTACTTATTTAAAAAAATAAGTATTGTCTATCATATATTATATTAATAATATTAACTTGATAATCTTCGGATGTATCCATGTCTTTGATTTGTTGCTGACGTTTTAGACTCATTGCAGAGTTCGTTTTAATTGCTCTAATGATTGATTCTGCAATGAGTCCTAGACGTCAGTGCGATGGATACTTTCAAAGGTTATCAAGTAAGTAATAATTCAATCCATGAAAGCTTTAACATATTTATGTTCAAATACTTCCAAGACAGTATGGTGAAAACAATATTTGCGTAAAAATTGACACCCACTGTAAGAAAAAAAATGTGTAACATCAAAATCTGATCACTCTACAAGACGTTATTTCAATGAGTATTCTAGTAAGGCATATATCTGAGCAACAAACTTGTTGCATCCGGAATTCTTATAGTTTTTTTTTGTCTCTACTGAAAAGTTTCATTAATGCTGTAGCGCCATTTTTGTCTTGGACGTGTTGTTATAATTTAATTATTAATTGTTAAATATTATAAATGTTTTAACAATAAATTGACAATTTTTATTTTTACTTTTAGAGTCCATCAATAACTTTACAGATAAAGAATATTTTAATATTACTTAGTTTTCTACCACACCCATATTTACATGAATATTTACTAAATTCTACTGTACCTTTAAAACGTAATGTACCATCAGCATATAATACTTTGTGTCAAGTGATTAAGAAAATACAAAGAACTATATTGACACTTCCTAACTATTATAAAGAGTTGAATACTGCAAGAGAGCGAGTGTTCAATAATAATACTTATAAATTGTTTAAAAATGAAAAGTAAAGTTTGAATACATCATTTATAATTATGCTTAATATATAAAACAAATTTGTATTTATTTTAGAGAAGAAAAGTCAATATTATTTGATAATGCTGTAATATTGGAAGAATTGTGCAAAGAAATGGTGGCTGTATTATTTGTTAAGTATCACTATTTTAGCTTATATAAGGAATAGAATAATTTCGTAATTAATTCCTATTTTATTTAACTAACATCATGTTAATAAAAAATATATGTTACTATTATGATTGTTTACATTGTTAGATTTAAATAATTACTTCTTGTTATTATATCATTTCATTTACAAAAGATATTTGCTCGGGTCTGATTGGTTCAAAACTTTATTTTAGTGTATGAGCCACGAGGACTGAGCATTAGCGATTTAAGCTCTGAGTGAGTGTTCATTGAAGATTGCTTCTTTGCTTTCCTATTTTTTTCCAAGTAGTCAAAGAAATTGAAATTTTCGACAGTCCATTTAAATTCAATTTCCTCATAAGCCTCGTATATGGTTTGTACATCCTTAATAGCATTGGGTAGTACTAGAAAACAGCCTAGGAATTACTAGTAAAAAAATTTAGAATTTCAAATTTACTACATAATTCGGTACTACCCGACATCTCTGATAATGGTCAGTTGACACCCATGTAGTTTCTGGTCAATAACAGATAGCAAAGTAGCACTTCCTATTAGTATATTACTAATTTCCCAGTGTTATTAGAGTGATTTTTATTTAAATTATCATTTTTAATTCATTTATTTATTTATAAGAGTACCGCCCCGCTGGGGGCAATGAGTACAGATGCAATACAATAATTTATAATACACACAGTACGTATTTTAACATTTAACTTAGCTTATTCACTGGACCATATACCTAATTACATACAATTAAGGCACTTAATTTTAAATTACTGATATTATTAACAAAATCGGACAATTTATTACATATATTTAACATTCGACATATAGGACTATTTATAACATAATTGTTTGATTGATGCTCTACAAAAAAAAACATTATGATGCCGAGTGTTCACACTAGGCACTACTAGAGATAATCTCTCTAGGAGTTCCGGGCTATCAACTAAACCGTTAAACATTTTAAAAATAAAAAGTGTACCCATGTATAAACGTCTATTTTTTAACGAGATCAGGTTACAACGACGCTCAATGTCGACAATTGGGTGGCCTCTCATAATAATTTTAAGTGCCACAAACGTATACATTTTCTTTGGATTTTTTTAATTTTGTCGATAAGACCAGCCTGATTGGTGTTCCATACTGCCGACCCAATTTCTAGACCCGAGCGTATTAAGGCTGAATAAAGCACTCTTAGACAGCCTAAATCCTTAAATTCACCCCAATTGCGTTTAATAAACCCAATATTTCGATAGGCTTAGCACACATTGAGTTAATATGTGTGTTAAAAGATAAGTCGGTAGACAAAGTGACACCCAGGTCCTTAACATTACTTAGTACCTCGAGGTTTATTTAATTTCAATTTATTAGTTGCTATTTGATTTTTAAAAAATATTGAGTAAAAAAAGTGTTTTATTTGATTGGACTGATGAGCATCCGAGTTGCCATATGACAATAAAATAGTCAAAAATATAAATGAATAGGAAAATCAAAATAACACATTACGGTCTTATGGAACTTAAAATTAAACTACACACTTAAAATAATGTAACATATTACTAGTTGATAGCCAGTCATCAATTGTATTAGATACATTATTCTATATTCTAATTTGGAATAGGAAATATGAATTATTGAAATTTGAATCTTTATAAAGATAAAATAAAAACATCTGGGTTAAATAAAGAAACTGTGATAGGTACAGAGGATGCAGAGGGATGAATCTTCTTTTTTCAACTATCTTATGCAAATAAGCCCGGTCAGGCAAATGATCCAACATTTTTCCCTACACACATGGGCAGTGGCGTACATTCATCTTGCTATGGGGGGGTTGTAAAAAAATAATACTACAGAACCAGATGTTTCAAAATGATAAACAACTTTTTTCCCCCAAAAAAATAATTATTAATAAGGTGATTTGTTGGAATATTTATCCGCAAAAAAATCAGACTTCTGTTCAAAAAAAAAAATTATTATTGCTTGATAAAAACCAAAAAGGTTTTACATAATTTGAGTACATCATCAAAAAATTTAATGAGCGGTGAAATTTTGTACAGAAAAAAGTCCTGTATAGATTTGCTACCTTAACTCTGCAGAATTGGTTTAGTGGTTAAAAAATTATCATGGGTCCAGACGGCAAACAAAATAAAATTAATAGATAATATTAAAAAGAATTAATATTCTATTATTTCGTAAATACAATGTGCTTTACGTTAATTTTATCATTTTGTAAATGCAATGTTTAATGACATTCTTATGTTTATCTCGTTTGGCGTAATGGAAATGGTACGGTTTTGGCAGAAACCCGGAAAACGGCCATGCCCGTTAACCAATGGGCTATTGGATACCTATTGATTGGTTGATTTACTCACATTATAACCTAGAAATTTAACAAGTTCAAAAAAAAAATTGTATAATATGTATTCAATATAATGTAGCCTCATTAAAAAGTCCTAATATTGATTATACATAGGAACTACTAGTATGCATAATCAATAGTTCTATCATCATTCTAATTTTTAGAGGAGAAAAGGTTTTTGATATTTTTTGGGGTTTTCAAAATATTATGATAATATTATGTATAAAGAATTTCCCATACAAATTTGGAGCTAATTAAAGTATTTTAAAATTAAAAAATATGTAAGCTTTATGGGCGTTTTATTTTGAAGGGGAAGATGTGATTTTTTTAAAATTTTTGTTGCAATATAAAGAAATCTTTTTAGACTTCAGAAGTTTAAACGATATCATGAGTATGGGTTCATACACAAAATAAAATAAGACCCTATCTATTTGTAAAAACAATACTTTTTTTGCTCCGCACTGAAGCTATAATAAAAACATCATTGTAAAACCTCAGCTCAACATCGTAGCTAACCTACCACCTTACGGGTATATATGATTCTATAAAAAAATAGACATCATTCTGTTTATTATACAACCGTGGTCGTCCTCGGGCCACCCTCTGATCCTCCCCCCCGTGTAATGTGTAGTCTACTGTAGACTAGCAAATACTGCACTTTTACAATTATTTAGGCGTCACTGGTTTCATTTTAATTGTTTGGTCACAGTCACCTATTACAATTACCAAACAATTATGTGACTAAATACTGAACATATATTATTAAAGGCATTTATCCTGTAATTAAGTTAAAATTTTAAAAAGTAGGCATAAATGCATGCAGTTATCTATGCTATTGTTATAATTTTTTTTCAAAATGTATGGTTTTGTACCTTAATTTTAACTAGGTATATAATTGGCTGCTCGTTGTTGCTTTGAGTTTAAAAAGACAAGAATACGAGATATTTTCAAAATTCGTTCATACTTTGTCGTGTCAAAATCAACTTGAGTATTTTTTTTACGCCAAAAACGACTTACTAGGTATAGGTAATAATGTCTAAAGACATGCCCTCTCTTGACTCCGACCCAACTATGCTGGTTTATTTAAATATATACGTAGATACGTATAAAATATACAGTATTATATTATTAGTTAATAGTGAAATATTAGGTATTGAAATAGATAAATAATTATATATTTATTGCAAGTAGGTACGATTGCCCTAAAAACTATTCATAATATTATTACTACAATAATAACCATTTAATGTCTTCTTTGTAATTATAAATGATTATTTGTTATATTATTAAATAAAAAAGAAGATACTTAATTATTTTAGTGTGTACCTATGTAGAACTAAGATTTACATTTTTAAAAACGTGGCGGTTAACATTGATTGATGTAAGAAATTAACCGGTATATAAATATATTATAATTTAAAAAGATAAAACTAATAGCACACAAAACCGCCAATTTGTTATCGGGGCAAACAAACACAATATAATGAATAATATTATAATATACAATACATAGAAAGTAGAAATATAAATAATATACATTTATTAGGTATTCAAAAATCCTTATTTTGGACAAAAAATAAATATATCCTATATTATTCATAATTAACGTGACCATAATTTGATTTACTCAAAGAAGGACACCTGTAAATTTTAATAGGAAAATCATACTAATTTTTGCGTAAAATGACAATACTAGAAATATAGTATAGGTATATAATATTTATTATATAATTTATAAATTATATAATAAAATTTATAAAATTTATATAATAATATTTATAATTTATAAATTATATAATATATATAAAAACACAGACAAATGTTATAAATTTATAATAGATTAAACTATTCGACTGGTTTTTTATATTTTTCGGATCCACAAATCTGCTTTAAAATATCCTATATTCTTAAATATATAATTTAATATGAATCATAATACATTCTAGTATAATTTAATTAATTTAATAATTACACGCAGTAGATAATAGGTATTAATTTGGGTATTAATACTATGAATGTATACGTGTTTTAACAAAATCAAAAAACAAATTTAAATAAGACATTATAGCAATATTATATTATTATAATTTTTTTTAAACTATACCTACTTCCTAGTATACTTTATGTAGCTATAATCAGATATACCCTATTATATAAAAAATATAACTAGGTCTTGTGTTTTTTCCCCAATACTTCATAGAAAATAGAACGAATATTATACTGTCGCATACGAATGCAGGTATAAGAACAATAATTGATAAAGCACGACCTTTGTCCATCAAAATTCGTTTAACCGTAAAGTGTAAACATTGTGGCTATTGAAAAAAAGCCACTATTATACATATAGTGTTTACTTTTTATCGTATTCACGTGGTTCCAACTTCCAAACAATAACAACATGTTTATGCAAGTCAAATGTCTACTAATCTAGAATTATCCATAATGTGTTTTGTAGAATGGCATAAGGACGTTCAATCCCCAACGAGACGGCCAATCGCAGCTCTCGCAGGTGCATGTGGTGTGTAGCTAAACGAGACATGTCGCTACAGGTCCATTGCCGAGACCTTGGGTTTCCTTGCATGCAGCATGACTCATCTGTGAGATTCAGTTTGGTCAGTGGCCAGTGCAAAGAAACACGTCGTGAGTCGCTTACGGTCCCGTCGTCTTCTCTTCATATTTCTGTATTCCGTTCGAGCCACCGTCAATTAACCATTAGTTTAACCGCCAGTAAATATAGACACTTCATTTATATCTATGGTAAATAGATTCCAAAACATAACATATTATAACACAAAACGTCTGCGGTCTGAAATAGGTATAGGTACAATTTATTTTAGTACATTTTTTTTCCATAAAAATCATCTATAAATTGATTTTTACAAAAATGTTATGGGTTAATTGGGCCTGATTGAAGAATCCCTCCATTGAGAAAACTCAAGAGATTTAATAATTATAAAAAAAAATTAAAATGTGTTTATTTAGAAGAAAAATATCAATTTAACCTAGAACGTTTTGTTTATACTTTTTAAGTTAATTTTAATTAAAATTAAATTAATATATGTATTTTTTTCAGTTTATAAAATTAGTCATAGAGATCAATTTCAATATGGTACACATTACCACAGGAATAATCAGCATATTAATGGTATTCATTCTAGTAAGTTATAATTTTTATAAATATTGTTTTATAAGAATAAAAACCAGGGAGTTATTTTTTTAAAATAAGTTCAACTTTAACTGTTTGAAAAAAACTCATTTTTAAAATTTTTTTTAACAGTTATTTTAAATAAAAGTTCTAGCTTAAAAATTTTTTTTTTAAAACTGTTAAACAAAAGTTCTAGCTAAAAAAAGTTTTAGGTAACTTTTACTTTATTCCTTCCAAAATAAAAGTTATATGTACAAAAAAATTCAATTATAATGCAAGATCCTTACTATTTTACTGCTCAGCACTAAAAAACTTCAACTCACACGAGTGAAAAACTAATGAATTCCAGTGATACAGGAAAATATTTTAATGTAATCTGTAGAGAAATATAATGCAACATTTATTTTTTTCATTATGGTTTTACATATTATTATTAAATATTTTGTTGCTTTTTCATAAAATTGATTGTGTTCAAAAAATTAAACTGGCAATTATATTATGGAATTTTGATTATACTTATATTAAATTGGTATAATATTATCATTTGTTTATTGAAATAAAAATTTTAATAAAAATGAAAAGCATAATACTTTTTTTATTAAACTTATTCATTTAATTCATTTACATCAATATGTATAAGTAAAAGTTAAACTTTAACTCTTATTAATAAAAGTTAACCGTTTCATTCTACTCCTGATAAAAACCGTTCATTATACATAACATAGGGCAACTATTTTTTTAAAGCTTTGCCATCCCTCTGTAAATTATATTTCTTCCCTTTTCTGTCATTATTTATAAAATGTGAACTTCTTTATGTATAAAGCCTTATACCTTGATATATCTCACAAATAGCCACCAGGTGTATAAATATACATTTATCGCAGTTCACTCAATTTAAGGATTTAGTTTTAAACTCTGACTACTTTTAAGAATTATCTAAAATAATCTACTATGTTTATCATTAACCCTGTTGACGCTGCTGCAGAAATTAAATTGTACCCTTATGTTTTTAATTTCAATTTTTTCATTAAACTGACAAAAAACAATTAAGTTTTACATAACTTAAAATTATAAGCCCTTATAAAGTCTAAAAAAGTAGCCACGAATTCTATTACTAATAGTATTATACATTTTATTTTATCTATTAGTCTGTTTTTATTTTTAAATTTTAACATTGTTAGCTAATATGGTTATTACATACTATACTATTTATAGGTAATGCAAGGAAATGTTTCTAAATCAATTCCAGAAGGAGCACTTGATAAAATAAATCAAACTGATACCGAGTGTCATACAGATACAGATTGCTATGGGCTTGATCAAAATACGTACTGCGATACCTCTATAAATTTATGTTCTCAATGTGTTAACTGCAGCTTATACTTCAGAAAACCTAATTTGTCAATTGAATGCCCTAAAGATATAGATAACTGTGGTTCATGTCTAGATGGGTAAATATGAATTACATTAAGATACAATTATGTTATGAATAAATAATTAAATGTATTAGGTACTTTGAAGAAGTTTTCTTTGGCGGAGAAGTTCGTGAATTTTGTATTACAAAAGTAGAACCTTCACTTCCATCACCGGGTAAGATTTATATTTTAGTACATAAATACAATATCAAATTTTCTTCTAATTTCAATTTCCTTCTTATCGTAAACTTCTTAAAAGTATTTGTAAACTTCATATTCTATTTTATTGTCCTTCTCTATCTGATAAAGGTTTAACATTGTACTTCTTTTCGAAATCTCTTGATTTTCCTTCTAGTATGTTGTTTATAATGAAATTTTTTAAAAATAAAGCTAAATGGGGACTAAGAATTCATATTCTTTTAAACAAAAAATAGATTGGTTAGATAGATTTGATAACTCAAAGAGGTGTTCTTTCCAGTAAGGCATGCCTTTTAATTTTTTGAATAAAAAATTTATCAGTTCTAGGCCCTTCATCAAAAAAATACTATCTGTTAATGAAATAGTTTTTTTTCGGTTAAATGTTAATAACTTTTTTGACCTCTTAAAAAAAAAAAAATGTATGAAACTTTTTCTGTAGTGTTTCTGGTCAGTTTCATACAGGATAATGTGTTAAAAACTGTCTTAATTTTATTTTTATAATATATTTTTATCTAAATAAATATATTTTTGTATAATATAATTGAAAATTTGTTGGTTAAAGCAAAACTAACTTGGTCATATATGAAACACTAAAAAATTAATCATGTTGAGAATTACAATTAATATTCTTTAAGTATATTTTTTTGCATACTGTATGTAGAAAGTATACACCGTTATGGGGGTTGATAATATGACATAAGTGTACACATCATTGTCACTGACAAAATATAACGCCTACCCTGTTTAAGATACTTCTTAATCAAATAATTTGCATATTATATTAATATGCTTTCAATTTCATTTACAGAGAAAATCAGTTCATCTTTCAACTGGTCAAATATAAGCATAATTAGTATCATTGTTATGTTTTTATCATCTTTATTATGGATTTATTTTTACAAAGGTAAGCAAAAATAAAATAAACCTTTTAAAACACTTAATAAAAACAAAATGTTTTATTTAATAAAGGAAATCATAGTGTAAATCATAATGTACCATCTAATTTTCAAAATGGTACAACACCACCGCCATCATATGATAGTTGTATGAAATTGGATAATTATGTAACTGGTAAGAAATTAAGGCTATTTTAAACAAACTTATTAGTTATGACTAAATATACAAATTAATGTTTTCCAGATGATGTGCAGGAGTTTCATTTGTTCACTGGCGAGCAACCTCCTAGAAACGAATGGAGACATCAAAATGCAGTACCATTTAGATTGGTAGATGATAATATTACAGAGTAAAGATATTAAATAATCTATGCACCATAGGTCAAGTATAGTATAGAAGGACAATGCTCATATATAGATATGGCGTTTCTTATTTTAATTTCATGATATTTTTAACACTGGTAAATTACAGAAATGTAGTAAAATAGTGTTGCTGGTTGTTGTTGCATTGGTGTTGCCTATCTATAGTATATAAAATCTATGATGTTACTAAACAAAATTTGTATTCAAAAATTATTAATTAATTATAAATAAATAAATAAATATAAACATTAATAAATTAAATATTAATGTTTGTCAGAATGAATGTTCGTGTAGACGAAAATGAAAATACTGAGGAAGTCGATGGAATAGATGGAAGTATTATAAGAGGTATATTAAATTTAAACTGCTACTTAAAACTATTGCTAAAAAAAAAAATGTCATTTTAATTTTAGAAATAGAAGCACCAGAATTGCACGACGAAGAAACTATGCCAAGTGTTTGGTCTCCCCCACTGCCGGAACTGTAAGTCAAATTATATATTAAGATTACATTTTTATTTCATGAAATATACAGTTTTTTAATTTGAAATCTTTATTTACAATGACATAGAGTTGAAACAGAACAATCTAATTTGGAAGCATCTTCACCACCATCAAAGCGGATCAAATTGATCCAACAACAGTCTGTTTAACTTTGTTAACATTCAAACAAACAGTGAAGAATGTGAGCGCTAACCTTCATTCCACTCAGTACAATTTATAATTAAGTCAACTCCTCTTAGTTTTACTCTTAGTTAAAAATTAGTTTAAAACTTTGCAAATAATTAATTACTTGACTTTGATACGGGTGTATGTATATCTATATTTTATAAACTTGTCTTAAAAAAATTCTTTATATTTTATTTCCTCCTATCTTTAATTATAGTGTATATTTTTTATTGTTACTATTTTTGTTTAAATTTTAATTTAATTGTCTAAAGACTGATAAATGACTTGTTTATAAACAAAATTGTATGTGAAGTAAGGTCTGTAACACAGAAATGTGTTAGATAAAATCCTTCATAACATTATAAATTGCAATATATTATAGAAATAATAACTTGAATAAATGTTATATTGTGTTATTATAATACTATATGTCTTTTATTACACTTTGAGTGAAGTATTTTTTTATGCTAATGAATGTTAATTATATAACACTTGTATCATAAAAATTATGCTTTCTTACTAAATATGAATTTAAAAAAATGATTTCTCGTACGCAACATTATGAATCTATTGTTATTAAAACCATAACAAATATCATGAATATATTGAACAGTTCTATAAATTAAGTAAAATAGTTATATTACTGAATATTTAATTTCTTTTCTTTTTTCTAGAATAAAATGGGTACATAACATCTGTATAAAAGCAATTAGTATTCTTTACTATATTAAAATGAATTACTTTTTTAAGATTTCTTATTGTTTAAACTTTTAAACATTTTTTACAATAATGAATTACTAAGATTTATTATACAATAAGAAATTTTATTTGATGATGTATAAACGGTAGATTATATTTATTATATATATATATATATATATAAAATGTTAGACCTATTAGTGATTAGAGAAACGTTAAATTAAAATTAACATATAATATATTAATATACACATTGAGTTAAATGATAAATTACCCATTAATTATCTTTTGAGAATTCTTCATTGTGTAATAAATCATCAATCTCTCGCTTTGCTTTGAGCCGTTGTTCTACAGGAACAAAAATGATTTCATACGTTCTATAAGCAAATAATCCCGTGGAAATAATTGTTAAGCCAACAGCTACTGTAACGACGCCTTTATGCATTGTGTCGAATATCTTGTTCATCAATCTAACCATGGTGAAATTTATTTGACTTCTATATAAGTTTAAAATAAAAAAATTAAAATGATATGAAACACTATTTGGTTAAAAGTAATAGTAAAACTGTGTAAAGTATTTATGAATAAAACTATTTTTTAAGGATAACTCTTCATAAAAGAGCTTTTTAAATAATTATTCAACATCCAAATTTTATTATGGAATTTTTAATTTCAATTTTAAGTTTTCTGCATGGAAATTGGAAATTATACTACTGCGTGATAACACATTCGAACGTTATCTGATTAAAAAAAAAGTATCACGAAGCGGAGGTATCAACAGTGTTGATGGTTGAAATGTACAGGTTATTGCACATCGTCCCGAATTGTTTTCTTCAGAAATAAAATGGCAGCGTTAGGGGATATCAATTCTACTATATTATATTTGACTGTATACGTCTTGTATACTTAATTTTGCTGGGCTAGCCTCACGATGTACAGACGATTTTCTCTACATCGTGGCTAGCCTTTACGCTGACATATTTGTTTTTATCATCGAATATTTAATGAAGAATAATGTGCAATAACCTTGTGTATTTCAATCATGATGAAAGCCAATATTATAGTTTACGACCAGCTTCACGGAGAGTATTACAGTAGCGCCTTCTAGTAATCTCTTTACCAATGCATATTAATATATATATATATATATATATATATATATATATATATATTAATTATGAACATAAACTCTAGTTTCTTTTTTTCTCTGATATATGGCGCTACAGGGACATTAAATCTATGCTGGGCGTACGTTAACAGACCGCACCTCTTTCTCCTCGCTCCATCTTGTTATAATTATCACATCATAGTATAGGTACATACTTTTAGTTTCAGGTGGAATTATTTCCCTGACCTTAGACAAGTGTAGTGTATACAATAGTGAATAGAGTATAGACTGGCGACCGCGCAAGTCGTAATGGACAACCATTTACACTTTCCAGTCTTCTTCATCGTAGTATCTACGTATTTGTTGGGAACTATCAAGAACCAGCAGGGATATTTGGACATCTGTTGCACAACATAGTAATTTGTGTACAGACAGCAGCCAGCAGGCCGCTCAACTTTAATAATATGGATTATGGCCACAACACACTGGAATTGATATTAAAGTATGGATTCAATATTTAAAATGTATAAGTATGTAAATAGTACAATCTTATTGCATATGGATATTAATGAAATGCTTAAATGTTAATGAAAACTCGTTCAGAACTAGTTTTCTCATTTAAAACTTCATCAATCATTCAACAATAAAATACAAGCCGGACTATACAGTGTTTTTGGTGAAAATTTTACCTATATGGCTTTGACTGAACCGGACAAATACCCATTACTCTATCACTGTTCATATACAATTTTATCCATTTGTATATTTTCATGACTTTCTGATGGATTTAAAATCCACTGAAATTATGTACCTAAAATCATCATGTACCATCATCATTCATCACCATCACACTCATAATCACCTCGTCAGTTTGGTTAGAATTGAAGAATGATATCAATAATATTTGATTTCCAATTTCACAGCACAGGCATTTGCCATACATCTTCCATTTTAACCAAACCGGTAAAAATGTATGGCTAAAATTATCTCCAAAACTAATAATGTACGCTGTAATTATAAAATGTATAATTCTTCTACTTCTTTATGTTTTTTTTTTAATTAGACATACAAGACATTGGAGTCAAGTTGTTCTAGATTGAAAGAACTTAGAAAACCTAAGCAATCTCTTTTAGAATATATAGTTTAAACAAATATTATAAATCCACTTCACCACAATATGATATGATTTACTATAGCGTATCCTTTTTATTTCAATAACAATTATCGTTAGTGCTCTCTGAAGACATTGTTCAAGTAAAAAATGTACATTTGTTGTGAAGGATATTTTTAATATTTAATTTAACTTTTTTTGTTGTATACCAGTTTTATAAATAAATCTATTTTTTTTCTCTTGTTTATATAAGGAATTCATTTTTAGAATGAATACATGAAGGACCCTGTCATCAAACTTAACATTATTTCGAATTAGTATTATTTATTTTGGGTGTATACCTGACATTTTATGAGAATCTCCTTTTGTTCATATTTAATTTTGCCGGCGTAATTATTTTGTATCATCAAACAGAGCGTGACAATTTTGGAAAATCATTGGGATTGAACTGTTTGGGCTTTCATATCTCAAGGCTATTATGATATTTAATCTTTGTTATTATTACTCGTACAATTTTTGATGTCTGATAAACTTTAATTTGTGTGGTCGCCTGAAGTTTTTATCAAATACTGGCACTTTTATAGTGTTTTCATTATAGCAATTTCACTCCAAATTAATACATAGCATTGTATTATTTATAATATGAAAAATAATGTGTGTTCTATTAATATTTGTAAAATTAAAATAAAAAAATATTATGACTCCATGTATTTAATAAATTAGTGTTTTTAATTCAAATACTTGTATAACAATAAAAAAAATAAAACTAATGCCTAGTGTAATTAGTCTCAACAGCAACTTAAAAACTTTTTTGTAATAATATTTGATCATCTGTTTGTGATTAAATATGGCAATGAATTACCAAATCACAAATCATTCTATTTTTCTTTATGTTTTGCATCAATTATAATGAGGTTCGTATGAAATTATTATTTCCTGGAAGCTCCAAATTATGTGACGATAAATTATTCTGATAAGAACTAAACATGTTATAATAATATACTATATATATATATATATATATATATATATATACTATATATATATATATATATATATATATATATATATATATACTGTGTTTCATAAAACAGGATTGCAGCTAACATTTGATAGAACATCAATATTTATTCATTTAAAATGAACTACCTACTATGCTATCTTGTTTTAAAAATAAAATATAATTTGTTTTTATAAATTAATGAAAAAATGTCTATTATAAATATTTATTTATTTTTTGTATTGGATATAAATGTTTTATTTTTTTTAATCCTAGAGCAGACTGCAAAAGATGATTTAGGTATTTCTAAAAACATTTGGATCTTATGTAAACTGTATTTAAAAGACTTTCATTTTTCTTTCCACTTATTTTCAATATAAAAATGTATTTTATACTAGATTTGGAATGAACAAAGTAGAGAAAGATGATATTTTTTTAAATGAGATAGATTTATTAGGAAACCTATATTAGGAAAAATTACTATCAACACTGTAAACACTATGTAACCTTTATCCATTAACAAATATTACCCTAAATCCTAATAAAAACAAACATTAATATACATTTTTTAGTACAAAATAACAATTATTAATTCAAACATTCATTATTTCTGTTGCAGAAATTGACTTTAATATCTAAATTTATACTAATGGAGGTTGATACGAAATCATCTCAAGAAATGGAGAATGTTGAAATAATGCAACAAATGGATTTGATTAGCAATCACATTACACATACAAATGAAATCCGCATGAACATTCAGTCTGAAATTGATTCTTTTAATATTTTGTATGCAGAATGTGCCAAATGTACCCGTATGTTTCAAAGATTTTCTTTTATAAAAATTTGTTTGTAGTATTTTGAAATAATCATTTGCTTTTCAATTTTAAAGAACACTTGCAACACATGAGAAACCAAAGAATGAGTATCCCTCAAGGTCCAGAAATAGAACGTAAATTAAAACAAGAAAAAGAGCTGTACGAAGGACAACTAAAAACACAGTCATTGAGTCTCAACAACGCTCTTTGTATTTACATTAATAAATTAAACGAATCTTTAAATTTGCTCAGTCCCGTACAAAGTCATATAATCGATAAAGCTTTGATTCAGTGGAAACGTGAACAGCAGTTAACTGGTAACGGATACAAATACATCAAGGATATAGACGTCATACAGATATGGTATTTGTTGATAATTAAATTAGTTGAAGTGATTTTAAATACTAATTATACATATTATTATTATTATTATTTATATTAAAGGTGTGAAAAGTTGTGTGATTTGATATGGATAACGCGCTCACAAATTAAAGAAGCCGATCGTTTCAGAGTAAATTTGGGTCGTTATTTTGAATTACCCCAGTCATGTGAGATTATAAATTCTCTTCTAGACTTGACCACGCAACATCTAGCATCTTTAGTATCCAGGTATAGTTGTGAGAGAGAAAACTAATAAATAAATTAAACTTGCATGTTAATAATAATTATTATCGTTGTATAGTACGTTCGTTATAATAACTCAACCTCCACAAGTTCTAAAGACTAATACGAGATTTGTGGCCGAAGTACGTTTACTGATTGGAGGTAAACTGAATATCCACATGACTTCTCCCGTGGTATGTAAAGAAAACTATCTTGTTGTTTATACTCTAAATTTGATGAATACTATTTTTAAAATGTGTTGATTTTTTTTTTTTTTTTTTGTCTAAGGTTAAAGTTTCTATAGTAAGCGAAACACAAGCAAACCAAATAATTGGCAGAAACAAACCAGATGGAGAGTCATGTGGTGAAATACTTAATTGCTCAGGAAAAATGGAGTACCAACCGGTACAGAGACATCTTTCTACCAATTTTCGGTGAGTAAAAACTGTTATAAAATTGTTGAAAAAAAATATATATGCACTGCTAATAATTATTTCCATATAGGAGTATGCAGCTAAAGAAAATTAAGCGTACCGAGAAAAAAGGAACAGAATCCGTTATGGATGAAAAGTTTTCAATCTTATTTTCTTCCAAGTTCTATATTGGCAATGAACTTCAATTTGAGGTAAATAAAAGGAATATCACATTAAGAGTCTATAAAAATTAAACAATATTATGTATTGCATTAAAAGAATTTAAGTTTTAAATAAATGTAAATTAAATATTTATTGTTTTTTTTTTTCATCACAGGTATGGAATTTATCTCTACCTGTTGTGGTCATTGTACATGGTAATCAAGATCCTCACGCTTGGGCTACTGTTACATGGGACAATGCTTTTGCTGAACCTGCTCGAGTTCCTTTTAGTGTCCCCGACAAAGTACCATGGAGAAGTGTTGCAGAAGCGTTAAACATGAAATTTTTTGCTGCAACTGGCCGTGGCCTTTCCGATGAAAGCTTAACATTTTTGGCTGAAAAAGCTTTTAGGTAAATTTTGTTTAATTCATTCTTGTTATAGATAATTTTACTTATTTTCTACTGACTATTGATTCTCACTCAGTTACAATAATTTATGCTATTTGTTTTTTTTTACAGAATTAAAGCTATTGATTTTAACAATATGTTGTTGTCTTGGTCATTTTTTTGTAAAGAACCTTTACCCCAAAGAAGTTTTACATTTTGGGAGTGGTTTTATGCAGTAATTAAGATAACTAAAGAACATCTTAAGGGACCTTGGACCGATGGGTAACTATTTACTATAAAATAACTGATACAAAAATATATATTAGCCTCTTTTCAAAAAAAGTCATTTTTATCTGTATCGCTGATTGCAGAAACCACATAAGTAAATTTTTAATTGTGTACCTACAAGGGTCTTGTTTTAAAAAACTTTCATGTCTAATTTCTAAGAACGATCTAAACTAGTGCAGAACCATTATTAATTTAATATATATATTTTTTTTAATTCCAATGATTAGTTATTATTGTCTAGTGTGGTTTTTGCAATCAGTGATTCAACTGTAGTTGTGGTTTCACCCGTGTTGTACTATTTAGGGTAAGTAAAATGTTTAGGTTAGGTTAGATAGTAAAATTGTTTTGTTTGTTTAAGGGCAATTATGGGATTTATTGGAAAATGTGATGCAGAAGAAATGTTAACCAAGTATACAACTGGTACATTTTTGTTAAGATTCTCTGATTCAGAACTTGGTGGATTAACTGTGGCCTGGGCAGGTTGTAAGTTCTAGCTGTATCTATTAATATAATTTATTACTTGCATTTTATATTATTTTAAACTATTTGTAAGTTTATACTTGTTCAAGTTCTGTTTGCTTATTGTAGATTAATATTTACATATTATCTCAATATATGTCTGATGATATGGTCACATTTCTATGTGTTTACCACAGAGCCAATTTTTGTTTTTAATAGCAACATTTTTTTAAGTTCCGAAGTGACAACCTAGCTATATCTAGATAAACACATACAAAATCTATACCATACATTTTTGCATCCATTCATTAACTGTGAAAGTCTGTTCTTTTCTTTTATTTAATTATTAGTATTATTATTATTTTTATAACGTTTTTATGAACTCACAATCTTGTTTCTGTGATGTGGAATCTTGCAATTCAAAAAGACTTATTTCTCAACAGCTAGCAAAAATTATGCGTGGTACGTTTGGGCTTGAACGGTGCTCAGATAAGAGCGGTACCAGGTTCAAACCCGTTTCCATCATTATACTTTTTTACATTTTCATACAACTTTTATGATATTTTATATAGTAATTACAACCTAATTTCAACTTTTATGATAATATATACAGTAATAAATCTAAAATTATAAGCTTTTAAATTGATTACTAATTCTTATAGTAATCCTTCTGACCATGCAGCCTTTTCTAATGTATGGTTAACATTGTACATTTAAATATATAGACACGTACATACGAAAACGAAAAAGAACAAAATAACTAAAGTAGATTAAAAAATTAATCTAAAAAAATAACGTTTTTATGCGCCTTAAAAAGTATAAAATAACTCCGGGGGTCTTGATAACCAAATAGGACAGGTGAACTAGAAAAACGTGGGGCGCATGTTTACTACTTCACACGTCTGAATATATAATAACATTCTCTTCTCATTAATAACTATCTTAACTCATAATTCATGCACAATCATCTTTTCTCTTCTAAATAAAATAATTCTTAATGACATGTCATGTAAAATTGAGCACCACATTACTTTAAATGTTAAGCAAGTAGGTAGTTAACAAAAAAATTGAAGCAACCTACATAAAACAAACTTTGGAGAGAATAGCAATTAAGTCTTTTCAATTTGCAATGAAATTTAAGGCAAGTGACACGGAAATCCATTAAATTTCATTTCCGATAAAAAGTCATACTATCACTTTCTGATCCGTTCGGTTAGAGAGACAGCATTATGAGAGACAACTTAATGCATTAGCATGAAAGCTTAGGTTTAAATATCTAAGTAGAAAGATGCGTTCCACGTTTTTCTAGTTCACTTGTCCTATTTTGTTATCAAGACCCCCGGAGTTATTTTATACTTTTTAAGGCGCATAAAAACGTTATTTTTTAGATTAATTTTTTAATCTACTTTAGTTTTAAAATAATTATGCTTAAGATAAAAGTGATTTTAAGAGTGTTAAAAATATCAATAGTTAGCAGATCAAAAAATTACCATAAGATTTATACTAATCATTTATTAATAATATAATATAATAAATTATATACTATATACTTTAAATGATGATGGGATATTTTTCTTTTTTTCTTTACAGCTAATGAATCTGATGCTTATAGTTTGCATCCATTTTCTGCTAAAGATTTATCAATACGCAATTTGGCAGACAGGCTTTTAGATTTGCCATATCTGACCAAATTATATCCTGATATTGATAAAAATCAAGCATTTGGAAAATACTATACACAGCCTCCAGGTATGTGTTAGAGATGATGTTTTTTTCAAGCACTAAATATTAACATTTTACTAGAATTGTGAATTATAAAACTACACATAAATTGTATTTTTAGCTGCTTGCAAGGGGTTTAACATTAACTTCCTTCGGGAAGACTATGCTAACCTGGCGAATTTTTTACAAATTAATTAATAGGTAGTATAAAATCTACTTGAACCCTAAACCATAAAAATTATACACTTCTTGCGTACACGTGTTACGACAACGATGTTGTCATCTTCAGCGCTAACAACAGACTGAGACCGATTACGGGCGAACATCTCCCTCTATACATAGATACAAGGTCATTATACCGGGTGTGACGTCATACCGGAAATGATGACTCATTTGTCAACACATTTTATAAATTTTAATAAAATGTTTTGTAATGGACTTAAGTCTCAGTTTAACAAATTTGTCCTATTTTTAACATTTCTATTGCTTCCCTAATATTAAGTTCTTTAGAGTTATTTACATTTTTTAGTAATTTTACTGATTTGATACTATGATTAGTGTCCAATAAATGTTCTGCAACAGGAGATTTGTGTACTTCTTGGTTTTTGATGTTCCTTATGTGTTCTTTAAACGTAACCCCAATATTTCTTTTTGTTTGACCTACATAACATTTAGCACACTCTTCACATTGTATTTTATAAATCCCGGATTTTTCTTCTTCCCCTATTTTATCTTTGGTACTACCTAACAAAGATTTTAATTTAGTACTTTTCGATGCGACTAGAGTTACACCGTAATTTTTAAAAATGTTTGTTAACCCCTTTGAAATACCTAGTAAATAAACCATACCCGATCTAATAATTTTTTCATTACCCCTCCTACTGAGCGTACTGGCTGTTCTAACTTCCCTTGACCATTTTTGCTTATTGACTAATCTAAAAATCATATTTGGATCATACCCATTAAATTTAGCTATTTCAATTATTAAGTTAAGTTCTTTATCAAAATCATTTTTTAACATAGGAATATTTACTAATCTAAAACCATACTGTTAAATGCTGCCATTTTGTGTTGCCAACTGTGATTCGAATTTTTCGGTATGTACCTAAATGTGTGCGTTTTCTTCCGATAAATCTCAAAACCTAAATAATTGTCCATTCTTTTAATTAGTAAATCAAGGAAAGGTAACTTTCCATTGATTTCTTTTTCATACGTTAATGGTTAAGAAGGATAATGAGAATTTATATTTTGAAGAAAACGATCAATATTGAAGTCTTTATCCACTATAGCAAAAATGTCATCAACATACCTAAACCAAACTTTCGGAAAATTATTATTACTATTTTTAATATTTGTTTCAAACCTACTCATAAACACTTCCGCCAAGAAAGGTGACAATGGATTACCCATTGCTGTGCCTTCAGTTTGTGCATAGAACCTATTCTGAAACTGAAAAACATTTTCTCATACATAATTTTGTTAAATTTATTAACTCACTAACCCTGTCTTTTTCTATATTTTAATTATTTAACCAATCTATTAAAAAACCTATTGTTATGTCTATGGGAATACTTGGGAATAAAGCTACCACGTCGAAGGATATCAGTCTATTGTTTGGTTGGATTTACAAAACATTTTATTAAAATTTATAAAATGTGTTGACAAATGAGTCATCATTTCCGGTATGACGTCACACCCGGTATAATGACCTTGTATATATGTATAGAGGGAGATGTTCGCCCGTAATCGGTCTCAGTCTGTTGTTAGCGCTGAAGATGACAACATCGTTGTCGTAACACGTGTACGCAAGAAGTGTATAATTTTTATGGTTTAGGGTTCAAGTAGATTTTATACTATATATTTAACCATAAGTTTGCTTAACAGTTTTTTCTAGATTAATTAATAGGGTTTATTAATTTTTAATATTTTGTATTTTTGTTTTAAATGATGTAAAAAAAATATATATTTAAGTTAATAAATATTTTTTATTTTAATATTTAGACTTGAGTATGCCTGTTACAAGAAACGGATATCTTAAACCACTATTAGTTACCCATGTACCTGGATGGGGCGGACCGAATGGTCAAGGAATAAACAGTTTTCCTAATACTTCACCAAATCACATGTTTCATACTTATTTGTAAACTCCTAGTCCTTACAGTAGACAACAAATTTTGTGAACAACAAATGATTAAAGAAGTAAGAAAAACATTTAATATTATATGAAACTGTATTTCATTAGCTTTAGGTGATATCTCAGTATTTATTTGTTTTTTAAAATTAAATTATTTTCTATCTCTAATGTCTAGTTATGTCTAATAAAGCGATGTGATAAATAGTTCTTGCATTTTCTTCGTTAAAATTTGGCATACCTAATGTTTTCGGTTAATAAAGGGTCAAATGGTCAATGGTAAGAAAGAAATTTAAAGTTACCCACTTAGAAAAATATGGACCACCATAGATAAATTTTAAAGTTTAAAAGGCTCTAAAATTTAAAAAAATTGAGTCTCAAATATAAAAAATTAGCCTATTTGATAGGATATTAGGTTTAAAATACTTTATTAACTCGACTATTATTAAATTAACTTAAAATAATAATAAAACAAATTCGCTCATGAAATAATTGAAAGTTTTTAAGGATTTTTAAAAATGTATTGATGTAATGATACGTATTGTAGTATTTGTTCAGCTCCTTGTTGAAGCTAAAGTTGTTATGTTAAAGCTAACTAGTTATTATTTTATATTATTATATCATTATTATCATTTGATACAATATAAATGAATAAACATTTTTATTGTCTTATAGGTGTAGAATTCACTTCTACACATGTAAAAATATTCATTGGTTTTTATAAAATATATCATTGTTATTTTGTGTTTTAGCAACATCTACTAAAATACGCAGTTTCCACTTAATACAACGCCATTGACAAAGGTAATTTATTACAGTTTAATACTAGATTATTAACAAGAAACATTAGTAACGCATCTCCTTAATTAAATCGTTGGTTTACTTTTTCAGAAGTGGTTCATGGCTTCAAGATACTTTCAAAAGAATGCATTGGCAGACCTCTAGTTGGAAATCAATGCTGTAAATGTGCACTTCACATCAGTTTTAAAAATGTTTTTGCGATACATGCCTTTTTTTACTTATTCACTGGTATTTAATTTAATTCAATGTACTCTCCATAATGTGATTACATATTTATATTTATAATGTACTTACTTAAGGATATGAGAATTAAATATTAAATAATTCAGGGTTAAGGGACAACATTATAGGGGTAGACGAAGTACCCATCCCAGTTTGCGACCACACTATATATATATAGATATGTTTTATTGTGTACTTTTTTATTTTATACAGGGTAACACACCTCTTTGTTATATAATTATGATTATTTACAAATTGTTCACCTCAATTTATAATAAATATAAAATTAATTAAAGAGCAGAGCGGTGGCCAAGTGACTAGAAACATATTATGTTTTGCTCTTGAAGTTAGGATTTGACACAAGGTAGCCATGAAAATTTGCTCGTTTGTGACCTCACAAGTATTTGAACTGCCCAATAATTGATAAAGTAGTTATAGTTACCTAGAACCATTTTTTGATCTCCTATCTCGTATGGGGTCAATCGGGTAATATGTTAAAATAAGGATTAAGTGGATGTGAAACTGTCATTTTTGACATTTTGTTTTTCTTTAAAAAAAAGTTTATACACTTCTATTTAAAATTGTGCTTAATCCTTAAATGGTTTGTTAAATTTTAAATAACTATCAGTCAGTGAATATACAAAAAATAACATTGTCTTTAAATGTGTGTTTCTTTAAATTAAATGTTTTACTGTTTATATTATATTATGCAGCAATGTATTAATTATTTTTAAGATAGCTATAAGGATCTGTCGTTAGCGCTGAAGATGACAACATTGTTGCTGAAATACATTTACGCAGAGAGTGTATTATTTTATGGTTAAGGGTTTTAAATATTAATTTCTTTAATCTTTATTAGCTATAAAACCTTATTCCTGTAATTAATTATAAACATATGAAAAATAAGCTGTTTAAGCTCCATTCTATTTAAATTGTTCAATGAACAAAGATGACAAGTACAAAAATGTATTTAAATACAACATTTATGGAAACTTTTTTTTTTTTTTGTGATACTCATATTTAATGATTGTATAAAAATATCAATATCCAAAATTTTAAAATATTCCCCTTAAAAAAAATTATATTTATGTAGTTTTATAAATCTGAATACAGTGATGAAATTTCTCTTGAACCTTGAGTTGTTTTTGTTTGTTTTTTAATTAACCAAAAGTTGTATAAACAATAGTTTTGTGTTGTTTTAGTGTGATCCGTAAGTTTAAAAAATTGTGTTCAAATTGGGATTTTTATTCCATTTTTTTTTAATGATTTCAGAACTGATCTCGGATATAACATAGATTTTTTTTCATAATTTTTAAACTAAAAACATTTAAAATTTAAGTTTGGCAGCTATTTAAAAAACTTGGTGATGAGTTTATTTTCCAGTTTTTTTCGAGAACATGTTTTCAAAAACTACTTGACCGAATCGAACGATTCCTTATTTGTCTTAAAAACTACATTTTATCTATACTAGTTCTATTGAAAGGAAAATAAAGAAGATAAACGAAATTGTTGGTGCTCAATTCAAGAAAAGTTCTGTTCGACCTCTCCCATAGATATTTTAAAGAATACAGTAATAAAGGGGCCTCTAGGGTACTGGAACTCGGTTATAGAATAAACAGGCTTTGTATGATCTCGAATGAATGCACCTTGCATGGCAATTGGCAAAACAAATTAATTTTACAAGAGGGTTTTTTTTTAAAAATTATAAAAATGAAGGACCCCATATCATTTTCAAAAAATTTAGTATTTCCGACCTCTTAAATATTTATTGACGCATATCAATCAACGCCGAATTAAATACAGATTTTTAAAAAAAATGTTTCATTGTTTCAGGCATGAGTCATGACTAAATAGACAGGAATTTGCTAGATAATACTGCGCAGGATAATTGCCCGGACTTGGAAAAAGAAGTTTTTACCGTGTTAATTTCTCATTATAAATTATAACATCTTCCATGACTGAGGCACAACATCGAACGCGTGCAAAGCGCAATTATAGGAAAAGTTTGTAATCTAGCAACCGTGCCTACTTTGAATGTCATAAGACAAGCACATGGGACATGGCGTATGTTGTATAATACTTGTAAATTATATACCAAATACCCATTAGTCATTACTCGTCGAAATTTTACCTGTGGGTGTTACTCTTTATCGATCGGCGATACGTATTTTTTTTAATATGAAGTTAGTAACAAGTGATAAGATCACCTGTATGACTTCTATGATGTTAGTAACAGTAAAATTTTGACAACTGTTGCGCAGGAATATTGTTCTAGGTATGAAATATATTGAAATATTAAAGAAAATCATTAAAAACTTAAATTGGTAATACTGAAATGATTGGTGTCTAGCAGCAGCTCTAGCTATAGCATGTAGTATATACACTATAAAGACATACAGTGTATTGTGTTTTCTGTGTGCATAATAGTGTTTATTATTTGGGTAATTTATTAATGATGACATATTAGCAGTAGCAATAATTATCTCAAACTATAAATTCATGTTTATTAAACAACAATTTTTGTTTTTGTACCAGTGAAGTGATTTGTTTGTAGCTTACGACTTACTACGCATACAATGTATAGTTATACAAAGTGCTCTTAAGTTGAAACAGAAGTGCGCGTAATATTATAAGTAATTATTATACATATTATACTATTCTGTACATTTTGTAACTAACCACATTTTATTAAAATATATTTTAAACGATTTATTTTATTCACTCAAAGTGTCTCTAATAACTTCGTGGGAAAAACTACAACAACAGAACTTGCAAGGTGAAGACTTTCAACGTATATATGGTGATCATTTCCCCATTGAAGTACGTCAGTTGCTATCACCCTGGTTTGAAACTAAAGTTTGGTAAGATCATATTCTATTATTAAATATTGAAACTCTAGTTACAACTATTTAATTTAGATTGAGTAATTAATGAACCGTGTATCTTATTTATAAATATTAAATTGCCAATTATTTAGAATTAAAACAATTATTATAGAAACAAAATGTTAATATTGGCATATAATATTTAAATAATTATAACCAATTTCTATATTACTTGTACATCAACTTATAATCGATAATTTAGATAATGAGACTGTGGCAAATATAATAAATCGGCATAAACGCAGTTTAGTTCCTAGTCGCTTTTTTCAAAAATGTTTTTTTGTAATATATGTATTTTTTATTTTGGAAACTATGGTGAAATCAAATTTTGGCGGTCAGACTTACTTTAAAAGCTATGAGCAAAATCTTGATTTTTTATAAGTGCAAGAACTTCATAAATATCAAATTTTTAAAATAATTGTTTTTCTTCAAATTACATATTTTTTTTTATGTTTAAAAGAATGGTGCAACCAGAAATGAATATCATACTCTTATTTTTTAAGTTATGAGCAAAAACTTAAAATTGTTATCAACTTTTGTATCATACTTTTTATTATATTTAAACGCTTTTGGTAAAATCAAAATAACCCTTGCGTAATTACTTTTTGAGTTCGTAAAAAACTGTCAAGGTGACTTTTACGTGCGAGTGACACTATATCTTGACGGTTACTGGCCGATTCGACGTCCCGCATTTCCTTCAAGCTTAATTTGTGACTTGATGCTTTTTTTTATACATTTCTTATTTTATTCTTAAATTTAACTGGACTTAATTTTAAACCTGTTGACTCCCTCTAGACAGTAGCCTGCAAACCTGGAATATTTTTAGTTTAGCAGAGTGAACCAACAACACTTTGTGACCCTCGCTTTATTTGACTTAAATTCAAACTTGACCTAACTTTAAACCTTTAACTTCTCCTAGAATTGTAGCGTGTAATGCTCGCACTTAATACTTGTAATAAAATCGCTATACATTATATGATTAATGTCAATGTCCCACATTGCTTCGTCTTTTATGGTTGTTTTTTTTATTTTTACACTTATTAAGTATTTTTGGTAAAAGTTCACTTTAAGGGGTACACTATTTGATGTGATTTTTTTACCACCTTGTAGTGTTTTTACGCTGATTACGAAGTCAGAAATCGGCGGACTCTTCCATGTCAAAAGTTATAGCACTTAACATTTTTCTGCATGTACTACAGCAGGCAATGAGCGACTAGGGTGGGCTAGGTTTGGGTTCTATAAGTCAATGATTGTTTGCATAACAGTATCGGGTTAGTTTAGTCTTTTACATGAGCTATTTTTTGCTCAAGGGTTTTAGGGACATGAGCCCCTTATCCTAACCAGGTGCTCGATTCTTAGGCTCCCGGAGCTCGTGGTTATTGGGAGTCATTTTATAAAGTTATAGGTTTACAAATACTAAGTAGGTGTAAAAAAAAGAGGGGGGATTACCAAATGTTGGTAGTAACTATCATAATAAAGTGCATGCCCGGTTGTAAATTTACTTTATGTTGATTTTAGGTAGAGTTACAATTGTAATTTTATTATTATTTTTTTTTTTTTTTTCAATAAAGTTTCAATTACAAGCCATCAGTGTGTCAATTTTTCAATTTTTTGTTTTTTTTTTTCTACCACACTACATCAATTAGATGAGATACAGTGGCTGGCGTTACTACTGTGGGTGCAGGGGGGCCTCTGCTCCTGGGCACATTCTAATGTAGGGCGTTATTGTACGGTTTACTAACACGTTAACATGTAATATAGGGCGCAAAAAGAAATGTCTTGCGCCTGGGCACTTAAGTCTCTAGTTACGCCACTGATGAGTTACAAGTTTTAAGTCAGGTTAAAAGTAAAATAAAAAGCTAACAGAAAAGCCAAGACAGTAACGTTTGGAAAATCAATGTTTTGAATGAAGTTTTATATCTAAAATTATATTTTATTCATTGCACTATTTTTTAAAGTACATGTGTATTTAAAATATAACATATTACTTGTCTAATAATAAGCTTTTGGAAACCAAAACCTTTTGAGTTCTACATCAAAGCATAAGTATACCTATACTATGTAGATTAGAGTAAAATTATATGTATAAGTAATATGATAATATAAATAGGTACTGGTTTCTAAAGTGATGCTACTTAATCTATTGACAGATTTAGATTCTGTGTAAAAAATTCTAAATAATTAATGTATTTTGGTTTTTGTTGCAAAATCATATTCAATGTTATTAATAAATATAATATAAATAGAAGAAAAAGTGTGGTTTTATTCAACTAAATAAAGTAGTTTTCTCAAATAATGTTTTTTTTCTTTTTAATACATTATTACGTAAAAACATGACGAATAATAAATGTTTTGTTCGATTTTATTATTTAGAAGAAATAATATATTTAATTTATGAAATAATCAGATAAAAAGTTTACTAAACCATTTTTTTTCTGTTTTACATCAATGAGATATAATGCTTATTTTAAATTGGTTTTCCTGGAACATCCGAATTGTGCATTGATAATTGGTTCTGATAAAAAATAAATATGTTCTTAACACACAATGCATATTTCTCAAATAAAAAAAAAACTGCAATTACTATTTTAAGTGACCATACATATAACAACATAATATATTAAATTGTGTGTTTTATGAATTCTTATAAATAACTTATAATATAGCTTATTTAATTAATAATTGTTTATAAATAATTTATTTACTAATATTTTATGGTTCTTACATTTCATAGGGCTGACATTGATCCCGATAATTTAGAACACGAAAACTACATTAAAGATTTATTTGTTTCTTTTGTGAATGAAATAGTAGCTAAAGCTAATTCTATGGTTACAAATGACTTGTTTGTTAACAAATTGAAATTGATTGACACTGCCAAGTTGTACAAAGTAAGAATTGTGTTTTTTTCTTAAAAAATAATATTCTATTTGTGTATTTGGTATTAAGTTCATATATAAAAATATAATATTATAAATAATACTTTTTTCTCTTTGAGAGAATAATAATTGTATAAAATTATACTTTGACAACTTTTTTTTTTTTAAAGGAAAAATATTCACAAAATCCAAAGGAATTAATCAGAATTATTAAGAAGTGTTTAGAATCAGAAACAATATTGGCTCAACAAAATAATGTAAGTATAAATTTTTTTTTTTTTAAGAAAAACATTTTTTAAGTATATAATGTAATTAATTTAATTAAATTAATGAGAAATAAATAGTTATTATTATTTACAAAAAATCTCAAGCGCTTAGTGAACTTTTGGACTTTGGTATTTGATTATAATTATTGTTATTAATATCATCTAGTCACTAATGGAAATAAACACGAAATCATCTCAAGAAATGGAGAATGTTGAAATAATGCAACAAATGGATTTGATTAGCAATCACATTACACATACAAATGAAATCCGCATGAACATTCAGTCTGAAATTGATTCTTTTAATATTTTGTATGCAGAATGTGCCAAATGTACCCGTATGTTTCAAAGATTTTCTTTTATAAAAATTTGTTTGTAGTATTTTGAAATAATCATTTGCTTTTCAATTTTAAAGAACACTTGCAACACATGAGAAACCAAAGAATGAGTATCCCTCAAGGTCCAGAAATAGAACGTAAATTAAAACAAGAAAAAGAGCTGTACGAAGGACAACTAAAAACACAGTCATTGAGTCTCAACAACGCTCTTTGTATTTACATTAATAAATTAAACGAATCTTTAAATTTGCTCAGTCCCGTACAAAGTCATATAATCGATAAAGCTTTGATTCAGTGGAAACGTGAACAGCAGTTAACTGGTAACGGATACAAATACATCAAGGATATAGACGTCATACAGATATGGTATTTGTTGATAATTAAATTAGTTGAAGTGATTTTAAATACTAATTATACATATTATTATTATTATTATTTATATTAAAGGTGTGAAAAGTTGTGTGATTTGATATGGATAACGCGCTCACAAATTAAAGAAGCCGATCGTTTCAGAGTAAATTTGGGTCGTTATTTTGAATTACCCCAGTCATGTGAGATTATAAATTCTCTTCTAGACTTGACCACGCAACATCTAGCATCTTTAGTATCCAGGTATAGTTGTGAGAGAGAAAACTAATAAATAAATTAAACTTGCATGTTAATAATAATTATTATCGTTGTATAGTACGTTCGTTATAATAACTCAACCTCCACAAGTTCTAAAGACTAATACGAGATTTGTGGCCGAAGTACGTTTACTGATTGGAGGTAAACTGAATATCCACATGACTTCTCCCGTGGTATGTAAAGAAAACTATCTTGTTGTTTATACTCTAAATTTGATGAATACTATTTTTAAAATGTGTTGATTTTTTTTTTTTTTTTTTGTCTAAGGTTAAAGTTTCTATAGTAAGCGAAACACAAGCAAACCAAATAATTGGCAGAAACAAACCAGATGGAGAGTCATGTGGTGAAATACTTAATTGCTCAGGAAAAATGGAGTACCAACCGGTACAGAGACATCTTTCTACCAATTTTCGGTGAGTAAAAACTGTTATAAAATTGTTGAAAAAAAATATATATGCACTGCTAATAATTATTTCCATATAGGAGTATGCAGCTAAAGAAAATTAAGCGTACCGAGAAAAAAGGAACAGAATCCGTTATGGATGAAAAGTTTTCAATCTTATTTTCTTCCAAGTTCTATATTGGCAATGAACTTCAATTTGAGGTAAATAAAAGGAATATCACATTAAGAGTCTATAAAAATTAAACAATATTATGTATTGCATTAAAAGAATTTAAGTTTTAAATAAATGTAAATTAAATATTTATTGTTTTTTTTTTTCATCACAGGTATGGAATTTATCTCTACCTGTTGTGGTCATTGTACATGGTAATCAAGATCCTCACGCTTGGGCTACTGTTACATGGGACAATGCTTTTGCTGAACCTGCTCGAGTTCCTTTTAGTGTCCCCGACAAAGTACCATGGAGAAGTGTTGCAGAAGCGTTAAACATGAAATTTTTTGCTGCAACTGGCCGTGGCCTTTCCGATGAAAGCTTAACATTTTTGGCTGAAAAAGCTTTTAGGTAAATTTAATTTATTACCTTTATTATTGTTATGTAGTATTTTAGGACCTCTCTTTAAAAAAATATAGAAATCTTATGTGGTAATTTTTAATTTACTGTCACGTTTTTATAGAGATGGTTATAATTTAAATACATTACAACTGCCTTGTACTACCAGTTAGTTGAAAACATTTCAATGAATAACATTATGGTTAAGTAAAATGTTCTCACAGTGTTCAATGACATAGTTTTTAAATTTATAATTATCGACATTAGTACACAATATGTTTTACTTAGTCAATGATGAATAAAACACCATCTATTATATAAATATGACTCTTGAGAGGGGATGACATTCATTTTGTAATGTTTTTTTATTTAAAATTTTTTTACATTGAAATAAAAAGCATTATTTTTGACACTAATAGAATGCAAAACGTGGATTTCAATCATATGGTGTTGTCATGGTCTCAATTTTGCAAGGAACCATTGCCACAAAGAAGTTTTACATTTTGGGAATGGTTTTATGCTGTGATGAAAATAACAAGAGAACATCTGAAAGGACCATGGACTGATGGGTTTGAAATTATTATTTAATCTTAAGTTGTTATACATGTATATAATAAAAATATATTAATTTGATTTTTAGAGCAATTATGGGATTTATAAGAAAATCTGATGCCGAAGAAATGTTGACTAGATATGCTACTGGTACATTTTTATTACGTTTTTCGGATTCAGAACTTGGCGGATTAACTGTTGCCTGGGCTGGATGTAAGGATCTTTGTTTTATAAATAAATTGTATAACATATTATTAAAAATGCCTTTGGTTTTAAGCTTCAGTTTTTAAATTGCAACAAAGAATAATCTTAATATGCTATTTTTTATTGAATAGACTAGACGTAAGGTTTAATAATTTGTAAGCCTTTCTTTTTTTAATTACATTACAAATGTTTTCTATCTTATGCTTAATAAATAATTAGTTTCATAGTATGATAATATGTATTTTATATTTTTTTTTTTAGCAAACGAGTCTGACGCATATAGTTTGCATCCCTTTTCAGCTAAAGATTTATCCATAAGGAACTTAGCTGATAGGCTTTTGGATTTACCGTATCTAACTAAATTGTATCCTGATATCGATAAAAATCAAGCATTTGGAAAATATTATACACAGCCGCCAAGTAGGAAAAAATTATTTTATCAAGATATTTTTTTAAATTTACTTTTATATTGTGCTCTTAAACTGTATTTGAAAAAGTTAAATTATTCTATCGTATTTTTTTTAAGCAATCGTCTCATTGTACATGCTTTGGTTTTACAATTTTCAGATGTAAGTACACCTGTGACAAGTAATGGATATTTGAAACCACTATTGGTTACACATGTACCTGGGTGGGGTGGACCAGGAACCAACGGACAAGGAATGAACAGTTACCCTAATACGCCACAAAATCATATGTTCCATGTAAACAGTCCAGGAAACTGTAGTATTAGAGAAACGTCATCTGTACACAGTGAACCAGTGAATAAGTATGTAATATATTTTACACAAATAATTTATTATATTTTAAAATGCACCGTTTTAGCTTGAATTTGGTGTGGTTTGAATAAATAAAAAAAAAATTTAAAGAAAAAATAAAATTAGAAGAAGTGAGTGGGAAATAGTATATTTATCTAAAGTAGTGCCATAGTCATAATTTATTATAGTCAATATATTTTATGCAAAGTTTTATTTTAGCATGTTAGAATTTTTTAAATGTTTATTTCTTTGTTTGGTGCTCGAGGGCATACAAATTTTTCACTCAAGCTTAAAAACATATTTATGTGTAACAAATATAATAAAATGTCCTGACAAATCTCATAAATATTATTTTTAATCAGTATACATACAAATAACTAATCTCTCTAACACTTAATTAATTTTTTCTAATTTTAATTGTGTAAATATCTGACTTAAATTAGCAAGTATGTTCTTCTGTTTTTTAAATTGCTCTAATTGATACGTGTAATGTTTGTAGAATTTCTGTGATATACTGTCATAAAGACTTTCTAAGAATTACATAAACATTTTCTATTGTTCTTTCTATCATTTTTCACATAGCATGGTATATGACAATGAACAATTTATTTTTTCATTGTCTTCAACCAATTTGATGATTAAAACATAATTTTAGCATTGAATTTTCAATTTGCCTCATACGTAGGATCTTTAAAAAAAAAAAATTATGTAATACGTAATTGTATGATAACCCCCCTCACTTCTAATATTAGTTTTTAGATAGGTATGTACATACATATTGATTATAATATATTGCTTTAGAAATAGTATAGAATTCTTATTGCAATTTGGTAAAATTGATTGACTTTGAACAATATTGCTAGAAAATTTTAATAAATCAAAGATCAAGTTACCCACACTTGTAAAAATAGTTAAATATAATAGTATATATTTTATTAGTTAGTGGTAGAAATATTTGAACTTTTTAATGTTTTGTCTTGTTACTATCTTTAGACACTTCTTATTTTAATGCAAATTATGATGATGTAAATGCTTATTTTATTTATTTTTTTATTCATAAAATATAAAATAATGAGATGCAACTTTATTTATAAAAATGATTCATTAGATATATTATGGCAATTTTTCCTATAAAGTTATTTATCTTAATCATTGTAAAAAAGTGCCAATTAAGGTATTTTCATGACAATGGGAGCATAATAAAAAAATGATCATTTGAGATAGTAATTTAAGTTGAAATGTTATTTATTTTATGATAAAACTGGTACAATAACATGTTTAACCACTATAAGGTTTGAGCAATTTTTCTGGTTAATAATTCAAATCAATCAATACAAAATTTTATTATTAAAATAAGATGCTGTAATGTATGATTAAGAGGACATCATACAGGCGATTTTCCAAAGTTAAAACATGCCTAGGCAGAATTCGTTTTACTTCTTGATGATTTTAATATAACAAAAACGAAAGATAACAAGATTTTAGAGACAATGTCTTTAAAGACATCAAGATTGTCTTTAGAGACAATATCCTTTTTTGTTAATAAACCTAATATTTAACATTTAAAATCTCATTTTTTTACTTTTTTAAAATAGCTATTACTTTCTTTCATGTTATTTTCAAAATTAGATATGCCATTGTCTCTGAAATGTTGGTATCATTCGATTTCATAATGGGTGTTTTTGCTTTAAAACAACCATGGACTTAGTAAAACGCATTCTCCGTAACTATGTTTAGATGAAAAAAAAAAATTAAAATTGCTGACTAAGATGCTGTGATAGTCCCAATAATAAATTAACTGCCAAAAAAGAGTTCTAATTACTAAACAAATAATTACACATAACCGTTAAAGCTTCAAATTAAGATTTTGCAAAAAATTACCTATACGTAACGCTTTAATAAAGAAGGGGTATCACATACTCTTAATGTATTTTAGATATTTTCAACTTAAATTGGTTGACCAACATTTTATAAAAAAAATTTAAAGAATAAATTGACAACTGTGGCTGACACCATACCATGCTCGATGTTAACTTTCTTATTGAAAAGTTTATTAATTTTTATTATTCTTTAATTTGGAGAAATAAATAAAGTTTATTTACTCAATATAATATGTCGATGAAGCTGTTTTTGTACAGTGTTAATGCTCTTATTTACAGCCTTTTAGTAATAATAGGAGTAGTGGTAGAATTGGTAGTAGTGGTAAATAAAGAGAAATTTTCCCTCGAGTTTTAACAAATTAATAATATTAACTAAAAAACTACCTCTGTTTTATGAATATTTTTCATTCAGTCATAAAATGCAAGCTATCCCTTTTTTTCTGTTGCCAAAGATTAATTGAGTTGAACCTACTACCTACTTAAAAAAAAAACATTGTAAAGTATTAATTAGAAAAATTAAGATTTTAAATATTTTCCATTATGCTAAGTAATTTTCATGCAAAAAAATATATCACTTGCATACATTTGAATGCACTATAGCACTTTTGATGATTGTTTATTCACTGCTTTTATTATATCAACCCTTTGCTTCTTAAATTTATCTATGTAGATTCTTTGAAATTACATTTTCTACAAATTTTCTTTCTTTTGTAATTCATATTTATTAATTACATAACGTGTATATAATCTTTAAAAAAATAATTTTTTTTTAAATTTTGCTTTCACTCTGCAGTACATCTGACAGTACCGCTCAAGGTCGTTTTTTTCAGCCGACATCCTGTGACGGGATTTTGAAATGTTAACGCCCGTACTTTTGGTCCTGGGACCAGGTAGCCAAGTCAAAATTAGAAGTTTTATGTTTTCCCCCATAAAATATTGCCTCTTAATCTTTGATATTCTTACTCACCGCTAGATTAGAATAAGAAGCCTATTATTTTATGATAATGTTCCTAGTCATAATCGATTACCTTTTTACATATTATATACTATTAACTGTATTTTAATATTTAACATATATAATCAAGTGTGTGGTTACTGGTTGAATTTATTATTAGATTGAGATAACTATTATAAAAAATAAATATAATTGGTTTTTGTTATGAAAAAAAAAGTAGTAGTGAATAATTAGGAAAAAAAGTTAGTCTAGAAATTATATTATGTATGTACGTTTAATTATATTTAACTATATAAACATGTTTAAAAGGGTGTCACACTATTGCTTATTTACATCTAAAACATGTTTTTAGAGAAGCACTATTCTAAAGGGATTGAGCAGTTTAGTGTGCATAAGTACATTTATACAAAATTAAAGATCAAGAATTGATAAAATTTTGGCATGAGTGGTTATAAGACTTTTAAAAATTGTATGATTGAATGTCATAAAATTCAGCTCCTAAAAACTTTATCACTAATGTTCTCTATCAAAATCTAGATAAAGTTTTGATTTTAATTTTGTATAAATGTACTTTAATGCTAAACCTTTTCCGTTTCTCAAAAAAGTGCATATTCAAGATACATTTTTATACAATAATTGGTTAACAAATATTAAATATTCATTATTATGGATTTATTTCCGCTTTGATAATATATATCTGAAAAAATGTTAGTATATATTAAGTTTATTTTAAAAATGTCTACAATTTAATCCCTAATAAATAGGTAGTGTGTGACGCCCTCTTAATATTAGCATTAATTCTAGTTCCTCGGTGTTAACTAGTTTGAATCTCTCCATCATTATTACAAAATATATTATACTACTATTTATTGTATCTATTATTAATATAGTAATGCCGTTTACAAATTAAAAACTTAAATAATTTATACATGAGTATTATTTTTACTTGATTGGCTTCTAAAAAAACAAACAAAAATTGTTTTGCTTATTTAGTATGATGGCATTTGGCAATGACTCCTTAGAAATGGATTTTCCTTCGAACTTAAATGACATATCGCATGTGGATGAAGCGTTTTTTTAATACAAAATAAAACAACTATTTAGATGTGTTAAATATTATTAGATTAGGTAAACCATTCGATGTCATAGTAATATTAGTGCATACACTTAACTGCTTATGTTAGTGATCAACTATTTTTATCTTCTATTAAATGTTCTTTTTTTTCTAATTTATATTATTTTAAACGTTTGACATTTATTGTATACTCGGTGTTATGGGACACCCCAATATTTCGACCTGAGTGATTTTTTCTTTTACAATTTTTTATTTCTATTATTATTATTATTATTATTATTATAATAATTACTTTTTTTTTTTACCGCCATAGATTTATTATTTTAAAAACGCATTTATTATTATTATTTTTGTATATTATTAAACATTTTTGTGATCATCAAGTCCTTATGGTGCCTAGTAAACAAACTGCTTCGTTTCACTATTTTACTTTTATTATATTGATTGTTTGATATTGAATTTCCATCAATATTGATCAGGTTATTCCTTATATTTGGTTTTGTACTTAAATATTATATCTATGTTAGTCATTTTTTTTTTAAATTTTTTTTTATTAATATTGTTGTGTACAGATGATCTATCGAGTATACTCACTTAACATTTTGACATTTCAATTTATGTAACTGTACTACAAAAATCTATTTATACTTATTATTGATTGCATCTATAAAAAATTAATGCATACTAAAGTTTTTTATATTAGGTATTTAATGGAGAGTGAGTATTCTTATTAATCACATTGTGTTTTCCCATAATAATTATTGGATCCCGTTAAAATACAAAATTATATCTACTTATTGTATCTTAATGTTAAACTAAAAAAAAAAATTAGAGCATAGAACAATTTAACATAGTTTTTTTTAGATGTGATTTTATTGTAATTGAATAAGAATGATATTCATGTAAAAAATATTATGTCCTATGAAAATAATTTTATTATAAGAAAATCGAATGCTACACTAGTTTAAAATTCTAGGTTTTTTACGATACACATAATATAATAATTCTGAATGAATAATTGTAATTTTTAATATTTTCAAATTTAGTTACTATAGACGGTATAATTTATACGTACACTCTTTCACTCTGTTAAGATATATAACTCAATTAAAAGTAAAACATGGCTCAACATTTTATTGGTATTCAAAATACATGGTAAATAATGTATTTTTTTAATTGAAATGATTTTTAGTCAAATATTCTAATATATTTGGACAAAAACAGAGTATTTTATGCTGAGTGAAGCCAATCGATTTTCCTTCTATGCTATTAAATTTTGACACTGTTTGATGTACTTTAATAATGATACTTATTTTTAAGCATTTAATACATACATAATGTGTTTTTTCATATAATACACAATATACCTAAGATTCTGTATGTTTTTTTAATATTAAAACTAAATGGGTATTCAATGAATGTTTTTTTTTATTCTAAAACACAAGTTAATTATTTTTATATATTACTTGATATAGTATAAATTATGAGCAGGGGCGTAGCTAAGAGTTTTTTTTTGGGTAGGCCCACTATAAACCATTTATAAACAAAGTTATTAATGATTATTTGTATTAATAATTATTTTTATTTTTTACCAGGTCTACCTACTGGCTACGCCCCTGCCTTATTGCTTCCGCATCACATAATATCATAGTGTATTCGTGTAGGAAACCGAATAACTATCCTCTAGGTAACAATATGTTTTACTGTGTAGTGTTTTTATTTGGTTGATCCTTGTGTCCTTGTACGCGTATAATACTATATAACATTTATGAAAATCGTATATTTTTCAGGGCTCAAGTAGGTATAATATACCTAAATAATTATTACCTTATAATTTAACTTTTTTCATAATTATTTCTTTTCATCTAAAATCGTTTGTATAATGATTATGATTCTCGTCAACCTATTCGATGTTTTTTCTTGACAGACTTGATAAAAAATTCAATTATCAAGACTATTATGTTCATTTGACCCGTTCATTGACCGTTGTATTGGAAACCCGGCTTAGTAGTTTATAATTTATTTATACTATCACACAGCCAATTGAGGGGTGGGGGCTGAAGCCCCCTTAGCCCCTCCCCTGGGTACGCCACTGTACAATAGCACATTCATTAATAAATTATTTTATTATCAATTTAAAAACCGGAAGAAATAAATAATTTTGATTTTTCAGTCATTAAATGTTTGATACATCGGAGCACCTTAATGTTGACACAACTTGCAAGTATTACCTACCTATAATTTGCACTACAATTGTATTTAAAATCAATATTATGTCATAAATTATTTTCAACAATTATGATAATTATTATTACACCTAGATATAATTTCATTTTTATTTTTACTCGTACTTAGAAATATTTAGAGAGAATAAAATATGTAGTTTTTCATTATTTGACTTGAAAATGGCTATCTTGAAAAAAAAAATATGTAATAAAAAAACTATTAAAAAAAATAAAACAGGTAAGTGCAATAAAAACCTTATATTACACCATTTGCTTATAGCGCAAATGAGTATAAATTATTTTTAAAAAAAAATCTCAAAAGTTATTTCATTTGTCAAATCTTTGTGGGCCACCTGTATATAAATACAGGGTGATTCATTAAGGATAAGACACTCATTGTTTCGGAATATGTTAATATTTTGAAAGTTTCTATCACCAATCCTTGAAGGCCAAAAAGGGGGATTTTAGTTTTTTTTTAAATGGCAACATATGTTTTTAACTACATAAATTTGTAGACAAAAAATAAAAAAATATTTTAGCGTTTGAATTTTCATTTATTTGTTAATTTGTTATGACTTTAAAAAGATTTGATTTTTGACTGTATTTCTTAATATTTTCAATCGTTATACAAACACGAGTAGTTTTATTACACGCATAAAAATAATTTGATAAAGTGGGTTTGTAAAACCAACCTGTGTACCTGTGTTGGAATAGGTAATCTGTAGATAAGAACCGTTTGTCTATCATTATTTCAAAGTCTTTTATACCAGTGGCGTTTTTTTGTTAGAGTGTTATCGCCAAATGGACAATGCGAACTTAAATATGAACTTTATGTGCTACCGGTTTTGGAAAACCGAAAAAACATGATAATTATTAAGAGAAAATGTAGTATCTTAACAGAGGCATAGCTAATGAACAAATAAATGAAAATTCAAACGCTAAAATATTTTTTAATTTTTTGTCTACAAATTTATGTAATAAAAAATTATCAAAATATAGTACAATGTGTACCAAAAAATATTGGAAAAAAATATTTCTCGGAATATATTAATATTCCGAGAAAATTAGTGTCTTATCCTTAATGAATCACTCTGTATACATATTTATTAATTAAATATGTCTTAAAAAGTCAACATGTCTTTGAAGTATCCATTATTAGTATATTTCATACGAGTTACGACTTAATTTGTCAAAAATCAAAGAATTTCCATTTGACAAAATAGATAATATTATGCTTTATAATTGGTCTATGTTTTTATTTTATTACGTACAGTTAATAAAAAATATCGCACGTATTAAATAATTACTCATCTAATAGAGAATAGTCGTATTGGTAAACCTTATAGTTAAATAATATTCTTTTTAAGAAGGCGGGCAGTACTTGGACTAGGATATGTTGAAAAGTTTCCGTCCAGTACGCGCTATCTGTTTGTCAATACTTTGACCTATTCTTGGTTAAGTATGTTGCAAGACGTGAAACCAATTAGGAAGCATACAAATCATTGCGTGGGCTCTACTTATGTAAAAATACTGAAAGACAAGCCACCGGTAAGCACACTACGTAAATTTGACTGTAAGTACAATAAATTGTCTATAATGGTAGTAATTATAACCGAAAAAAAAAGAAGTGCGAAAACACTATAATTTATAATTTGCTTGAAATCGACGCATACACTAAAATTAAAGATCCCAAAGTTTGTACTTAACAAATATATTTTATTTAAAATTTTACAAAAAAAAAATGATGCGTACCTAATGATTTTGTAAATTAATATACATACATATGTACAAAGTCATATATATATATATCATATGTAAAACACAATCATGATATTCATAATGTAGGTATTTAACAAGTGATTATAAATGTAGTATTATAATAATTGTATTATTATAATTGGTATTATTAATTATTTACATAAAAAATACGGTAATACCAATTATAACTATTGTCTATAGATTATAAATATTATAGAATATAGATAGCCACTGGCATGTATTTTTTACTGCGCGTAAATTTTTACCGTTGTATACAAGCTATACTGTTTGGCGGTAGATACCCTGATATTATTTATAGTCAGTGTTATAACTAAAGTTATGAATTATTGTTATTTTTTAACAATATGGTAAGTGTTTGAATATCTTGGTAAAATATAACTTAAACAGGGTGCTGGGTGATCATTTTTTCGTGAACCACTCAATATTTCGTATGGTTTAATAAGAAATTTAATTTTTTTTCAGCATGGAACATCATGCTTTAGCCTTGGCCCCCCTAGACCGAAAACGACACTAAATAACGACATTAAATTGCGATACTAAAAGTAGCGTGCCTACTTAAAATGTATAATCTTTATATTTCTATGTATATAAAAGAAGAAGTCCTGACTGATTCATAATCAACGCACAGCCTAAACTAAGATCGGTAGCTAGCGACTTAAAATTTTCAGAGTATGTTTGTATTATAGTCTAGGCGAGCAATAAGAAAGGATTTTGAATAATTTTTATTTTAAGGGGTTGAAACCAATACCTTTAAGCATTAGTACATCATTCATCCGATCGCCATGAAACTTTGGGAAGTTGTTGAGTACACTCCTGCGAAGGTTTCTGGCATAGTAATTTTTGAAAATTTCCCCCCTAAGAGTGGCCTTAAACAAAAATTTTGTACTTTAAATACGAAATATTTTTCGTTGCTAACCCAACACTTGGCTTGTAACCATGGTAACTACCATTTGTAGTTATTTTACTCAGCCCTGGCAAACTAAATCCTGGGCCACGCCGGGTAGGGACAGCCTGTAACATATAAAGGCGCGTATTGACTACGCGCCATGTTTGCCCGCGGTAAAACGTTCATTTGCCGCGCGAGCCAATACACATCAAAACTTCTATTTAAGTGCGGCAAATGAGCCAACAACCTGTTCAGAACCATCCCGAATCTCGTTCAGTTTTCACGAATCATCTATGGATGTTTCACGTGCACGAGCAGCTGTCGCTTTTATTGTGATGCATCATATTATCCAAAAAAAACCTAAACGAATAGTACAACTATAAACATTTTTTTTGGTATCGTACCTTTATTATCACTTATAGTCATCAGATTAAAGATCAGACAAACTAATAAAAAAATGTATTCCAATTGAAAGTGATTTTATCCGAAAGGACTAGTACAGTAGAGTATAGGCATCAAAGCAACGAGGGGACGGAGAGGTCACGTCTACAGGAATTATAAATAAAATCACTTTCAAGTAAACGCTTTGATGCTTATTTGTAAATACAGCACCTCAATTTAATACTTTCTAACTTTGCTGGTTTATACTGTGCTTGGTTTGGACTGTACTGGCTTGAAAATACTAACTACCGATTTGTATCGAAGCGGTTTTTCGAAAGTGATTTTATCACTTTCAAATTTAAAAATTCCTGTAAACCTGTGACCTCCCCGTCCCTACTATACTGGTTTTTAAAATTATATTTAATTTAAGATAATTTTTTTTTAGCTTCGATGTAATGGTGAAAAAGTATTAATTTTACAATGTGTTTCCCCTCCCCCCTATTTTTTGTATACAAAAATGTAATAACACAGTTATTTAATGTCTTTTAAAATAATTTATATTCAATTGCTTTTACAATCTCCAGTTTCGCATCGAAGCATGTATTTGAAAGTGATTAGTTATAATAGTTCCTAAAAAAACCCACTAACTTCATTAATCTGGTTTTTTTTTAATATCCATTTCTGTAAACACACTTAATTTTGCTCATTCCTTTGAGCACTTAATTATAATGTTTTTTTAATTAATAACATCTACTGCCCTCTTCAAATAAGCAGATCTTGAAAGTTGCAGATAGACATTTGTTTTGCAGTGTTGTGGCAACCAAACCCGATATTTTTAGTACAGAATTTAATGTCCGATACCATATGGCACATAAAACAACCAATAGTAGAAATAATAATACACTTTGTGTATTATAATAAAATTGCAACTGGACAGCTATTTAATATAAAATACAAGTTTCATAAAAAAAACATAACACATAATAATAATATGATATATATATTTAAACATCTTTTTTTTTGTTCCATGATATTTTAAAAATTGAATAGACAAATAACAAGAAATGAGAAGACAAGGTTTTATTTACATTATATTGTCTTACTACTACAATTGTGTTTTACTCATTTCCGAGTTTTATTGGTTGGCGTCTTTGCTAATACCTACAGCAGCTGCTCTAATGACACGATTGTGTAACTTGTATCCAATTTGTGACACTACAACAACTAACCCTCCTTTTTTACCTTCAACTACCTAAGAAATTATAATTTTGAAAAATAAATACATGTTTTTTAAATTTATTATATTGCTAAAAATGATTACTTGTTCAAATAGAGCTTTATGTTCATTAGGATCAAATTCTTCATTTAATGGATTAACTGATACTAGTCCATGTCTTTGAAATATCTGAAAAACCAAATACCAATCATAATATATTATATAACATTGTAATATTTCAACTACAATAAAAACTGATGTTTGACTATGTATGTCGACTATTTTTCAACTTTCTTGGATGCTCATCTTGTAAAATCTTAAATAAGGTGTATTTGATAAAAATCTCTAAAGCAACTTAAGATTAATTATATCTAGGACTAAATATAAAACATATTATTTACTAAGGTAACTTGATTAATGCAAATAACTAACCAGGCTACATATTTGCATAAGTTGAAAAGACTCGTTTTAGAATAACTGTTTTTATATAGAAATATTGTGAACAAATACAGTTGTTGTTGATTTAATTTTGAAAGTTCTTCAAAAAAATAGCCATAAATTATATATTATTCTATATTTGTACTGGAATCAAATGATCAAACGCAGTAGCTCTAGCGCACCCAGTTAAAACACCTATACAATTGCTCCACAATTCGTTTACTAACATTTTTAAGAGCGGTTGTTCTAAATTAAAAGAGAGGAAGAAGTAATTAACTTGTATGAACATAAAAAATATACTAACCGTTTGTAGCTGGGATTCTGTTGATACTAGGCCTTCATACAAATGTTTTAAATGTGGATTTCTATCAGAGACTTCTTCTTTTGGTACTAGTTCAGTAGCTTTCCCCAAACTATCAGCAACCTACACAATTTTTATTGATAAAAATATGAATATAGGCACACATTTTTATACCTTACATCAAGTAGATCTTTACAAAATCCTTGAATAGCGTAGATCTTGGCATCTGCTATTTGTTTTACAGCTTGCTTACGTGTATTTTCCATTTCAGCTAATGATCTTATGAATTTGTCCTGAGTAAAAAATAGTAGTGTACATTTAATTTACAATACTGTAATAAACTATTGTGATGGGTATTATTAGACTAGATATCAAATTATTCAAAATAAGTAAATCATTATTAAAATAATTCAAATTATTATTTTTATATTCAAAATATTTGTAACCGAATATTTTATTTTTTAAATTCTTATCGCAAATACGTAAAACTCCATTATTAATATATACTGTTAACGTGTATAAAAGGAGTAAATTTGTTTATATAAATAATATTATTCTTAATATTAATTTTGTTAAACTAAATTTAAGTAAATAAGTACTTAATTTGTACCCTAAATGTTCTTTAAATCTTGATTTTAATATAAAAAAAATAATATTACAAACCTTAAGAACTTGATTTTCTTCTAATAACTGTTCATTTTGTTTAACTATATCTTCAACAGTTTTTTCATCGCTTTTCTTTGTATCATTATTAGTATCGTCTGATCCTTTGCAACGAACTATGTTATGACCCAACACTGAAGTTACCCTAAAATAATTTTTAAAAATTGCAAAAAAAGGTTTAAGATATGTAGCTTAAACAACAAATTATAATAATGTTGTGAAATACTTAAATTACCAGGCTAGTTACAAAAAAATAATCCGAACATTAGACTATATTCTTAATATCTCACCTGATTTCTGATGCCAAAACATTACTATATAATGATTTACCGACTTTAAAAGACTTCATAAAAAAAGTCATTGTGAAATATTCTTATAGGCAAGTACCGTTAGTAGCAAAAATCTGATGAATATATAACTTGTACTCCGTGCGGTAGCCGGGCAGCCGTGTGGTTTTAGCTTCAGTTTCACAATTTAATGTAAGATAACTCATAATTGATAACAACTATTAAGAAGATTCCCATTGGCCAATTTTCTCCAACACAATAAAGTCATAGTAAAATCACAGGGTAATAAAAATATAGGTATATCAACAACGACTAGTGATAATAACAAAATGGATGTATGGCTGGTCCACTTAAGTCGCTATAACTGGTATTATAGGTCCAGACTACAGAATCGTGAAATAAACATACTTATTAACTATTTATCCTAAATCAAGATGGAAAGCAATAATTATCTTTGAAATTATTATTTTAAAAAATCACTGGAAAATTAGTATAGGTATTGGGTAATTATTTTATTGTTAAAAATCGATTACTTTTCAATCATTATTTATCATTTAACATATTTTATAAAAATATACCATAGAATTACTGTACTCGACGATATCTGTATTTTATGCTCTAATGGCATGATTAGAGGGGCTTAGTTGATAGTTCACTCGATACTTAAATTCAATCCTGCTAATAAGTTTTCACTTTTCCATGGTACTAAAGTGTGTGGCTAAGCATCATCTCCTTAAAAAATTGAAGACAATATTACGTCATTGACTCCAAAGTTAAATTGAAGTGAAACAACCGTTTATTAAATAATGAAAAATTTAACAGCTAGTTCGTTAGACAATTTGACCTGCGACACAACGTCATGCGTTGCATTTTCAGAGCATAATCATATAAATAAAAGAATAATTTGAATTTGTAATAATTATAGATGAGGGGAAAAATGCAAATTATATTAAAAAATAGAAATAATCCATTTATATAAATTATAAATTATAAATAACAAAATAAAAAAGTTATTTTACTGTTTGCAAATGTATGGTTAAGCTGATAGGGTTTTATCTTTTGATGATAACATCGATTTCTGTTTACACAATACATATTTTGATCAGATAAAATTAGTAATAATATAAAAAATGAAGCTAACAAATAACAATAATTATAAGCTAATATAAGTAATATAATAGCAGTAGGTATAATGATTTATCTTTAATGATTTTTGGATAGTGCAGATATCAGTACGTCAGATATGTTAACCTAATTTATTATTAGTCAAATATTACGGCAGTAATAAGGATATGAAATAACAGTATTTTATAAGAGACATAAGAGAACCAACAAAATGTCTTCTAGTCAACATTTGTAACTAATTTATTGTGAATGTAAGTTTTATTTAAAACAAGGTAGCAGTACTAAGTGATTTACATAAAGTGCACAAAAATGTATAAGTACCAACTACCTATGTAATTTTTTTCAAGTTTAGAATTATAATAATTTGTCTTTAACCATTTTATTTTGACTAAATTATAAAACTTGTTCGAAAATTTCGAAACATCTAAAAAATAAGTAATATATATTATATATTTACATAGTATTTGCATATAACTACATTCAGTATTGTTTTTCATTTGTTAATTTTTCTTTTTTTTTTGTTACAAGAATTAAACGAATAAAGATATCAAAACAAATCCTGTGGAAAACATAGATGATTTTCGTTTATCTAAATTATATCATTCAATATTTTAATTCTTTTAAAAATTCTTGAGATTTATATTCTTTCTGTGTTTTTTCGAGAACATTTTTGTATTAATCTAGACTATAAATTTTACTGTTTTTTTAGATAAGCACCACAAATAGTCACTAATAGTGTGGTAAAAATAATTACTACCAATATGTAACGTTCATATTTCGTTAGGTTACTTAAAATTTTCAACTATTCTTTATTTATCAATGATAAAAAGTGTCTATACTCTATTCAGAATAAGAATGAATCGACGGCTGACTTGTGCGCATGGGCGTGGCGTCACTATGAGCAATGGGCCTCGAACACTGCCGCCGGTGGGCTACAGCAGAAATATAAAATGGGCGGTGCCTGACTGCCGCCGACGAAAACTGGTCGGCCGCATATTCATTCTTATTCTGAATAGAGTATATTTTTAATTTATAGTAAATTTAATACAAACTGTATTGGTTTTATTCTAATTTAGCTATTGATATATTAATTATAAATCTTATTTTATTGTGTACTATAGGTTATTTTGTAAATTATATGTGTAAAAGAAAGAAGCAATTATGAATAGTCAAAATTTTGCCATAGCAGAAAATCTGATACCATCATCATACATTCAACAATCTGTTAATGCACTAAGAAACAGAGAAAATCTAGCCAAAACTCTTATGGAACAAGTATGTTTTGTAATTATTAAATTATAATTTCTTACTAAGATTAAATTTTACTCTATACAGCGTAAATGGCCAGATAATGGATGGGACGATGCATCAATTGAATTGTTTCTTTCAAACTTAGCACTCATGGACAGTAATAATTTTAGAGAGCATGCAGGTGTTGGAGAGCGTGAAGGACGCGTCGTTTCTAATCTAGTTGCGAAACGTCATTATCATATGACACATGGTATTGGTAGGTCAGAAAATATTGCCGAAGTTCAACCAAACGCTACTGGATCTAGCTTGATGATTAAACTTGTTAATGCTATGCTTTTAGAGTCCATCCGATTTATGGGTAATTAATTAAAAAATATTCAATATAACAAGTTATTTTATTTGTTGAATCTTTGTGGGACACCTGTATATACTTTTTAAAATATATATGTTAACTTTTGTTTAGGCGTTTCCAGTGCAACTGGTTGTTTTATGGTTCCGATAGCGACTGGAATGAGTTTAATGTTATGTTTGTTGACATTAAAGCAAGATAGGCCTGGAGCAAAGTTTGTGTTGTGGTCTAGGATAGATCAAAAATCATGTTTCAAGTGCATAATTAGTGCGGGTGTGTGTGACTAATTTTTGGATGTTGTTTTTTTTTAGAATATTTTCCTAGAATATTCTATGTACATAATTATTTACCACTATACATTGTTATTCTATGTATATTTTTGGATAAAGTTATTATACTTAATTTTATAACTGTGTGGTATTAGGTTTGCAACCCATAATTATTGATCCAGTACAATGTGGCGATGAACTGCACACTGACGTACAAGCAATAGAGGCACAGCTTTTGACTATCGGATCTGATAATATTGTGTGTATAATGAGTACTACCAGTTGTTTCGCTCCAAGAGCATCAGACTCGCTCGAAAAAATTGCTACTTTATGTCAAAAATATAACGTTCCACACTTGATCAATAATGCATATGGTTTACAATCTACTCGAATCATGCACTCAATTCAAGATGCATCCAAGTAAAATCATTATACAGCTCATTTATTTTAGTAATATTTTAATAGCACAAACATTTTTTTTTTATATAGAAAAGGACGAGTTGACGTTTTTGTTCAAAGTACTGACAAAAATTTTTTAGTACCTGTAGGAGGAGCAATTATTGCAGGATTTGACAAAAATGTTTTAGAAAAAATAACCAAAAATTATCCAGGTAAAGGAAAACGATTAAATTTGCTGTGTATTATTACATTTTAAAAAAGATATCTGGTCATTAAAATTGGTTCTAATTTCACTTTTTATTTGTTGTAATTTTCAGGAAGAGCATCTTGTAGTCCCGTGATGGATATTTTTATAACATTGCTGTCTTTAGGCACTAATGGTTATAAAGAATTAATATCTCAGCGTAAAGAAGTACACCAACATTTAAGAAACGAACTCGGGAAAATTGCTGCTAAATATGGTGAAAGATTATTGGATATTCAGAATAACCCCATTTCCATAGGTATACAATTTATAGATTTATAAGTGTATTATAATATATTTTATGTACAATATAAATTGTACACAATTTTTTGTACTTTATGAATACACGTAATTTTATGTCAAAAAAAATTTTAATATTTATTTTAAACACTTAAAAATGTATGTTCTTACAGTTCTTTATTTTTGTGCTTATTATGTATCATTTATAACACTTACCACTATTGATATATTATAATATTACTATCTTCATATTTTCAATTCATAACACAATTCAGAAACGCTAAACTTTTTTAAAATTTTTATTATTATTATACAACTGTTAACTTATACAAGTATACAACTGTATTATAAATTCTTTTGTGTGTATTGAATTTAATTTATGAAAGAACATTTTTCTAGCGATGACGTTAAAATCTTTAAGTGTTTCAAATGGAGCTGAATCGGACACAAAGAAATTAAGCCAGTTAAGTTCTATGATGTACATGCGCCATGTTACAGGATGCAGAGTCGTTTCTTCAGTAGAAGTAAAAGACGTTTGTGGATACAAATTTGATGGTAACTTACACTTGGTTTTGACTTTAATAGTTAATCCAAAAATAATGGTTTTTGTGTACTATAGTGTCATATCTGACAATGTTTTAAGTCCTTATACTTTTTCTTTCAGGTTGGGGCGCACATAAAATAAATTATCCCTGCCCATATATCACTGCAGGTGCATCAATAGGAATTACAAAATCTGACATTGACTTTTTTGTACAAAAGTTAGATAAAGTAATTTCCAGATTAAAAAAAACACCAATTTCTAATATAGAAACTCCATCGTCTTCTGAAGGAAACGATTCTACTTCGATACGGCGAAAGGCCACAATTGCATCTAGTTACCGTAGTGCTGTGAATGGAGTCAATTCGATAGAAGACGGTAGCTCGTCCACATCTCGCACGTCTAGTGTTGACAATTTACGTAAATAACACTGAAGTTTTTGTTAAGACACCATTTTAATTTAACTATATAAGTTTGTAAAGTAAGTTAATAAATTTATTTCTAGTCAATTTTTGCTTGTAGGGCATAAAAAAAAGATCTCGAGTAGGTAATTTGTATTATTTTCATTATTGAACTGTTTATAGACTGTTAACTTATTAATATCCAACTATAATAATACAATTTCTCCTCGAACTTTGGTAAAACGTATTATAATTTTGTTTTTATACTTTAAGACTATTAATGAAAAACCGTGATTAAAAATTAAAGTTGTGAAGTTTTTTTCGCTAAAGCCTAACCAGACATTTTTACTAATGAGAACCTAGTTTACAAAGCTTCAAAATAGTAAATTTTGAGATTTTTTTTATACAAAATATTTTTCTATATTTTTGAAAATTTCATAGAAGTATGAAGCACAAATTGTATACATACAATTTGTAGTCGAACATTTTTTGTTTTAAATAATCATTTTCATTAAAGTTCTAGGTATATAAATATAAGTATTATAATCATCTATTTTGCTAAGTGTAGATATTATGTAACAGCTTCCAATTTTTGAATGAAAAATTAAATATGTGTTTTTTTTCTTTTAAGTTATAACATATTTTATTAGGTAAACTGGAAAACAAATTAAGTATATATAAGATTCTGACAAAGAAAAATAAATGTTAACACATTTATTTAAAAAAAATAATAATTAAATATTACCAATATAAAAATTAAAAAATAATATTATAAACTTCATTTTTCCATTTTTTTAATGCAGATTTTTACACTTTTAAAAAAAATACCAAAAACGGATTGAATGTTCTATGGTGCAATAATAAAAATAAAAACAAATTGAAAATGTAGACTTTGTAAACGAGGTTCCTTCCTATGTCCAGTTGCATTATTAAGACGAAAGCAATAGAAGTAATTTTTTTAGAGTGTTTTTTCCCTACAATTTGTATGAAATGACATTACATTCTAGGTTATAATTTCAATGTAATATGATATAATCATATTGTGTAATATCTTTTAAAAGTGTAAAGGATAGAAAATATGAAAGGGAAAGAAACTCATTTTATCTTTGATACAAAGAGAAGATACTTTTGGTAAATTTTTCAAAACACCTCTAAGCTTAAATCACAATATGTTTTATTATTGTTATTTTGAAACTTAGAATTTATTTATTTCTTCTACTTAGACGATGATCCTCATCAAATAAGTATATGGAGGGGGGGCACATGAATGAACTTTAAAGTATGTACAATTTACATTACTGAATTGTAATAATTCTTTTAAAAGTGTGCTTTTAGTATTATATTTGAATATGAAAGTAATTTTATAATAAAAACAGGGTGACCAAGGCTTAACAGTTGAAATTACTCAGTAAAATTAACATTTTTATGATAGCCATAATACAATGTTGTAATTTCGTCCACGTTGTTAAAAAAACAAATTGATACTTTTCTTTAAGCGTTGTTGTAATAATGACATTAAAACTGATAATATGGTTTTTAAAAATATTGAGATAAACTCCATGTTATAAATATATATTAGCTTTAATGCAATGCATATGGTGTATTTGTTTAATTGAATCTACCAGTTTTAAATGTAGTCGACCTATTTTTAGCCAAAATCAGTGTCTAACATTTATTGTTAAGCCAAGATTTTAAACATTTTTAAAAAATTGTTTATGGACTTAATAACTTTGGTAATATTTGACGCGATAGTATGCTGAAATATTTTTAAAATAATTTACGCATTAATTCAATAATTACTTATGCATTCATTTATTTATTAACTCAAAGTTGCAACAACTCAAAACGTTTAAAAATGTTATGTACTCCTTTCTGGATGCATACATATTATATATGATTATATCGTATTATTAAAATCTCATACACCCCATTCCCTTACCCAAGTATGCAGAGCTTGCCTGTGACAGAAAATAATTTTTTTGAATTTTTTAGAATCGAACTATAACACTAGTACTTCACTAACACACATTAATTTCGAAAAATTTATTTTTAAGTTATGTTGAAATTTATCTTTAACCAATAATAATAACTGAACACTTTTTAGTCTCTATCACTGTATTAAAAATGTTAAAATTTTTGTAGTTTTGAACGGGGAAATAAAAAATTACACATATTTGCGCCTAAGATTAAATTATAAATATGGTTTTTTATAACAATGTGCATAATATTTATTGATATTTTTTGAAATTATTATTATGATATTTGGCATTAAAATGATTTTTGTAATAAAACTTTTCTAATATATAAATAGAAATTCTTAAAAAAGAAAAACATTAAAAAAAATCTAGTTTATTTTAGTGTATAACATGTGAAAATTAATTGATCATATGCAAACAATTTTGTTGTTATAATGCTACAATTACTATATAATTATTAATGGTGCTTTAAGATTTTTTAGAATATTAAGTCTTATTTTTAGAGAATTTTAGTTAACTAATTTATTTTAGTTGATTGCTCAATGATAATAATGTCATCACCTAACTGATTCGGAAACGAAAAGAACTGATTCCAAAAACAATAGTACTTTTTAAATGTTTAAAATAGAGGTCTTTATTTCATGTGAAATTAAAAATACAGTCACTCGCACATACTCGTATGTGTACAGAACACGTGCATCATTGTAATAATATTCGTGCGCCCGTATATTAATATACACATACAATTATTAAAATATTGTATAAAATAACTATTTTTAAAATTTTAAATAAATTGATTAAGTCTGTCCTTAATTATTGTCTAGTTCAATAAACATAACATATATTAAAAAACCATGTTTTCCAAGATCTTAATCCTATTTGGATTAGTATTTAATTTGGTTACATACAATAAAAAACATCAGTTAAATGTTAAAAAAAATTTCAGTTTGTGTTCTTCATACGAGACTTAAATGTGCCACTATGCTATTTTGCTATAGCAGAGTGAGCCGTGGCTAGGAAATAGGCTTCTATCAAATTTTACAATGGTAATTAATAGCTATATAGCTCTGCAGAGTTGGACATAATGAGGATTTTCAGAAATTTGAAAAACTTATACCCGAATGCGTTAAAATAACAGTTTTAGGTTATAATATAAATTTAGGTTTTCAATATCCTCTTTAAAACATTTTAGGATTATTAAAATGTATGAATCCGGATTTTACTCAACTCTGTAGCTTTTCTAAAGTACACATTTTAAAACGCAAGCTATAAATATAAAATATTAAGTTGTCAAAACAAAATTTTTTTGGCTTTTGTATTTTTTATATTAGATTTTGTTAAAATGTTAAAATGATTTTAATAAATCCCTAGTAAGTTTAAGCATTTTTTAGACATGTTCTATCGCCATTTTTCTAATTATCATTTAAGTTGCATAATTTGTAAAAAATTTATGTTTTAATCTTATAAAATATGTACTCGCTGATCAGTAGGTACAATGATCATTGAAATAGAAACCAGGCGGAAAATATTAACTTTCACAATTAGTTTAATCAAGTATTACTTGTTGTAAGTTTTTTTGATGTGATGGAATACTGACTTGTTTCATTTAACTATGTTATTATTATTGTTGTTACTATTAGCACACTTTTTTTTATATATATAAAATATATCATGAAATCCATTACTATGTTGTGTGATACATTTTTGTTAATTAATTATTATAACATAGTAAAATTTAGTTTCTGCGTATTATCAATATTGGCTCAAGTTAATGCTTAATGTGTAACATTATATTAAACAACTATTATTTCCTTTATTATAGTATGTAATTTTTATAAGTTCAATTGGTTTGGACAATCAATGATTTTTATTTTTATGATTTAGGAAAGCAATGTTTTATTAAAACCAACAATTACTAAAATTTAGAGATTGCTTGTAATACATTTTTAATACATAATGTGCATTAATTTGTATTGATATAGTCTTTGTTCATTTATTTACAATTTCTCACTGATTTTTATAAAAAAAATATTATTTTTCTGCTTAAAAACTAAGCATAGAAATAATGTAAAAATTATTTTATGATTGATAATTTATTTACAATAAACAAAATGAGTATAACTAGAAGTAGTATAATCGAATATTATTTCCGGAAGGCGATACAACCTTTAGTCCCCATCTCCAAAAAATGTTGATTAATAACCTATGATGGAATGAGACTCAAAAGTCAGATAAATGGAAAATATTAAAGGATTTTATTTATAAATTAGACACGGCTTAAGCATGATATTAAATTGGTTTATTAAACGAATAATATTTATTTTAAATAATAATTTAATGAATATAAAGCATACATTATGCATTAGATAAATACATAGACATGGTTTTATTTATAATTTAAATATATGAAAATTTCTAGTGATAAATAATAATATATTATAATTGGTTTTTAAATTTATATTACATGCATAAAGTTTTTTTGTAGTTGTTAATTTTTATTTCTACTTACTTTACCATAGGGAGAACTTGGATTTGTATTTAAGAAATAATTACCTTCTTTCCTGTAAACAATTAAACAGTTTATATGGTATAAAAAATTTCATGTAAGTTTCCGTAAACAAACTGTTCTATAATAAAAAAAATTCTATCTATATATACAACATAAGAGGGTAAGTTAATATAATCATTCCTAAAAAATCGCATTTAACAAGGTAATTAAATTTAAATGTAAAATATTTAAATGCATTAAAAAAAAAAATAACGAAAAAGAGACATAAGTGTGCATAATTATTAAAACTAAGTATTATTTAAGCGACTTTTTTTAACTATCAATAAATAATTCAGGTAATACACGAATCACGATGGTAATATTCAAAATATTTCCTATAATAATTTTATATATTATGTCGGTTAAATGATTTATACTTACGACTTATCGTAGGGCGATTTTCCTAACTGAACCGCAAGATCTGTATTGTTTGAACACAACCCTTTATTGTAATCTTCGTAAGAGGCACATGGAATAGCAGTAAACGCATCTCCCTTGTTTATAGCTTCGCTATAGTAATAATAAGCTCTTCGATGACTGCAAACCGCTGTTAAAACGAAAAATAGTAGCATTTGTATATATTTATGAACACCTACAACTAAAATCGTAAGCATTGTACATGCGTAATCAATAACACAGCCAGGTTGAGGCCAATCGCCGCCGTTTGGATAGAAATCTCGGTGTCCTAAATTTTTTTTAAACCCAAGAAACCCTCCAGAGGTATGTACCACTTCAACTAGTTTGGCATGACTATAATCAAGACGTTCGTCGGGACCTGAATTCGAAAATAAAACCTCTGCTGGGTCGAGTCCTAAAAAAAAAAAAAAAATTTGTATTTGTTCATTGCTGATTAATGTTGTGACAATTAAGAATGTTTATTAAGCTACCGGTTATGTGCTTGACTTTTCCATACTTCATTTCATTATTTGTTAGGCTAACAACATGAGCTCCTAGCGAAAATCCAACTAAATGAAAATCTTCTGCGCGAGCACCCGTGGATGATGTCATATGATCAATAAATAAAGCCAAATGTTTAGATACATGTTTGGTATTTTTTGCTGCCGAGTTGTACCACGGAACAGCAGCTAGTTCTGACCAATCCACGGTAAATACATTATAATCGTTGTAACCCAAAAATGCTGCATTAAAACAATTCAACTTCATACGTCATAATATGAATACAGGACACATTAAATTCATTTTTTTTACCAAAAAGTACTTATATGTAATCCCTTAAAAAGTAATGTGTGGTCTTTGAAAGGCAGAAAGGGCTGCTTTGTCAAATATACACGTGCCAGTAAAGTAGTATTTTACTTTGGGGAAGGGGCTGAATATTTATGAATCCAGCAAAGTAAAAACTATAGGTTTTCTTCTCATCAGTTAGTACTTGGGTGTTGGGAATAAAACTAAAAAGTAAATGTAGGTAATTCACATGAATTTCTTTTTTTTTCCTTTCTAATTAACAGTATTTTTCTTATTGATTAATTAATCATACAGTAATGTTTTATAATTTGTTTTTAGTACCACCTGAATAGCTAAAATAACATTTTTTTGTAAAATACATTTAGTGAATAATCTAAAAATACATTTTTTTTCACTGAAAAGAAAAGATCGGTTATAAATTTAACAGTTGTGAGTTGGGTAAATATGTATTGTATCTAAACATTGACTGTCTCGCTCTATCTTCTGACCTATCTTTAAAACGATAGACAAACTTTTTTTTTTAACTTTCGCTATCAATTGTAATAAAATATGAAAATATTGTCTTCGGTCAATAATTAATATATAATCTCCTGACGCTTTCCAATGGCCAACGTATACTCTTCTTAAATAATACGTCTAGTGTAAAAGTAGAAAAAAATATATTATAGTAACATTATCTACTAATTATTTCATACTCATTATCGCCAATCGAAGGTTTTTTTAATAAAATACAGTTCATTATATAATACATGTTTGTTTTATTTAAAATAATGATTACCTATTGTTTTAGGTGAATTAAATACACCAAAATTGGATGTGCAACCCTACTCTCTTTTGTTGGAATGAATGGGGTTTATTTAGTCAATTCATAAATTATAAAAATTATTTTTTGAAACCAAATATGTATAACATATATGTATACATATAACTATTTATGAGACATTATGCATATTTAGATGCATAATCGTATAATCACGTATTTAAATCATTTTTATTTTTTAGATACTTTCTGGAATACCGCATAAATCTGCTATGTTGATTGTATTTGTATCTCAAAACAGTTAACTTGGAAAATATATTTGTTGATATGCTAACATGGTAACACATTCATTCGTATTTAAACAACATTGTATTCAACTTATCATTATTCATATTTACACAATATATTGTTATTTCAGTATTTTTATATACTTGTATGATACAAGTTGTTTCTACTCTAGGTACCTTACTTTACTCAAAATAATTATCTACCGCGGTCTTATGTGTTTCAAAAGGCCTAAAATTAAAACTTAACCGGATGAAATCTCATCAAAGTCAGACTATGAAAATTTAGTGGACATTAGGCCTAACGAGAATAGCTTGAAAACTCGTTGTATCCTAATAGTTGCAGCTGACGACAACGATGAACAGAGCAATCATTTTTCAGTAGTAAATCGAAGATATTGAAAAATCGATTTTAGCGTTACCAGGTATACAAGAGGATTTCCTACAAAAAACCTTGAAACGCCTTGAAGATGGAGCCAAGTTCCAATGGACACAATGGACAGAATTTCGACAAATGTCTGATTGTCGATTAGAGTATATATTATATTTATACATATCTTATTGGTATCGACTACGCTACAAAGTTGTGCTGAGTAGAGTAAAGAGTTATCATAACGACGCCATTGAAAAAGTTAGTAAAAGTTGCTATATTCCTACCAGAATAAGTACGGTTAAAATGTCTTTAATAGCTTTCAACGTAAACCCGATATCGGTATCGAATCTAATTGATTGAAAATATCAATCAACCATTTACCATCTACCATTTTTATGAACTCCAAAGTTTATGAATACATAAAATTGTTACTCCAAATTACAAATGATAATCTAGTAATTTAATATTAGACCACACTTTAACACACGATTTACCTATAGTTTACTGAATTAGTCCTTAAATGATAAGTCAAAATTTAGATCCTTTCAACTCGGTATTAAAAAAAACAAAATCTTTATTTTATATTTTTTTATTTTTTATTTGTGTGTAGAATCTTAAAATAAGCGAATTTTAAGGTTTGCAAATTGTGTAGTTCTTTGTAACACATATCATTTTCAAATTTTTTTAAGCATAATTGAAAAATAGATGTAAAAAAAATGCGTATTTAACTTATAAAAAAAAATAGCTAAAATTTCACAGAGAAGTCGAAAACAGAAAATTATCTTATATTTACACATTATTATTTCAACTGCTTAGATTACCGTGGTCGTTTTTTCGACTTTTCTATGAATTTTACCTCTTTTTTTTTTTTTTTTGTTATTATGGAGAACCCAGTTTGAAATTTGAACATTTTATGTAAAATTTCCTCAGCTTTCAATTCCCTTCATGGGAAAATTTATATTCATTTAAATTTTTTTAGGCATGCCGGTTTGCCAATTTTAGGCTGTAATTTGAAAGTTGTATTTACCGTACATCAGGTACAGTAGTTTTTCCAATGGGGTTAAACTTTAAATTCTTAAAGATAAAAAAGTTTCCCCGCCATTTTTTTAAAGGATTGATTTAAATTGCCCCCTACTGATTCTTATTATTATCGTGGCTTTTCAGTTATTTAAGTAATAGTTATGACATACCATCTCTAAGTAAAGGAAACATAATAGAATCCGTAGCACTGTCGCCAAATCCATGCACCAAAACTTTAGATTTTCTCTCTGGTCGAAAATACTTAAATACTGGTAAACATTTTTTATCCATTAATTGTTCTTCTGCCTTTATTGGATTATCTCTGTACATATAAACATGTATCAATCAAAATAATGTTAGGTACCTATATTTATTTTGGGTTTAAACTGTACCGACGTATATGCTTGAAGTATAATATGTATTATAGTATAACATATCTACTATGTCCTTACTATTGTGTACTATATAGATCAAGTTAACTGTTATTCCAACTATACGTCGTTTTTAATTTTATGTTAAAACATCCAAATATCTAATATAAATACCTCGTATACAAATAAAATTTAATGTTTTCAATTAATGGTTCTTGTTCGGAATTGCGTTCCAACCCAGACAGAATAGCCAATTGTGGATCACCTCGACCATTGGGCAATAACATCCATTTAATATCCTCGTTGTCTTTATCATCAACTTGGTCCTCCGTTACCAAATACTTTTTCTTGTAATTTTTCTACAAACATAAATAAATATACTTTATTAAATATTGTATTTAACAATTACAATTTGATATACCAATTCAACATAATTTGGAAGTAATATCAAACAAATTAAGAAGTACATTTTAATTGACATGTTATTAGTGTTGTATACAAGTTGAAGTTTAAATAAATATAAACCGAAGACATAATGTTCTTAGGAACCGTTTTTTTATTGTATGCAAATTTCCTAAGGAGATATGACAACCCTCTTTTTTTTTACAGGCGTATACATATTTGAATAAAATAAAAATTAGTCTTTGTTGTGAAGAGTTATAGATAATATAATTACTATTTTAAACAGGCTTTGAATTTAATATATACAGTGTCCTATATTATAATATTAATCGTATACTTTATAGTTTATTTCATTAATCACGAAATAAAGTACTTATTCCAACTTATAAGTGTAAAACTCAAACAGATGAGATATATTTTTAAATCAAAATTAACTTCTGTAACAATTAAAACTTTAAGTAAAACATAGCTTAGAGTTATCACAGTAAAATCTAATATGTATTATATATATATATATATATATATATATATATATATATAATAGTTGGATGATGTATAGCTGAGACATAATCGTTTTTACTTTATTTTACATACGAGGAAACATTTTATCGCTTGAATTACAGTTCGCAACTGTTTATTGTTGTATTATCATTGAAGTATACCATTCGCATTTTAATGTTTATTTTTAAATATATAGCTATACTACTAAATACATAATATAATCATTGTATAATCTACATATTTATTTGATGTCCCTTACAAAAAAAACCTTTTGTAAGTTTTTTATGATTACAATTTACATATTTTATGCTATTCTTATAAATTTGTAAAGTTCGGCGCCGCCAGAATTAATATCAATATTTGATAAATTAAGAAATTGGTATTTACCATAACTCACTTTACACAAAATTCCACTTTTCAAACGTTTAGCTATTATTATTTGACTACTACGAATGTAAAGATATTACGAATGCATGTAGTCTGTTTTTAAGGAGTTTTATACAGGTAATGTTTAAGAAAAAAGAGGTTTTTATAAATTTCGACCATGTTAATTAATTTATTATTTTTTTTATTGATACTTCAAATCCATTAATTTGATGTTATTTATTTAAATTGTCAATAGCTATGTATTTAAATATAATAAATATTGTATCGGTTGTAGAAAAACTGCCGTCAAAGCAAAGTGAATTCTATTTGTCGGAAATACGGAAATCTTGTATATAATCAAGCTGCAGAGAATGCGGCATGTAAAACTGCTGCAACTGTAGTCTGTATCGGCACTATCTACAGCTGCTATAATACCTTCGGCGATCATTAAAATTATTTTCGCCATCGGATATCAATTAATTTATTTAGCCAACGCCAGATAATTTCTATAACTGGGTATGTCATGCACTAATGTCTAATACATATAAAGACTATAATATTTTATAGGTGTTCGGCCTGTTCCCTATATCGCCTGCATTCCACATGGCACATTGTGTCGAACAAAGTTGCAATTTTCAGTTCGACCGACGACCATAGCCATAAAAAACAAACTGTACGTTTAAAAATTATGTTTTGACAACCTGCTTCCATAATTTAAATGTGATATTACTCTATATATTCATCACATTAAAAATGTATTTTTCCGTTTGTTATCATTGCATAAATTACATGTATAATATATAGATAAGACTGTGACATAGATAACATTGCAATTGATAGAGTGAATAATATTTCATTGGTAAATAGGTACCTAGCAGTAATTAGATATTAATTTGATTTTGGTATGATCGTCATTACGTAGTGCATAGGTCAATTAATCAATGAAGGGTTTTCTATGCTAGATATTTTGCTCTATTGCCGATCCATCTACATTAAATAACGAAGGATTATCAATTAAATTTGTAAAAATGGTTAAATATTTTGAGAATCAAAGTCTATTTCCTTTTAAATGGGAACAAGTGGTTCACGGTTTTTGGCAGAGGTACCCAAATCCTGAAAGGTAATATATTTTTTTGAATAAAATAGAGCATAATTAAATAACACTGACTTTGCTGTATTTAATTTTTTAGCAAGCATGTACTGTCAGAAGATGTGTTGCATAGGGAGGTCAAAGACAAAAAGTTACATTCAATAAGAATGTTCACAAAAACAAACAAATTACCAAAATGGGGTGAACGGTTTATACACAGCAATGTAGTTCGAATCGTGGAAGAATCGATAGTCGATCCAGCAAAAAAGACTTTAGTAACGTACACAAGGAATATAGGTTATACCAGTGTTATGGTGTGTTCTGTTTTGTCCAAATAACTGTGGTACTCCGTACTTTAATTAATATTTGTAATAACACATGCTTTGTTAGGGTGTCACTGAAAAAGTTATATATAAAGTAAATGAAGAAAATCCTAGTACAACAGTTGCCGAACGATCGGTATGGATTGAATCCAATGTGTTTGGCATGTCAAAAGCAATTAAAGCATTTGGCCTACAAAGGTTTAAAGTAAATAGTGCCAAAGCAGTCAAGGGATTTAATTATGTGCTCAATAGTATGTATGGAACAAATGTTGCCAATCCTACTGCTGGTGGATTAATGCATCAGAAAGAAAAGTTTAAGGACGCTTTGAAGCAAACTAATTACAAACCAGGATCTTATTATGTTCAGTAAGTTAAATATTATTTTTAAATTAACCATTTTTTTTTTACATTTCTGCAGTATGTACAAGTAGAAGTGTACATTTGCATGATTTCAATGAGTAACGATGAGCAGTGGTTCTGATGTTCCAACGTTAAGGTAACCTTATGACTAAATTTGTCGAAACATCAACAATTGTATAATTTTTCTTATTAAGTGGTTGTTACTTATGCTATATTGCCTAAGTAGTAGTTATCCAGCACATAAGCACCACTGATAACTCCATATTGGCTATTCATATTTTTTGTCACAGGATTCTAAAATTATTTCTCGCTGATTATCAAATTTGCCTGGCCCAAATTACCAATAAATACTTCACTCATACTTAAATATTATACTATATCTTTATGTAACCCAATTTACAAAATGTATAATAAATAAAAATGTTTTATTGTGGTAATGCCTCAATATGTGATGGTAAATTAAGTTATACATTTGTAATGAACATTTTTTTTAAAATTTATTTGTTTCAGTTGAGTATCTGATCAGATTCTTCCTTAAGACTTTCAACGTAGTTTATGATCAACATTAAAAGGTAGACAATTAAGTAATTTTAAGCTGATACTTGTTGTATGTAGTATAAGTGTTATTGTGGTATACATTTTTTTCATAATTTATTATTTTAATTTGTGTACAGTTTTTAAATAATAATTTTTGTGATCGCCTCTATTAACTTGTCACTACTTGTTTTGGGTAAGAGTGTATACCAGTTACATTGTGATTAGGGTAATAAATGCACGCCAATCACACTTTAATCAAGTGTGACCAAACATAACGTGAATAGTAACAGATTAATCTTAAGCTGTTTGAAGACATTAGGCGTTTAATGACAAACTTCTCAATTTAAATGCTTTAATTAAGAGGACGCTAGCTAAACAAACTTAATTTTAAGTGTATAACTAATTGTTTTTTAAACCATTTTATTTTTTTTGCAGTAGGTTTAAATTTTTGAAATTTTGCAAACATAGAAAACAATATTATACATTTTATGCATTGGTTAGGTTATGTTATTTCTAATAGCTTCATCTTTATCCATTGCTTAAAATTCACCTTTTTCCTGTCTTTAATTTATTTTAATTAAAACTTATTTAATTGCAGGATCAAATAAAGACCTACGATGTACATTGTAAATTATTGTTTTCAAGTGTTATAAAATGTTTGGGATTCTATGACCACTATGGACTAAATATGATGGTTTATAACTAATTATAATGAAGAAACACAATCATTCGATTTTATAATGGTTTTTACTCTAAAACCATCATGCACCGAATAAAACACAATCTGCTTAGCTATGTTCTAGTACAAAAAAAAATTAAAACTGTGGCAATAAATATGGTGAAGGTGTCATAAAATAAAATAACTAACAATAAAGAATCCTAATTATACTGTAGAATTATTTTACAGTAGTATTAATTTTTACTTAAAATTTCTCGAAAAATTGCTTATGCCAAACACTAAAAATTAAAGCAAAGAAATGATATAATGTACTATTTAAATAAACCCTTAACCATAAAATATAATAATACACTTTAGCGCGTCTCATTTCTTAGTATGTTGTATGTGCTGATTGGTGGTAACTTAGCTGCCGAAATACGTATACGCTTTAGAGTATTATTTTTGTTATGGATTTATTTAAATGTTTTATTATTTTATTTCTTTACTATATATTCCACAAGTGTACTTAAGTTTTTCTCTTAAAAATTGTTGGTTTAACGTCCTTTCTTAACAAATACAATTAAATATTAAAACTAAAGTATTTATTACTGATTTATCAATAAAAATTTAAAACTGCTTATCAGTTAACTCCAATTTAATAGTATTTTAAGCTTATATTAATTAATATTAATCTAATGCAATTTGTTGATAAGTGGTATTAGACAAGTTATACTTTTAATAGAACATTATCATTTTATTGAGAAAATTAAATATGTTTAGAATATTTACATATTTTTCTTTTAAATTTATAAAGACAAAAATATTGGATAGTTCTATAGTAGAAAGTTTGTTTTGTAGGAAACTAGTTTTATGTTAAATTGGCTAGCATAATTTGTATTATTAATTTTGTAATTCTATTATATGGTTTTTATGTTTGTAGACCTCAAGTTAAATCAAGAACGAACATCCATCGTTTTCAAATGTAATTTTTTTAGTTTAGTGTATATACATTTTGTTTATTTGGTTTAATTTCTGTTGGATAAACATTTGTTGTATAATTTATTAATTAATGTATGTTTATATTTATTAATATGTTTTCCATTTTCATTGTATTTCAATTAAGTATAATAATTTGAAACATTACAACTTGTTTTTTAAGATAAGTACAATTTAATTAAATGGTTATGAAAGCCATTATTTTGTTTTAATGTATATTTTTTTTGTATGCATACATTTGTATGGAAAACTAAATACATTTCCTGTCAACATTTCTGCCAGAAAATTATATGTAGAAAACATTGTCGTTAAATAAACTGTTATCATTATGTTTGAATTATATTAGTTTAAATAAATTTAAAACAATTCTGCACCTACAATGCTTCCAAAAAACCAGTGTATAATTGTTGAAAAAAATTATGTATAGCAAATTCAAAATAATATATTAATCTCTAAAAAGTCTTAATCAAGTCATTATATATATAAGATTTAAATTTTCAGATTTTGTTTTATAGGGTACCTACTATTCCACAATCAACATTAGGACATGCATACAAATTGTTGTACATGAGATCTTTTCAAAGTATTTAATCGTTTTATTTGTAATATTTTCGTCTAAACCAAAAAAATATCTCTTAATTGTAATGTGGTATTTAATGTGCACTTATCCTGTTTAAGTGTTGAGCTGTGTGCTTATATTGTATACATATATTCATATAAATAGATAAATTATTTACCGTTAACTATTTTATAACGAAAAATTATTTATATAGGTGCTTGTAAAATCAAACGAGTAGTGCGCTTATACAATATACAGCGTGATCAACTATCGTGAACCACTCAATATCTCGGTGGGTTTAATACTATGCGTTACCGTTTAAGTTTCAAAAGTTGCTATCGAAAAAACTTAACTAAGTTGGAAGGGGGGTAAAAACAAAAGAATTGTGAACAATTGAGATCACATTGCATAAAAACACTATGTATTGTATGTAAAGACAAAATTTAATTTCTCATCAAACCCAGTGAGATATTAAGTGGTTCACGATAAGTTGATCACCTTGTATACAAATATTATCTCGTAACATTATTTATTTTTTAAAAAACAGTCAACTGTTTTGTCTTCTCTATAAATAAAAGTGTTTTTAGTAGTAAATAGTTATAGAACAATAATATATACTTAGCATAGCATAAACACCATATCTACTAGCTGGTATTTTATCACGAGAAAAAAACCTTGACATTTTTAAAGGAATTACCATTTTTTTAATGTTAAGATATATTGTTTATTATATATATTTTAATTTTTTATGCATGCATTAAGTGTTTGAAATGAGGTTTATACCGAAGTGCTCGTTTTGATTATAAAATCATTAAAAACCACGAAAACATACATATTTAAACTTTTACGGACTAATAATTTAATATAATGTAACTTATTAGTTATTTGTTTTTAAGTACCTACGTAAAACCCGTATTGTTTTCTGTATTCTGTTTTGGAGTATAGTTTTTGTCAATTGAACTAGGTTATTTGTAATCGTTATTTTTAACTTTGTACGAGGAAAGTGAAAATATTCTTAGTTGGTAAATATTTTTTCTTTCAGAATTCATTCGCAGAATAAATCACTATAACGTTCATTATTGCGACGTAATTTTTTTTTTTTACCGTTAACTCAAAACGTATTAAATACTTGTCTTTGTCATAATACGCAAAGATTATCCTCTTGACAATAATAGCATTCGTCGCAAGTTCAAAATTCTATGTACCGCAAAAACTATGTTGACACAGTTCCAAATTTAAGGCTATTTATAAATTACTTTTTTTTCCTGTTCATCATCACATTCAATCGCAACTGTTTAAGTCTAGAGCTACTACTTATATATCATTTGTAAACAAATCGAACGTGTATGATGTTCTAAGCAGCGAGGTAGTTTTAAAATCAGCGGTACTTAATATAAAATCTTCCTAAATCCAAGTTCTAAAAAAAAGGAAAATAATGTGTTTATTAATGGTTTGAAAATTATAAACCAATTATATCGGAAAGTTCAAAAAGACAAAATTAATAACATTAAGATTAGAACAATTGAATTGGTCATTAATAATATGGTAAATTACCTTAGAATGTTTTTTTTACATATTATTACTAGATGATAGACTCAATAATACTATTATTAATGAATGTAATTGACGCCGAATAAATCAGTGACTACAGAAAAATGAATGATATAAATTTTTAAATAAATTTATATAAATATTTATGAAGATACTAATTATTATCTTTATACCTATTATCATAAACTAACATTTAATCTCTGGTCTATGAATAAAATTTATATAAAATTGATTTTGGTTAACTATCTTTAATAAAACAACTCTAAATTACTCCGATTTGGAAAACCGTCAGAATACTTTTAGAAACAACCAACAGACCAAACAAACAAAATAGTCACTCGAAATTTCCACAATAAACATATTTTTAGTAGGTAAATTAGAAAATAAAGTATAATATATGTGTATTGTATTTCAATTATTTCATTACGCCGCTTTAGAATCTAGATAATTAATTGTAAATTAACGTTGTGCGCGTTATCGCACAAAGTTAATTGGTGTATTAAAATTTAAGAAAATCGGAGAACGAATTAAAATTACAAAAGAGGTCAATCCGACTATCAGACAAGTGAACATAATTTTCAATTCTTCGCAACTGTATTGTTCTGAAGAACTTTCTCAATAACTAGTAGTACCTACCTACAAGTATAATTTAGTATGGCGAATTCTTAAATACCCCTTTTCAAAGTTAACGGTTAATAAATATTATTTGTTTGTTAGTGATTGGAAGTCATAAGGTCATAGTATTTATACATTTTCACCATATAACATATTGTTTAAACTTTAACGTAACTGACGTCAGATTATTCGTTATTACCGTCGTCATTCAAAATATATAATGTGTTTTATCTGCTGTCAATAACATTCAAACATTTAATAAAAATGTTCCATTGCACGAACAATTATTGCATAATGTGTGTTAACTATATTATAATGGTCAAGTATATTATTAAATAGGTATGTTGAGGGCACAACATACGTACATACTATGTACGTACATACTGTTATTCCGATATTTAATGGTCTCTACAAAATTATAAACAGTTTATGAAAATAATATACTTATTATCTGCATTTAGATTCTATATTAAATATAATAAAAATTGAAAAAATATATACGCGTCTCGTTATAAATAAAAAAGAATTTGACATACTGGATTTTTTGCAAGTTCCACTTATTACAAATTCATGTTTTATACTTTATACGTTTCTTTAATCAAGTAAATGGGAAAGAGCATTATTTGCTCAATTTTATTGTGTAGGTATGACTTCTGATCTAAATAAATATGTTCTATTTCATAGACCGTACACTGTATTATAATGCTAAGCTAGAGGCATATTTAAGAATAATGGGGCCTGCGGGGGGGGGGGGGGTGAAACAGTGTTCGCCCCCTGTTTTTTTGTTTGAAGAGTAGGACGTTCATAGGTATATATATGTACAGCGTATATTGTATAATATATATATATGTACATACAAATTGTACAAAGCCGTAGCTGGTAGTTATAAATTATTCATAAGGAAAATGTGGCGTGATATTACAGTTAATGTAATAAACACAATTCACAATCTCGGCGTTATTGCAAATCATCGCTAACCTAACTAATACAATTTTTATTAGAGTTCCTATAAGATATAAGTATACATAGGTAATAATATAACTTACACGTACTTGCTGGTAATTATTAATTGATCACATACAAATATACTTGTACTCGGATGCGGGGGTTGGACGTGTAATTTCAAGTTTTATATAGCGGGCAAAATCGAAACGGTTCATATTTTTTTTAAATCATGATTTAAATAAATATTTATAATTTAAACGAATGTTTATGTACAAGAAATAAAAAAGTTCAGTATTAAAATGTATAATAAATAATAAGTAATAATAATAATAAGTTGGTATACTGTCTAAAGAACAGCGGAATATTTAATATTATTACTGTTTGATTTAAAATTGTTGAGGGTTTTTCAAACTAAAACATAAAGATATTACAATTTTATTAATAACTCGTTATACGTTAACACTAAAAAGTAATTCTTAACTCAGTTTTTTTGGAATTTAATATAAATTTTAATCTAAGTTCCAAGCATGACTTTGGGTCATTTATAAAGTATCAAATCAATCCAATATTAACATCATAAGAATTTCAATAAAAGTATTTAATAAATGACGTTTTGGACTGTTGAAGCACCTAACAATATAATAAATACCTATTTTAATTATAATAGGTATTTGTGCCTACGTATTTTTACACATAATTAATAATTATGTGTATCTAATATTTATATACACGAGATTCTCGAGAACCTCAATTGAACGGAGTTCTAATTTTAAATTTACAGTTATAACTGTTCGTTTAAAATCGCGATACAGTTGTGTAAATTAATGTCATTAATAATTAATCTCATATACAGCGCTTTTCTTCATAGATTAATAAATAATTAGACTTAATAGGTATGCTCTTTGTCTAAATGTTATACATTTATACTATGATATATATTACCAATAGAAGCTACGCAACACATTAAGTATAAGAAGATAGGACGTAATTCAGTCTTAAAGAAAATTATTGGAGAAACATTAGCTGCATACTATGGCGTACCTAGGCTTATTTACACAATTATTAGCTGTAAACATTCTAATAATTAAACATGTGTAGGACGTACATCGCTATACCCACGACTTATGAGGTCTAAAACAAATCAGGTAGATAACTTGATAGGCTGAAGTCATATATTGTCATCTATACTTAACTGCTTTATTTTCACAACTGCTAAGTTAGCGGAGTCATAGGCGAACATTTTATAAATCTTAGGCACCCCTTAACATATGTTAATAGTCCTAAAGAAAATGATTATTTAAGTACAATAACTAATTTTAATTTTAGCATTGGTAAGGAGTTGTAGCATGCAGTGGCGGATTTACGGGGGGGTGGGGGGGGGTCCATGGGGTCTGGACCCCCCCCCCCCCCCCGTAAACGCTGATATAATGTTTTATTTGAAATTAAGTATATATTTAATGTAATAAAATAACATGTTGAAGTATAATTTTTTGATATTTTAAAATGTTTTCAATTATCTTATCTATTCTTGTGTAGGCAAACGGAAGAGTACCTACTAACTGCCCCTATCGAAAGCTGGTATGTGTATTAGCCATTCGCATTAAATTGCTGATATTATGTTAAATTATTGACGATTATTATAGCTACAATATCTGTATTTCCAGTAATCGATTATGTTGCGATAGTGAATTTATACGTATTTTTCCTTTTAACAGTTCTTTTAGAAGGGACGATTATATTACTATTTTATACTGAAATACTAGTATTGACATTTGACTGACGCGGACTTACGGTAATGCAATACGAGTAGTCGAACTCGGGAAATTACAAATTGTCTAAGCTTAATTAGTGAAATTCGAGATTTCTTCATATTTCCCAAACGAAAAAACGTTTTATCACAGAAAATCCTAGATTCTTCTTATGACACTACAAAAAAAAACCCTGAAACGTAGTTGTGAAACGAGGTGGATTGAACGATACCACGCAGTGCATGATTTTTATGAGGTTTTCGAATTTGTTGAAGAGTCTTTCGGTGAAATATCGGAATGGAATGATAGTGATACTAGTGGAAAGGCACAACGATTGCAAAAATCCATGTTAGATGGAGAATTCATTATTGCATTATTAATTTAAAAAAAGGATTTGGATTTGGGTTACCTCTATCAAAACAATTGCAAAAAGTAAACATTGATTTGAGATTAGCAACTAAATTAGCTGCTGAAACTCTAGAAGAAATGAAGATATTTAGAAATACTGCTCAAAAAACATTTCAACAAATATATACAGCTGCACTTGATTTAGCTGGAAAATTTCAAGTAGATATAACAATGCCTAGAATTACAGGAAGACAAGTATAGAACGAACATTCAAACAAAATCCACCGAAGAATACTACCGTATATCTATATTTATTCCATACATGTTTATTCTTACATTAATGAACTTGAACAAAGATTTGTCCATCATAAAAGTACACTTTATAATTTTCAGTCATTATTTGAATCCGAAGAAAATGAAGATAACTTCATAAAATTAGCCGATTATTACAAAGATGATTTGGAGTCCATAAACCATTCGTTATTATCAACGGAGTACAAGTTATGGCGAAGAAGATTAAAAAACATGACGGAAAACGCACTCCAAGCTATGACTGTTTGTAACAAAGAAATATACCCAAGTGTCTTGAAATTATTCCAGATCCTTGCTACTTTACCAGTCTCCACTGCATCAAATGAGCGCACCTTTTCAAATTTGAAGCGAATCAAAACGTATCTAAGAAATACCTTGACTTAAGTAAGGATAAATTATTATGTCAAATTTAAAAAAAAATGATTTGTAAAATTAATTAATAAAAATATTATTTTTAATTAAATTTCAGGCTCGATTGAACGGCTTGGCAATGATGTCGATTCACAGGGATGAAAGCTGTTTAACAGTTGATTCAGTATTAACCGAACTTTGTAAAAAAAAAAAAAGAAGAGTCGATTTTGTTTTGTAAAATAAATATAATATAATATTTAACATTAAACTTTATGTGTGAATGACGATATATTTTATAATATATAAATAAAAATACAGGCAACACTTTTTTAATAGAAATAATGTCTTTGAAATATACATCATTTTTCAGGACCCCCCCCAAGAAAATGTTGAAAATCCGCCACTGGTAGTATGCAGGTTGCATATTTTGAGACCTCGACTCTTTGAATTTTCGTTCGAATGGTACCTACTCCATTTTAATTAAAATGGTTTTATAGCGTGTTTCTCGTTAATTAACCGACGGAGGCCACGGTATGTTTGATTTGTATGATAATAGAGTTCGAACGACGTCCTTGGCATTTGCTTCGGGTGTTTGAAATCAAAAGAACAGATAATTATTTTTGGAAACACCACGTGGATGATTGAAAGCACTCAGCCAGTCTACTTTTTGTTTATTGTCTCGTCAATGAAATAATTAAATCTGTTATTTGAACGACATATGGTGAACTCAAGTTTAGTTTAAACTCAAGTCCAACGTCGGGCAATCATTTTGAAGAAGACCGTTCAATATTAGGCACTTTTTTATCGGGGCGCAATTTCAATTTTTAACTCGGGGGAGGGCTGGACATTTTTTTTAAATGTATATATATATATAAGTAAATATATTTTTGTATTTTAAAATTGTATGCATAACCTAATTTTTTTGGTGGGGCTATGTCTAGCATTGGATGGGATAAGCCCACCCTAGCCCCTCCGTATTTGCGCCTATGATTAGGAGAGCATTATCGACGTGAGACGTCTCACATCGGTGACGGCGGACCGCGGACGTCGTGTCGACTGTCGTCATAGGATGGAAATCGCGCCACTGTGCTGTGCCGGTGAACCGTGAAAAGTACAAAAACGTGTTTACCCGGTACCGACAACAACAACAGCGATCGGTGGAAATGGAAAACGCACGATGAATCACGATAAATTAAATTATTATAATATTTTGTTTGTCATGGTTAGTGATCCCCGCCGTCCGTGTGCTGGACGTTAGTTTGTTTCGCGGACCAATGGTAAACGGCAAGCGCAGTCGCACGCGCCGCACACGGACCACCGCCGTCCACCGCACTTGTTTGTGCGCCGAACCCAACAGCTGTTTTGTCAACAACAACAAAGACTCGCGTGCGACTCGGCCGTGCGTATTACACTTGTGTGCGCGTTTATGTGTGTGTGCACGGCACTGTTCGCCGATTGTTGGCTGATGCGGTTGTTGTCTGGTCTCTTTTAACCCGTTCTTGTTGTTGCGGTCGTCGATACACTGCGACTTCTCAATAGCAATTAACACCCGTTAGTTATTCTCTCCGAATCTCATATGCGACGAATAAAGTGTTCGTTTCGTCGTGTTAGCCCTGCCGTAGCGTTTCAGTAGTAGTGTTCCAGCAGTAGAGCGCCTATCCCTTGTGTTAACCCCCGGGAATCGTCGCGGTCGGCACACAATGAACCGCTGCGACAGTGGACGTCCAGTCGACGACGACGACGACGATGACGGCGACGTCCAGCGGTCCCGCGAGTGCTGGTGGTCCAAGAGAATGGTGCTGATGCCCGAAAAACGCGAACAGCAAGACCCCATGGAGCCGTATACCTGTGAGCGAATCGTCGTCATGCTTATCCAACTTAAGGAATATTTAGGCCCATACTGGTTGACTCCTTGGTTTTTGGCCTATATCTATCCCACCATACTGGTGTACGAGTAAGTATTATTATGTTTTCAAATTCTGGATGAATACTCGCCCAATAGAGATATTTATAAATTAATTTAGCCAGGGGTATTGTATCGATAATTAATATCCCTTTTGGAAAAATGTTATCTAAAGATTCATTGCAAAAGTAATCATAAACCTATTAAGCTTAACTAACATTTATAAATAAGTGGTTAATTAAATTCAAATTAAACATTATTCTGCAAATAAACATGTATATAACAAGTTGCAATAACTAGTTTAAAAATAAAAACATTATTTGCATTAAAATAGTCTGTTTTAAATTATTTTTTACAACTTCATTTACATAAATTATTAAAAAATACAAATTGTTACGAGTTAGTCATGTTGTTATCTAGTTTGCTTAATTACCATAATTTTGAATTAAACATTTTTAATTTTAGGTAGATAGTTAAATTTGATAAATTCTCAAAAACATTATCAACATCCGATATTGTGTCGTATAGTTTGTTCTAGTTTGTACACCGTATATACCTAAGAAATAAAACATAAAAATAATTGGAAAAAACTGTTTGAAAAATAATTATATAATTTGTACTTTTTTTAAGCAAATCAATTTAAAATTATTAAATGTCAACTGATTTTTTGTTTGTTAATAAAATAACTTATGTTGTTTATACATATAAAGGTATCATGTGGGACAATAATTTAAGCCCAATATTTGGTCAAGGTCATAGGCCGAATGTTGGCATTAGTTAATAACACAGCATGGCTATTGTTTTTTAATTTTTTTTTGAAAAAATTATTTTATTTTAAATAAACATTTAATAGCGGCAATTAAAAACTAAAAATTAAAATTTTAAACAGACATTACTATTAAAAGTTCAAACTTTAAATAGGAAAAAAAGATGACGCAACAATTAGATTTATCCCTATATTTATATTTGGCCAAGATAAGACTATGATAAAATGTTCAATCATTGCGAGACATGTAAATAAATCTATAAGAAATAAAAATATCAATAAAAGCATTGTAATGACAATAATATGTTAAAAAATGTATTTTTAGTATTAAGGGTATCCATCTCGATTAAGGTTGATTTTCTGTCTATAACGATGGATTGCCATAGTTCCCCATATATCATAATTAACAATACAATAAAAGTATTTTCAAATACATATTCATTAATGATTCACACCTAGCCATCTAGAAATGTACTACAGTAAAAGTGTAGTTTTCTCTTATTTTTTGGGTTTTTCTTAATAAAAAAAAATAGTTACAGATTTTTAAAAAAATTGGCACTAAAAGTGTACTACAGGATAAACTATAATAAAAAAACAGCTTCTCATGAGAAAAGGGTTAATGATATTTTTTTGGTTTGTGAAAGTTTATCAATATTAAAAATTTGGAACTAATTTAACTGTATTTAGAAAATTAATAGAGCGACGTAATTTTAATTTGAAAAATATGTAAATCTGTTAGGTATTTTCTCGATATTAAAATGGAAGTGGTGAACTTTTTAAATTATTGGCCCAATAAAGTATCTGAGGTACGAATTCTGATCTATAGAGTAGCTACACGAAAAATTTGGTTCATGGTATAAAAAGGTATTATGGGTCCAGAGAAAAACCCTAGCTATTTTTTTTTTGTTCCATGAAAACGCATTGAATCATGGATATTTTTTTGAAAAGTGAGTCACCATATCCAGATAAAATTCTCCCCTCCATATGTCACATTTTACAAAGTTGTCGATTTTTTTATATTACATATTGTCTTATTTGGTATCGCAGTCAAATTTTTTAATGTGACCAGACAGCGTTGCATATTTGATGATAGGACACTAATTTGGAATGACTTGACCCCCCAGCCCAAAATAAATTGTTTAAAAAATGCAAAAGGTTTAGGTTCACAGCCGTGGATTGAACTGTAGAGTGGTCGCGCAAAACACACCACATTCAGCCAATGAACCTGTGTCAATGACTCGATTTTATCCCTGGAAATAATCGTTGTACCCACCACAAAACATATTCATGTAAAAAAAAACACATCGTAAAACAATACAATACCTATAAAATAATAATAATAAATAATATATCTAAATAAAAATAATAATTTATTTTTGAAAACTTGACTGGAGCCTAAAGAATGTACTTAATCTTTACTGCAATTTTCAGATCTCATGGTATTTCTGGAGCTTTTGTGTATTGTAATATTATGCAAATAATATTTTTTGTTGGCTTTGAGTTTTGGGATGAAAGTTTTAAATGGACACCTTTACATTACACGTAATTATCTTTTTGCTATTAATTAATATTGTTTTTTATGTATAATTTTAGTTTTTTTTTTTTTTTTTAGTATAAGGTCATATATTTTGCACGTTTTGGATCTACAACAACTAACAAAGAATATTGATGAATTGGTAATTGTTACAACTCAGATTTTTTAAATAACCCTACATAATTAATATTGTTATTTATATGATTTAGATAATGTTCTGTTTTTGGGTTCTTTCTTGGGCTGCAGTCCCTATTGTATGTTTCCTATGTGGACATATAGTTGAACTACCTTCAGGACGTCTTGAACGGATGACTTCATACACAACAATGATGACTGTTACATTTGTAATAGGTAATATCAGTTGTAAATACTTGATAATCAAGAAATAAGTATAAACTATAATTCTTAACCTATGTAGTAATGAAACTTTTAGGGAAAAAATATTTTTCAACTTGAAAATTTTACCCTTGATGTTACCAACTTGGATGACAATCGTGGTTTTTTTTTTGGTTCTATTTAGCTTTACCGATTTTCCGTGCTTTCCAAACATTTACCCTTTCCTTTTTCAATACAATTTTTACAAATTGTTTCAAGAAATATAAAAAAATAAGTATAATTTTTTTCAGCTTACATTGTTCTGATGTTGTGGGTCGAAAAAAATTTGATGGAAATTGAAACAGATATAATTATGCCGTCATCATTACAACGAGATCATATTGAAGATTCTATGTTACCCGGTAATTTGAAATTAGCATTAATACATGATTACAATTATTGTAGGCATAACATTTTGATATTACATTTTAGATATACCCGATTTGGAAACGGTTTACGAAGATATTTCTATACCTAAAGAATTTAAAATAGATCACATTTGGCAAGGGTTATTGGAACATGAATGCAACAGAAGTATTTAAAACATTTTCAAACTAAACATTGCTAGAATATGTATAATATGTAAATTATTGTTTCATTTTAGGTGATACTGTAAAAGAAGTATCATTAAACCAAATTGAACAAGGAGAAGAGGCTAAAGAACTAGAAATGGATGTGATATCTTTATCGTCCAGCACACTAAGTGATTTTGACATAATATCTGACGAGGAAATTAATCTTCTACAATAAACATTTTATCAACATAAAAATACTGCTAGTTTTAATGTGCAAAAAAAAAATGATTTGTAGTTTGTCAACTATTTAAGAAACTTTCGTCTTTTTACACTTATGTTTGTTTAATGTAAAATGTGAACTTTCAATTAGCTGTATCTTTATGTAGATTTATTTGTCAGGATTAGTTGTTTTTATTATAAATTGTTAAAATTGTTAAATTATAGGTACCCAATACAATTAAATATTTTAAAGTTTACATTTAAAAATGAGATACGATAAAATGTTGTATAATATTGTTTTGAATATTATGTTAGGTTTTACTTTTCAGAAAATTGTTTGCAACTAATTATGTTAGAAATTACAGAACATCGCCGTACATTTTTATTATGATCTCATGTACACAAATAATAATAGTGCCATTTTTTAACATTTTTTTTTTTTTTTGATTGACCTAATTGATGACAGAACACAAGTCTAGATTCGGTGTTGACATTTTAAAGATATAAACATTTCTCTGATACAAAATTTTATATTATACTGTAGAATATATATTATTGTCTTAAATTATCTTTACATGGTTTATAAACAATCATAACGCTAAATTTACTTTTATAACTCGCTAAAATGTATTGCACTTGTATTTTTTTTTTATAGTTTAAAAACTATAACATAAAATCATACTATTTGTTCATAAATAATAACTGTTATTAGTATTATCATCTATATTAATGATTAAAAGTAATGTTTTAACTTAACAAGTAATCTGGCATTTTGAAATTTGGCATTTTTATTATTTTATTTTACTGTGATCTAAAAATTTCTGAACACTTGCTTCTGTCTTGGTTACATTTGAGTATATATTTTTTTTTTTTTTTGGAAATTACTAAAATTATTTTTATAGAAGAAAAAAGTACATTTTAATATTGTAGTAAAGATTTTAGGTTACTTAAAAAACAATTCATGTGCAGTCTTCCTATGTCTGCCTGATTAAGTATTTGTGTTATGGTGCTTTTAAAGTATTATTATTATTATTATTATTATTATAATTACAGTTATTATTTTGTAGTGAAAAATTCTAATATCAAGTGTGATTATTATCTTTATTACATAATTGTAGCTTCCTGTGTTTTAGGATGAAAAAGAGCTTTTTTGTGAATATATATATATACATACATACTATTGTTTTTATAGAATTTTGTTTTTCCTATTTCAAACAAGCATACACTTAATAATTATAGTCTTAATTTTAACATTAAGATTGTTAAACCATCATGAAAAACAACTGAATAACTTTTGGCCCATTTGGGAAGTAATGTATTTAATAATCTTCAATACTTGCATAATATTTTCTATTAAAATCAAGCTAAATAAGCCAGAGTATTTGCTCAGTTTGTAATATATAGTGTATGGTTTTTGATAAATGTATCCACATAATGTGAAATCCTGTGCAATATCTGAAAGTGAAGGGACTTTGACGGCATAAAAGTAAGTATTAAATCGAGCAAAAGCCACTTTCCGAAAAAACCATCCTGTTTAATGATGGTAGAAAAAATCCCATCTGTGATTCGAAAATTCAAAATAATAAATTTCACTGTTAATTCACAAAACTCGATTACTAATTAATTTAAATTACCCCCGACTCGTATTTAAATGAATTGAAATAAGTTTACTAAAAAAAATATGTTTAAAAACAGAAGAAAAAGTTTTTTTTCGATCAAATACTGTTTATACTATTTTCGGTGCCATGTAGATTTATTATGTATACAATTTGATATTACTAAAACATTTATAAAACAAACATACACGGCGCGTTCATAATGAAAATTTGAAATCATATATGGACGGAAAAGTGTTTATACAATATATACCGTACATAGTACTAGGTCATATAAACAAATTCGATGTGTTATTTTTTACTTCTTCGAATACAAAGCTACAGTTCTTTAGAAATTTTATTTTTGCGTCCCTGGACAGAAGTAAGACCAATATGTGTTCTTACTGAAAATAATCCGACCTGGCAGTTAATGTCAAGCATATTGTGTGTTTTCGTCTGTTATACTACGTGTCTATTTAATTATTAATTTATATTTAACATAAATAATAATCAAATTATGGTTTATAGAAATACTCTACAAGTTGTAACGAAACTAATATAACAGGGTTGAAACGTATAATACGGTAAAGTATAAAACACATAATTATAAACGTTTTATACCGTATAAAAACAAAATTTTAAGTACATTTATATTTTATATATTATGATATTATATCTTATCTTATCGCGGTAGTATTATTCATTGTACTCGTGATATTTATAACATTTTTAGTGTATACTGTGTAGTGTACAGTATACAATATACTTAAAACAAATGACAACTGTACATGAGTATATTATGTTTATAATTTTTTAAATATAATTAATTAAATATATATAATTTATGACTACCTAATTATATTTGTACTAAGTATAAAAAATAAAAATCTAAATAATATCTGAAGTAAGAAGTATTTTTAATTTTTTTAGAAAGAATTTCAAAACAAAAACATATTCTACGTTATATACGTTTTATACGTGTATATTATAAACCCTGTAATATAATGTTTTAACAAAAAAATGAAAAAATTAAATAACCATTATTCAATTATTGATTATCACAAATATATTATATAATATATAGATCTATGTTGATTATTTATCTAATCTGTGATATTATCAGTGTCACAAATAATCACACAACACCACGACATCGGTTACAGTGTAGCCAGTCACTTTGAAATAATTAAACGGTTTTCAGTTGGTACGTAGTGTGATAAGCGGCGTAAACAAGTCTCAACTCTTAAGCGAAATCGTTCATTTCCATGCCTTGTGCAAGTAACACTTTATTCAGTTTGATATTAACGTAACAAAACGTTGAAATTAAGAAATTAATTATTAACCCGAAATTGTGAAATGACAATCGTTTATGTGCTAAAATTTTGAAGAAAAATAAAAGTCAGAACGATTATTATTTGTGTAAAAATAAATTAAACAATGGCTGATGCGGCTGCCCGGCAGCTTCAGTATGAATATAAAGCGGTAAGTTGAAAAATGTTTTGTATATACCTCATTACCTAATATTTAAAATAAATATGGTGTGTATTTACTTTAGAATTCCAACTTAGTCCTACAAGCTGATGTACGTCTTATTGATCGGCGTAACAGAGATGAGGCTACGGGTGAAGTATGTTCACTTGTGGGCAAGTTGGATGGTACCAAAATGGGTGATAGATTTCAAAGAACCAAACCAGTAAAAGCCGAAGAAAGAAAAGCCAAGTTAATATCTTTCTTATATTAATTGCTCAGTTATTTTGTATAATGATTATTTTTAATGTTTTTAGGAGACAAAAGCGTGACGAAGCACAGTATGATTTTGCCCGAATGAAAGGCACTACCCTATTGTCAGATGGTGTTGATGATATGGTTGGAATTATGTACAGACCAAAGACTCAAGAAACTAGACAAACATATGAAGTATTATTAAGTTTTATACAAGAAGCACTTGGAGATCAGGTATATAAATGTTTTGTTCCGTATTAATCTGTTAATATTTTTTTATAATTCTTAATAATATACTCCAATTATCTGTCTTAAGCCTCGAGATATTCTTTGTGGAGCAGCCGATGAAGTTTTAGCTGTATTAAAAAATGATCGTCTGAAGGACAAAGAAAAGAAATCGGATACCGAGGGTCTGTTGGGTTCTCTAGCTGATGAACGATTCGCTCTTTTGGTAAATTTGGGGAAAAAAATTACTGATTTTGGAACTGACGACAAAGGATTGGCTAGTACCGGTAAATGACCATACAGATAACTTATTCTATATACTTCACATTCTATATATTACATTTGTATTTTATATTTATTATGTACCTATTGTTAAACAAAATATTGTAAACTATTATTTAATCCATATAAATATGTAACATCTATTGTATATTAAAATATATTTATAATTTTTTAGAAGACAATATTGATGAAACCTATGGTATAAATGTTCAGTTTGAAGAAAGTGAAGAAGAAGACGATGAAGATGTGTACGGAGAAATTAGAGAAGGTGACGATCACGATGATGAAGGTGAAGAATCTAAATTGGATGCTACAATACACGCAGAGAATGTATGTATTTTAATAAAATTTCAATTTATACATAAAAAAATATTCAAGTTGAGTAATTTTCAATTTTAGTTGGACAAACGCACAGTGAAAAAGCCTGTTGAGCAAGCAAAAAAAGAAAAAAGTTTGCATGCATTGGACATTGATGCTTATTGGCTCCAGAGAAGTTTATCTAAATACTATAGTGACGCTATGGCTTCACAGGCCAAAGCAGCGGAAGTATTGGCTGTACTGAAAAACGCCGGTGATGATCGTGATTGTGAAAATCAACTAGTACTCTTACTTGGTTATGATTGTTTTGATTTTATTAAAGTATTGAAAAAAAACCGGCTTATGAGTAAGTAAATAACAATTTAAAAAATATATATAATAATAATCCTTATATTATTATCTGTCAATTTTTTGTTTTAGTACTATTTTGTACACTTTTGGCATCGTCACAAAGTGAAACTGAACGGGCTTCGTTGAGGAAAAAAATGGAAGCTGATCCATTTCTTGCACGTATCTTACGTCAAATGGACACTAAAGAAGTAGACGATGTTAAAGAAAATAGCGCTAGTGCTGGTAACAAAAAAAAGCGGATCGATGATGATTACGATGAAGACATGGATACAGGTGATCCAAAACAGCAAGTTGCGGGCAGTAGAAAAGTTTTGGATTTGGAAGACCTGGTTTTTGCTCAAGGCTCCCATTTTATGTCCAATAAGCGATGTCAGCTACCAGATGGATCTTTTAGAAAACAACGCAAAGGTCAATAAAATAGATAAAAACATATTTTTTTTCTTATTGACCTTGGTGACCGACTTGGGCACAAGTGTTGGTAATCGAATTGTCTGTAAACTGTATACTAATTCTCAGGTTTTTATTCCTCAGGTTACGAAGAAGTACATGTTCCTGCATTAAAACCAAAACCGTTCAATGAAGAAGAAGCGCTAGTGCCGATCGACAAGTTGCCTAAATATGTACAACCAGCTTTTGAAGATTTCAAAACTCTCAACAGGATTCAATCTCGTTTGTATAAAAGTACACTCGATTCCGATGAGAATTTATTAATTTGTGCACCTACGGTAATTGATCATCATTAAAATAAAATTACAACTGGGATATTATAATTTAGTAATAATCTAAACTATGTTTATGAACTAATTTCTTGATTTTACATTAAGGGTGCTGGTAAAACAAATGTAGCCCTATTGTGTATGCTCAGAGAAATCGGAAAACATATTAATAGCGACGGAACTATAAATGCTGACGAATTCAAAATAATTTATATCGCTCCCATGAGGTCTCTCGTACAGGAAATGGTTGGAAGTTTTGGAAAGGTAACATTGTATTAATAGCTGTAGTATAGATTTTTTTAAAACCATTCTTATTACAATTTATTTATTTGTTACTTTTTTTTTAACAGAGATTAAGTAGCTACAATTTAACAGTGTCTGAGTTAACCGGAGACCATCAATTGACACGCGAACAAATACAAGCAACTCAGATTATTGTTTGTACACCAGAAAAATGGGATATTATTACAAGGAAAGGAGGGGAAAAAACGTTTGTGTCACTCGTCCGGCTTATAATTATTGTAATTATTATTATCAGCTTTCAATGATCTAAATTTAATACTATGATAGTGGCAGAGTGGGTAAGGTGGCGGTGTGCAGTACTCATTGTCACCTGTTGTACACTCGGATCACGGAAGACCCTGTTTACTAGATGAGAAATTGTCTAAAGAGGCTTCTTCGGGATGGAATAACAACCCACCCCGGAATAAATTAGTAAAGGCAGCCTTGGGCACCCTACTCATAGGAGGCAGTCAGACTTTAATAATTTGATTTAAAATATATCTATACTTAAAAAAAAAATTATGATTTTTAAAAAGATTAATTTTTCTATCTATTTGTTGTAAAAATGAATCAAAACTTCAACATGTTTTTTAATAATTGATAATTTTTGGTATCCTAACAGGATGAAATACATTTATTGCACGACGAACGTGGTCCAGTACTCGAGGCCTTAGTTGCTAGGACTATTAGAAATATAGAAACAATTCAAGAGGAGGTTAGGTTAGTGGGGCTTAGTGCAACATTGCCTAATTATCAAGATGTAGCAACTCTTCTCAGAGTCAAGCCGGATACTGTGAGTGAAAATTGAAAGCTCTAATATGATTAAATAACCTGACAGGTTTGTTATATTTTAAATTTGTTGTTTCAAGGGTCTTTTTTATTTTGACAACTCGTTCAGACCTGTACCATTAGAGCAGCAATATATTGGTATTACAGAAAAAAAAGCTGTTAAACGTTTTCAAGTCATGAACGAAATTGTTTATGAAAAAATTATGGAACATGCTGGACGTAACCAAATTTTAGTTTTTGTACATTCAAGAAAAGAAACAGGTTTGTTGTATGCCACATAATCAAATATCTGGTGCTTGGCGTAAAGTTTTTTTACATTTTTCCCCAATACAAATTTTAAAGCTTATCGTACATACTATTTTGTCGCCCGTTAAGAATACTAAAGGTGATTCATGTTTTAGGCAAAACGGCTAGAGCAATAAGAGACATGTGTTTGGAAAAAGATACTCTTGGAAATTTCTTACGTGAAGGTTCTGCCTCTATGGAAGTATTACGTACTGAAGCTGAACAAGTAAAAGTAAGTAAAAAGTTTTTGAGTAATACTAAAAGAAACCACAATTTTTTTTTACATTTAATTATTTTATTTGTAGAACAGCGAACTTAGAGATTTACTGCCCTATGGATTTGCTATCCATCACGCTGGAATGACTCGCGTAGACAGAACTCTAGTCGAAGATCTTTTCGCCGATCGTCATATTCAAGTATTAATTTCTACAGCTACCTTAGCTTGGGGTGTAAATTTACCAGCCCATACTGTTATCATCAAAGGTACACAAGTCTATAGTCCGGAAAAAGGCCGTTGGGTAGAACTCGGAGCTTTAGACGTTTTGCAGGTAATTAAAGTTAACTCAATAGGCAAGAATGCATTTTTTTTATGTGGTTCACATACCTTATTATTATTTTACTGTATTAATAAAAGATATATTTAATAAAAGCTTTTTTCTAACTTCTAACCTGTTTGTATTTTCAGATGTTGGGTCGTGCAGGACGACCGCAATATGATACTAAAGGTGAAGGAATACTGATCACAAATCATAGTGAATTGCAGTATTATTTGTCGTTGTTAAACCAACAACTTCCTATCGAGTCACAATTAGTTTCCAAATTACCTGACATGTTGAACGCGGAAATTGTGCTTGGTAAGATTTGTTATGGTATAATTTCAATGACAACGAAGCGACAACAAAAACACATTTTACTTTGTGCAGGTACAATACAAAATGTGAAAGAAGCTGTTACGTGGTTGGGATACACATATTTATACATACGAATGTTACGTGCTCCGTCCTTATATACGATTACTCAAGAGAAGTTGGAAGTCGATCCGTTATTAGAAACGCACCGAGCAGATATCGTTCATACTGCAGCAATCCAGTTGGAGAGAAGTAATCTTATAAAATACGATCGAAAATCAGGATATTTTCAGGTACAATATATATTTATGACGTTTATGTTAATCGACGTTTCATGCATTAATGAACTTTTACTATAAAAGGTAACCGAACTTGGGCGGATCGCTAGTCATTACTATTGTACTCATGACACAATGGCCACATACAATCATTTATTGAAGCCGACCTTGAGCGAAATTGAGCTGTTTAGAGTGTTTTCACTATCTGGAGAATTCCGTCATATTGGAGTTAGAGATGAAGAAAAGTTAGAGCTCCAGAAATTGATGGAGCGAGTCCCGATTCCTATTAAAGAGGGAATTGAAGAACCGAGCGCTAAGGTAAGAGAGAAGTAAAACACGTTATTATATTTAAAATATTTAATTTTTTTTTGTATTTATCAGATAAACATATTGCTTCAAGCGTACATATCTCAGTTGAAGTTGGAAGGATTCGCTCTTATGTCCGATATGGTGTTTGTCACACAATCAGCTGCACGTTTAATGCGTGCTATTTTTGAAATTGTATTGCACCGAGGTTGGGCTCAACTGGCCGATAAAGCACTCAGCCTTTGTAAAATGATTGACAGACGTATGTGGCAAAGCATGTCGCCTCTTAGACAGTTCAAAAAAATGCCAGAGGAAATTGTTAGAAAAATAGAGAAAAAAAATTTCCCGTGGGAACGTTTATACGATCTTGGACCTAGTGAGATTGGTGAACTAATACGTGTTCCAAAACTTGGAAAGACCATTCATAGATATGTACATCAGTTTCCAAAACTGGAATTGGCAACTCACATTCAACCAGTTACAAGGTTATTATAAATATTTGGTTGTCCTTATTTTGTGTTTACTAGAGTTTTATAATAGACACCCACTAAGTTTCAAGGCTTATATTAGATGTTAACACCACATACTGCAAGTCACTTATCTAAAAAAATTGTGTTTTTGCTCATTTTTTTCCATAAATTTATTCTGTTAACAAAAAGGTATTTTCTTTATTGTATAAATTTCAAAACGGTTTTAATTTGGTACCTCCGTAGTAATGTAAAGTTTGTGGCTGGCAGTATGTGTTATCATAAAAATGAAAACATTTTTGTAGTCTATTTAATCTATTTCAGACTTTTTAAGAAAGGGGGTACTAATAAAAATTTCATTAAACACAAAATAAGGACCCTCTTAATTCAATGTAATGCATTTTACATTAGTTAATTCAATGTTTATTTAATTTCAGATCTACTTTAAGAGTTGAATTGACAATTACACCAGATTTTCAGTGGGATGAAAAACTACATGGTAATTCTGAAGGTTTTTGGGTGTTAGTAGAAGATGTCGACTCTGAAGTTATTTTACATCACGAGTTCTTTTTATTAAAAGCAAAGTATGCTACTGATGAGCATTTGCTTAAATTTTTCGTGCCCGTCTTCGAGCCTTTACCACCACAATATTTCCTCAGGTAAATAAATACATTCATTAAATTATAATTATTCATTTTATCCAATAACTAATGACATATTTCTTAACATATTTTATATAAATATAATATTTTGCTCGTTTTAGAATTGTGTCCGATCGCTGGATCGGTTCTGAAACTCAACTGCCAGTATCATTTAGGCACTTGCTGTTACCAGAAAAAAATGTACCTCCTACAGAACTTTTGGATTTGCAGCCATTGCCTGTAATTTCTTTACTGATTACAAAATGTATAGTAATATATTTAACTACTGTATATTTAATGTTTCAGGTGTCAGCTTTACGGAATAAAGTTTTTGAGGAACTATATGCCGAAAGATTTCATCAGTTCAATCCAATTCAAACTCAGGTTTTTAACGCTGTCTACAATAGTGATGAAAATGTGTTTATTGGTGCTCCGACTGGATCAGGGAAAACTACCATTGCTGAATTTGCACTATATCGTCTTCTCAGTCAAAACCCCGACAATCGTTGTGTGTACTTAGTGGCTAAAGAATCACAAGCCGAACTTATATATTCTAGTTGGCACGTAATATTCGGAATCGGTCTTGCTAGAAAAGTAGTGTTGTTGACCGGAGAAATCGGAACAGATTTAAAGGTTTGAAAAAATTCTCTATTCACAAAGTGTGTAATATATAAAATGTAAAATTTCGATTGGCATATAGTTGCTGGCTAAAGGACAGATTATCGTGACAACAGCAGAGAAATGGGACGTACTTTCTAGGAGATGGAAACAGAGAAAAAACGTTCAAAACATTAATCTTTTTATTGTTGACGAACTTCAGGTATACTCAATTCAAGCGCGTCGTGTGAAACGATTAATAATATTTTTGTGCTTCTTCCAGCTTATTGGAGGTGAAGACGGACCGGTACTAGAAGTTGTATGCTCGAGAATGCGGTATATTGCTTCTCAAACTGAAAAGCAAATGCGTGTAGTAGCTCTTTCAGCTCCGTTAGCAGATGCTAGAGATGTAGCCTTATGGTTGGGCGCTCCTGCAACGACTACATTTAATTTCCACCCTAGTGTCAGACCAGTTCCGTTAGAACTTCATGTGCAAGTAATACTTATTTTTGTTAAAATGAATTACGAGTCCGGGGTTAAGTTTAAAAATGTCATTAAGAGCACTTAAAAATGTTTAAATATGTATATAAGACAATTTCTTTTAAACAAATTGAGAAATTTAAATAAATAGGGTATAACTTCAAAAACTTAAATTTTTTTATTATTTTTTGGTATACATTATAATTGTACTGAAATTAAATATTTTTTTTGGGGATTTTTCCATTTTATGGGTGTTAAACGGGTATAAAGTAAGCCAAAAATGTAACATGCTTAAAAAAAATGGGAATTATTTAAAATCACGGACCTAGAATTTTTCATCGATAAATATTGATAATTTCTACTCAAAAAATTAAGAAATGAAATTTATTTTAGGGTTATAACATCACTCATAACGCAACTCGATTAGTGGCCATGGGAAAACCGATATACAATGCAATTCTTAAGTATAGTTTAGAAAAGCCGGTGATAATATTTGTTCCATCGAGAAAACAAGCTCGACTTACAGCTATTGATCTTTTGACGTACACTGCAGCCGATAACCAGCCCAATCGTTTTATACATGCCGAAGAAGAAGATATTAAGCCTTTTGTAGAAAAAATTACAGATAAAGTAATTTTCATTTTTGTTTGTAAAATATAAAACAATTACCTTAATCACTTGCTAAATATGTGGGCTACCATTGTTGTGTTTAGACTTTAAAAGAAACCCTGCTTCAAGGAGTAGCTTATTTACACGAAGGAGTTAGCGCTCAAGATCAACGGTGGGTACAACAACTTTTCTTTACCGGAGCTATTCAAGTCGTAGTCGTTACGAGAAGCCTTTGCTGGGCTCTTAGCATAAATTCTCACTTAGTAATAATAATGGACACTCAATTTTACGATGGAAAAACACACACGTAAGTAATAAGTGAACATTGGTGGAAACATAATGTTACTATTAAATAGTAATTTTGATTGATATTTTGTTTACTATTTTCATCGTAGATACGAAGATTATCCTATCACTGATGTTATTCAAATGGTGGGCAGAGCTAACAGGCCATTGGACGACGACGACTCTAAGTGTGTGTTAATGTGTCAGTCATCTAAGAAAGACTTTTTCAAAAAGTTCCTTAACGAACCGTTACCAGTTGAAGTAAATTGTCATTTATTATTTATAAATAAATTCAACATTGTATTACCTTTATAACTAAATGTTTTATTATTCGTTTACTAATAGAGCCATTTGGACCATCGACTCCATGATCATTTCAACGCCGAAATTGTAACCAAAACGGTTGAAAACAAACAAGACGCAGTTGACTATATGACCTGGACGTTCCTTTATAGACGATTAACGCAAAATCCAAATTACTTCAACTTACAGGGTGTTTCTCACAGGCATTTATCTGATTATTTATCAGAGCTGGTAGAGACCACATTAACTGATTTGAATCAGTCAAAAGTATGTTGAAACGTTTTTTTACAGACAACATAATGTAGTATTTTCATTTAAAATGGATTGCATACTTATTGTCATAACTTACGTATCATCGACCTTTCTAAGTTTTATAAAATAAGAGCTAGACTTTTGTATTTAAGGGACCTTTACACTAGCATTTCTAAAGGTGCATTGGTACAGACAATTTTTCTAGCTGTCTTGCAGGGAAAACATTCTTTTAGATAGGACGGGTGGTTATTTCATTGCTGGAGAGAGGGATGTTGAGGGTTCCTTTTTGTCAGGCAATTACATGCGCAGTAGACGAGGCACCTGTAGCGTAGAACAGCATTAATGAGTGCCAAACATTAAATATAAAATTTAAGCTATACAAAATAATTATTTCTCTAAATAAAATGAATAAACTAACTACTCTTTATTTGACTAATAATTTTTTTTTAATTTTTTTTTAGTGTATAAGTATTGAAGATGAGATCGATTGCATACCATTAAATTTGGGTATGATTGCTGCTTACTATTACATAAACTATACGACTATTGGTGAGTAATAGAATTTGTAACTATTTATCAAATTTTATGTATTTGATTAAAATTTACATTTAAAATAAATGTTTATTGTTATTTTTATTTAGAATTGTTTTCGTTGTCATTAAATAACAAGACCAAAATCCGAGGCTTGTTGGAAATTATTAGTTCGGCCGCGGAATATGAAAAAATTCCCGTAAGACATCGTGAAGACACTCTGTTAAAAAGTCTTGCTCAACGTTTGCCCAATAAACCCCAACCAGCCACGGGACAAGCTTCTGTTCGTTATAATGACCCGCACGTGAAAGTTAATTTGTTACTTCAAGCTCATCTATCACGTTTGCAACTCGGTGCCGAACTTCAAGGAGATACAGAAGTCATTTTGGCAAAAGTAATATATAATAAAATATTATATTATATTATATAAAAAAATTTAACAGTTTATTATTTTATTTTAAGGCCATACGATTAATTCAAGCATGTGTCGATGTTTTAAGTTCAAATGGCTGGTTGTCACCAGCTGTGGCCGCTATGGAATTAGCACAAATGATTACCCAAGCGATGTGGGCTAAAGACTCATATCTTAAGCAATTACCACATTTTACATCGGATATTATTAAGAGATGCACAGAAAAAGTAATTTTGGTTTTTTCCTGTAGTATGTAGACTAGAGTATGCTATAATGTAATGTCAGTGGGTCAGTAACAAAATTTAAATAGAATAATAAATTCAAATTATTATTCAGATTATAATATTATAAAACAATTTGTTTTATTTATTGCTTCATTTGTATAAAAATTAATACAAATAAGGCCCAATTTTGATTGTAATATATTTTATTTTTTAGGGCTTAGAAACCGTGTTTGACATTATGGAGTTGGAAGACGAAGACCGTACAAAACTATTACAACTCAACGACAGTGAGATGGCGGATGTGGCCAAATTTTGTAATCGTTATCCTAATATCGAGTTGAACTACGAAGTGGCAAACAAAAACCGTATATCTGCTGGGTCTAGTGTAAACGTTACGGTTAATCTAGAAAGAGAAGACGAAGTTGTTGGACCTGTTATTGCACCGTTTTTCCCACAAGTGAGTTTTACAATCTCGAGCTGATCCCGGCTCTATTTGGCCAACGTTGGCCACTTGTGATACTACGCTGTTTGTGCTACAGAGCTGTTCTGTACTGGTCGATTGTTGGTAAATTCGTCACATTTATGGCGATAGTAATGATTGGTATATACTAAAACTATATTAATTTCTTGTTTTTACCTAGAAACGCGAAGAAGGTTGGTGGCTTGTCATCGGTGATCCGAAAAATAATTCTTTGCTATCCATCAAAAGATTGACATTACAACAAAAAGCAAAAGTCAAGTTAGACTTTGTTGCGCCTAACCCGGGTAAGTTATTTGAGATGAAATTATTATATTTTGTAGAACTTTTAATTGTTTTATATATTAATAAAACACAATTTTTGCTTTGTAAAAATTTTAGGAAATTATTCATACACCTTATATTTTATGAGTGATGCCTACATGGGTTGCGATCAGGAGTACAAAATGAACATCGAAGTCGGTGATTACGAATCTGCAGGTAGTGAGTCGGATTAATTATATTTTTATTCATAACATTGACGGAGTAAGTTTTAGTGTAATTTCGAACTTTTGTGTTCAAAATGAAAACCTGTGTTTTGTATGTAATTTTGATAAGACATTATTTTTACTAATTTACTTATTATTATGTTAGAATATAATATATACACTGATGTTCTAATTATTATAATTCATTGTTTTCTACTTTGTACATTTTATTTTATAGAATAGAAAACAATATTGTACATTTACGTCTTGTTTATTTATTTACACAATTTTCTTTAGATTTTGAACAAATACACATAAAAAAAACATTAGTTATAAAAATTATAATATTTAATAAAACTATACTCGTTAGTCCTAAATGATGTAAACAAGAATACATTTTTTTCCGGTAATATACATATATTGCTGGACTTAAACATTTCCATTTGTTTGTTTCCATTAACAATAAAATCTGTAATAAGACTTGTTATGAATTGCATATATTTTATGTTAAAGCTTTTTATTTCTACCAAAATTCATTGTCCATCGGTTTTTGGTTTTCCATATCAGAAAACTAACAACCATAAACTTTTATGAAATAATTGAATTGTCTCTTTAATGCTCTTATATTATACTTATTGGTAGAATTTTGATTTTTGAGCTTATGCTTTACCCACCGGGCCATTGCTTAGTTATATAGTTTATTTATTGTTGACGTTTCATAATGCCGTACGGAAGTAAAAAAAAAAGTATACTAAATTATTTTAATATTTCTCGAGAAGCTGAAAACTGGCATTTTTATATTGTATTCACTATCTAGTTCTTTATAAATCTAGTTGACACAAATAGCAGCCATATGTTATCCTTTATATTATGTTACATTAAGTACAATAATTAGTGTTAAAAAAAATTACTTGCTATTGGTTTGTCATAGTTACGTATTCAATAACGCGATTTTCTATTTTATAATCCCACAAAAAATTAAAAACATATATACGATAAAGAATAAGGTTTAAAAACAAACTTGTATATTTATATAAAAAATATTAAACTATAGCAGTTCTTGAAATTTTATTGTATGAATACGCAGTTTGTATTTCAATAATTACTGTGTTTATTTTTTACAATGGGACATTTACATAGGTAATATTTGTTGCTTATAAATAAATAATATTCTCAATTAGTCGTAGATTGAAAACTTACAGCACCTTTTCCAAGAATGGCCGACTCTTTAAAACTGGATTTTGAAGATTGCCTATGCAAAATAATTACACACGAGTATTAAAAATAAGGTGGTGTATTGATAAGTGGAAATAGTTAAAGGTTTTTAACCTTGCTTTTGCCTAACATTTTATTCAAATATTTGAGGAGACTACCTTATCTATCTAGGTATGATATATTATATTATATGTTTTTTATTTTAATTTAGAATTTATTGACAGTTACAGGTTCAGCTGCGAAACTAAGTTTAAATAACTTGCGTATGAGATTCAAGTATTTTTAGGGGTACTCGACTTACGATTTACTGTAAAGCCTTTCGGCTGTTCCAGGTTTTTGGTCGTCCGGTGGATCTATTTCTGGTTCCATTGGTCTGTGACTTAATGGTTTGGCTATGATTCGTTTGAAACGGTTTATTCGGTCCACGTCTTCCCAAAGAATAACATTGGTGTATAACTCCACTGTCTGCAGAATATTCGTATGTAATAAATTACTGTGATTATCGCGAAACTCGATCAGAATCCGAAAAGGTATTTGTTATTGTCATATTTAACAGTGGTGCCTAGTTAGGTAAGTGAAGGTAGTAGGTACTCTTTTGATTTATGGATAATATTTATAAGTACCTACAAGTTTTTCCTAATTATGTAAAACTTATTTATTAAGATTAAACAAATAGATAGATATTGTTCTCAGAAAATAAACCATGTACTCATTAATGAAACCTAAAAATATCTATCGAGGAGTCGCAACGGAAAGTAGCATTGTCTTTCTGGGAAAATTGGAATTGTTTTATTTCTGAAAACTACCCTCTGATACCTACGCACGTGTACTAAAAATGTTAAATATAGCCAAAAACCATTTTTGAAAAGTAATCCTTTGGCCGGCACAAGCGGGCTGCGGGGGCTCGATTTCCAAGAAACAAGTGGGACGTGCTCGAGACACTGGGCATATTAGAAAGTACCATTCTATCTTTACTACAGGGTTATACAGGGTGGTCGCGTTACTGACTTTTTCGTATTCGGCCGTCACCACGCTGTTGACGATAACTGCGTACACGTTCAATACGCCGTGTGGCCATTCGAAAAACGCTTCGCAAGAACAGGCGTCGTCGAGCGGGCACACCTTTTTGCCGGGCGGCGCCATCGCGTAGAACAAACGATGCTTCCTGACCTTGAGCACGTCCAGGCTGTTCGCCAGTTGTCTGCCCAACAGTCTGGGCTGCGTTACGCTCAACCGTTGCGTGCAGTGCACATGGATCGCGTCGATGCCGTTTAACAGTTCTAAAACCGTGACTTGCACGTCTCTGGACTTCATTTTTGTTGGCAGCAGCAGTTCCTTATTGTTACAATAATATATAAAAAATGTTATAAAAAATTAAGACCATTATGTCTGTTTAGTATCTATGAACACAAACATATTATAATATTATAATGTTTTTTGAACCGTGTAAAAAAAAAATGAAAAATTCAATTGAACAACAACTGAAACAAACTGAAATAATAATATTATTCCAATAAAAAATCGATTATTTTTTTTTCAATCGAATAATGCTCTTTAACTCGGATTGTAAATCTAAAAAACCAATATTGTTTTCATTTTTCGCCAAAGCGGTCATTCGAAATTGAACTGTCAAACTGTAATAACGTGTTTGTTAAAAAATAAAATATATATTATATTATGCAGTGGTGTATTCGTGAACACGGCACGTAAGTGGGTAGAATATATGTGTTTTAATAGAAAACAAAATGTAAGTAAAAATAAATGGATATTTTTTGTTTAAACTATTTTCTATAGTCGATTGTCGAAATACTTTATTTTAAGTTATTTCCATAATATTTTACCAATGACATTTTGTCAATTTTTTCAGTACAAAATAAAATATGTAGTTGGCGTATAATTTATGACTTGAAAATTAGAATAATTCTCAAACGAATATATTTTTTTAGGTGTACACGCGAGAAGTGTGCTGAAACTGTTTCAATTATTATAAAATACAACAAGACATATTTAATTGCATAGTTAAATAAGGCTTGATTTGCCTTGTTTGTTTGTCTGCTGGATAATAAGTTAAACGTTTCGAATTACACGAGATAAAAAACGTCTCTGTGATCAAAATCTCAAAGATCTCATTATTTATATTTCCCTCCCAAAACAAAACCCTATATGAGACAGCTCTCCGAATTATACCGCTTTTGATTGCAAAACGCATGCATACATTCTTTTAAATAAAACAGTCCCCATTTCGGATACACGATAGCATTGTGAACAATATACATATAATATCTTTTTGTTGTAATAAAAAATAGACAATATATTATATAATAATAAAAGCTGTCCAGACCCGGCGTTGCCTGAGATTTAGTCTGCCGGGGCTGAGTACAAAAATTCCCATTCCCCCATTCCCACCCCCATCCCCACTTTCATCTCCATTCGTCATCTCTAATCTCTTATCTCTTATCAGATAACAGCGTGACTGTGTTTTTGTGACACTTTTCCAGTTATTATGTCCTCCTCTCATTCAAGGGTCTCAGTCCCAGATCCCGTTCCAACAGTTAAAAGCTTGCCCGGGAATCGTGGTACATAGAATCGGCCAGTTCCTTTAATCATCACCTACCATTTGCTCGAGTACCGTGGTTACTATGGTTACAAACCAAGTGTTTATTTTGGGTTACCATGGATACAAACATTTAATTTATTTACATTTCGTATTTAAAGTACAAAGTTCATGTTTGAGGCCACACTTAGGGGTGGAATTTTCGAAAAGTACTATGTCAGTTAGGTTCGCGGGTGTGTACTCAACAACTTCCCCAAGTTTCATGGCGATCGGATGAATGGTGTACTAATGCATAAAGGACAGACAAACAGACAGTATTCATTTTTATATATATATTTTATACTACAGTTTACAATTCTGTCGTTGTCAGGTTCATTAAAATAACAGCAGACTATACCGTAGCGTATCAGCTAAAAAAATTAATAGGTAGGTAAGATGATCTCTAAAGATATTCACTATTCTTATACAATAAGATTTGTATTTATACCAACCCTGTAAGAGGAATAAAATCGAACAACGATAAAAGCAAGGCTGTGCCAAAACCAATGCGTTGCTTTACTGTGTGTTTAGCGTGTGCGGATAAGCGTAAGATTTAAGTCTTAACAACAACATGTTCCTTTATTCTTTAACTTTCTTTTCACTCTCAGCCGCATTTCTCGATCTTTTGTTAAAATATAGTTCCTTCTATAACAATATGTTATACTGTATTATTTCCCCCCTTTTCTTCAATATTAATATTGTGTTTTTTTTATGTATTCAAATCTTAATGGAAAAAAATTTAAACGAATATTAATTTTCACTCCAGATTGCCCCAAAATACCACGGACACTTAAAACAGAATTTGACGCAGCTTTTAAAATTACTTCTCACGATCTGACAATGCTGGAGATCGTCCAGTAGATTATTTGGTGTTATAATTGAACCAATTTAAAAAAAAAATTGTCAATAACTGTTGAACTTCTATTAAGTAAGTTGACGTGAAATTTCCCGGTTGGAGAGCCCAATTTCCTTGAACGCCATAATTTTTTTCATCAGCCTTTCTTCATGTGTTATTGGTTTTCCTCGACCCATAGTAATTTTTTCACAAGAAAATTATATTATTATTTATTATATGTTTCCAGTATTTTACAGAATAATATTTTATTATTATATGTATATACTTTATTTTATATATATTTTATCTTTTTGTCGTGCATTGCACCTTTGCCCGTATCATTTTCAGTAAATAAAAGTAAAACCAGACGTTTTAATATAAATTGATGTATTTCTTTTAATAACTTAAACACCGTACATTTATAATATCATTGGATTTAAAATTGTCTTCTTCCGTAAATCACAATACTTATGTTGTAATATTTATTATTTGTAACCAGGCAACGTTCAATAAAACATTACCATTATTTGGTTTTCTATTTAAAAGTAAACATATTATATTTCATATTCATTATGATGGACAACTCTAAAGAAGTAATCAATGCACCTGGGAATTCGGATACTCGGGTAACGGCAGGGAAGAGTGCGGACGCAGGCTCAACCCGGTCGACATTCAGCGACTGCAGCGTAACCTTCGGGGTGGAGAAACAGGCTTCGGAGGCTAGCAATGCTACTGGTGATGGGTGTGAAAAGCAGGCACCCACTAGTGGTCATATGGCCATTGATACTACTGCACTTAGTGGGATAAGGGAGGAGATAGAAGTGGTCGAATCAAATGACTGGTATGTCAAGCAAGAGCCAACCATTGAACATCCATGGCCCGGTTTTCAGGACACGTTGGAACCCAGTGTTCTTGATGGGATTAAGGAGGAGATAGAAGTGGTCGAATCAAAAGACTGGTATGTAAAGCAAGAGCCAACCATTGAACATCCATGGACCGGTTTTCAGGACACGTTGGAACCCAGTGTTCTTGATGGGATTAAGGAGGAGATAGAAGTGGTCGAATCACAAGACTGGTATGTAAAGCAAGAGCCAACCATTGAACATCCATGGTCCGGTTTTCAGGACACGTTGGAACCCAGTGTTCTTAATGGGATTAAGGAGGAGATAGAAGTGGTCGAATCAAAAGACTGGTATGTCAAGCAAGAGCCAACCATTGAACATCCATGGCCCGGTTTTCAGGACACGTTGGAACCTAGTGTTCTTGATGGGATTAAGGAGGAGATAGAAGTGGTTGAATCAAAAGACTGGTATGTAAAGCAAGAGCCAACCATTGAACATCCATGGCCCGGTTATCAAGACACGTTGGAACTCAGTGTCCTTGATGGGATTAAGGAGGAGATAGAAGTGGTCGAATCACAAGACTGGTATGTAAAGCAAGAGCCAACCATTGAACATCCATGGTCCGGTTTTCAGGACACGTTGGAACCCAGTGTTCTTAATGGGATTAAGGAGGAGATAGAAGTGGTCGAATCAAAAGACTGGTATGTCAAGCAAGAGCCAACCATTGAACATCCATGGCCCGGTTTTCAGGACACGTTGGAACCCAGTGTTCTTGATGGGATTAAGGAGGAGATAGAAGTGGTCGAATCAAAAGACTGGTATGTAAAGCAAGAGCCAACCATTGAACATCCATGGCCCGGTTATCAAGACACGTTGGAACTCAGTGTCCTTGGTGAGATTAAGGAGGAGATAGAAGTGGTCGAATCAAAAGACTGGTATGTTAAGCAAGAGCCAACCATTGAACATCCATGGCCCGGTTATCAAGACACGTTGGAACTCAGTGTCCTTGGTGAGATTAAGAAGGAGATAGAAGTGATCGAATCAAAAGACTGGTATGTCAAGCAAGAGCCAACCATAGACACGCCGAAACCCAGTGTTTGGTCAACTGGCTATTCTAAAACTGAAGGTCAAATCAAATATTGCCTTCGAGACATGGGGCTTGTGAGCGTTAAAAGACCTCCAAGAGACGATCATTTCGACCAGCCACCGATGAAAAAATCCAAGTAAACAAACAACTACAAAAAAAAAAAAAAAACCAAAAAAATAGTATGCATTATTTATATATTAAAACAATTGCATAATTTTATAGAAAGCCCTCCAAAAATCCCGTCGGACTCGAAGGCTTTGACTACGTCGGTTTTGATGTTCCGGACTTAGATGGTGACTCAACGTTCATTATGCACAACCAATCTGATCTATCAACTTGTTCATGTGGATATTGCCGGTTTAGGTACGTTTATTTCTATAATTACTTCCTAAAAATTAAAACTATAACGGATGTATCGGTTTAAAAAAAACGAAGCTAGTGTGATCTCATTAAACAGTTTATCTCTGCGTTGTTTTTAATGAACTCATACTGCTCTATTATCTAATATTTACAAATTTACTAGGATCCTCCAAACTAGAGCTATCGCTTCTTTTTTGGTTTCTCTTACTCATTTTGTAATGTGGAAAATTCGCTGTAGTACAACTTTCACATTAAAAAAATAATAATAAATAAAGCCGTAAATTCAACACATATTCTGAATTCTGTGTGTTCTTTTAGCGTTTTTTAAATATTCTATATATGTTGCTCAGTAATTAAATATTTCCATTTTAAGTACATTTAATTACAACAAAAACAAATATATTTCACGTCTTATTAGACGTTTTTACTTCTAGTGAAGAATTTAATTAATTTTTAAGTGTAGTTAAAATTTAAACATCTATTATAATTAACATTTCATTTATTGGACAATACTTTTATTTAAATATTGTTTTGTAATATTAATTTCTAACGATTTTTTTAAAAAATATGTTCTTATAGTTTAACAGACGAAGAGGAAGATGAGGGGAAAATTCAAAATACCACGAGCACTTAAAACAGAATTTGACGCAGCTCTTAAAATTACTCTTTTCTCACGATCTGAAAATATGTGTATTTTATCTGAAATATTACCAAAGTTTCAACGACGGTGTAGAACAGTATTTTTCTACGATTTATTTTTATATTCCAACAGTAGCGCTATAAATTATTATTTTATTACGCACTTATTAAGTACAAAGGAACTCCGAACTACGAACTAAAGTGTTGGGATTGTAATAAAAACCATTTTCTCGAATTACATTTTTAAACTTTCAAAACTAATTTTTGGATTAATTGTGTTTACAGTCTGTATACTATGAATTTCACTATAGAGAACATTGTTTTTACCGTTGGGAAAATATGATAAAAATCTTTAACTAGCAAAATCGTTTATAAAACGGAGTTTGTAGTTAAATAGGTCAAAACCGCAGTTATCAAGCAAAAACGAGGATTAATCGTTTCTTAATATATGGTAAATTATCAAGTTTTTTGGTGTTATAGAAAGCTTATTTAATTTTTTATTTTTTTTCAATTGGGGTTTTAAAACTATGAAATATTTAAATATAAAATTATTAAGCTACATGAAAAAATTAAAAAAAACGCATTCAGGCTTTTAGGGTTACGGCACAATGTCATTTTACAAATAAAATTATTATTTAAAAAAAAACCCCTTATTTGATGAGAAGATTTAAACTTTTAAATAAGTGTTAAAACTTGTCCTTAGCTCGTTTTGGTGTTATTAGTGCTTTTCAATATTTTCCTTTTCTGGATTTTGGGTAAGTTATATATAAATTTATAAATGCATGTTTTTTATTGCTTTCGATGGAGAGGGGGTACAGATGCAATAACCTAGTATGTTTAAGCCATAGATGTAACTATTTTTGTAACCATCTGTTCAATGATAATCAGTTGATGTTAGGATCTAACAACCCTAAAATGTTTACACAACAGTAGGTCTTAACAGTGGGCCATAACTGAAAGATACCAGTTTAATTAGTTTGCATTAAATCATAGTCGTAATCTTCTACTTCAGAAAGAGACAGTATAGTTAATTACCTTGGAAATAGTAATATTATCTCCTAAGTTTCCTATAAACTTGCAACTATTTACGAAAAAAAAAAACTTGAATGTCTCGATTTGTCCTTTCCAGTTTATGTGGCGCCTCTTAAATTTAATTGTAATTTCGGTTCCGGTTTAGGGTAATAATATATCTATCGCCACACACTAAATTGTATATTACTACACAGACAAACATGAAGTTTATTTGTTTTATGATTCATAACTCGGAATTCAACTAAGACCTACATAAGACAGTAGAGGTTTTTCTTTCCTGGCTCACCTCTGGTTTAAATTCGTTTAGCATACTGATCATGTAAAATTTTCACGGTCTTGTATTGTATTAGCATATTATTAATTTGAATGTAAAGTGAGTGTGCTGGGCTACATAATTATTCGGTTCGGACGTTGTCCCAGGTTAATTGATAATTAAATGAAAATAAGCTAGAGGACTGATATATTCGTAGGTTTAACAATTAACTTACATTTAGGAATTCCTGTAGATATCTTCTGGGAATTAATTTATCTTACTACAGTTTTGGACTCTTAAACTCGAGTAGAATTTGCTGTTTTAACACTTGCGACTGATGATGCTTTTAGAATTTAAGTGGAAGATATTATATAGAATATTAATTTTTGTTTGTTTGTGTGGATTTTTAAAATAAGCACAGCTACCATCAGAAATCATGTGCAAGTGGTCAAATCATATCATGTATTTATAAGAATTTTTCAGTCGAAAAAGTTCAAGTCTACATTGTGCAAATATGATATATTTATTTTGAAATTCGTGAATGATTAAAAAAAGAAGTTTTCATGTTTAATCCAAGACTATAGCAATATAATTTTACATAATGACAATCACATAAAAGTATATTCTTCATTGATAATTCTCTTTGAAAAATATGATATGTTTGATGTGGTTTAAATTTTAATTAAGAAAATGAATTAGCAGACGAAAGCCATTTGCTGTCTTTTGCTGAACTTTACACACTAACAAATAAAGGTATCTTTATTAAATATTTAGGACTTCCGTATTGTGTAACTTCAAAAACACTCAAATAACTGAAATAAACATTGAAATATAATACTTGATACAATTTATAAAAGAAGATATTATAATAAATCTTAACACCGTTTTTACTTGTATAGCGGTGCTATTTTAAATCATTAATATGAATTAAATTACTTCAAAGTTGCAAAGAAAAAAGGATATAAGAAAACCTATTTGAAAATTTCAAAAGAAGACTTAAAGATTAAGAACTTTGCAGTGTCTGATATGACAGGATTTGTATGCAATTATTGAATACTTATGTAAATTAGTTTTTTAAACTTATTTTATTTAGAACTCATTTATATTAAGTAATAAATATAATGCAACAGCAAACGAGATGTTTTTTAGAACTATGTAAACGGAATTTCCCGGCTTGAAATGTCCAATCCTAATCTAAGGGATTTGTATTATATACATTATTGTCTTTTCAATCATGGCAATTTATAGGTAATATGTGCGTAAAGCATTAGCTAAGAGAAGCCTAGAAATCACTACACGTAGCTTATAACAACTCACAAATTGACAAAGATGTGGTTAACTAAAAAATATATAACATATTTATATTCTTTATTGTTTAAAAACATTGTTAAAATAAAACAATTATTCTAACATCTGAACTATCTGTGTATGTTTTTTAAATCTCAAAATGAATTACTTTCACAACTGGCATACTCTCGTCCTTTTCATTTACGTGATCAATAATTAATTTTATGGGACATTTAAACTTTACAATTAAGTTGACAAAACGTAGTTGTAATTATATATTTCTTTTTATTAAGGAAAAACATAAGGGTAGAATATACTTAGGTTTGTTTTGACCGTAGTCAATTTCAAGGTTGCCATAGATTTTATTGAAGTTAATCAACAGGTATCCGAAAATAGTTTCATTATGTTGTTGATAAAAGATATAATAATGAACAACGGCAACAAATTGTCGAAAGTCGATCAACGTTAATACAATTGAAAAATACAATTTTAAGCAAATTTTTCAATTATTTTATTACCTCCTTTTTTCCCTCTACCATCTACGGATACGCATCGAAGTGCGTTTGTTCGTCAATGATTTTATCACGTCAGTTATGATGCCTATTTGCCGGAAACCCGTAACATCCCCAGTCCATTATGCTCCGTCCCCACTGTGTTTCCAACTCATCGTGCTGGCTTTTTTATTTTTATTGTTCAACAGAGCGTAAATTTGTTTAAAAGTACATTAAAGGATCATCGTCAAATATTACACAGCGGCGCGAGGATATCGCCGGTGGTGTAACGTCGTCGTGTACAGAATAATGTTTTAAAAAGGCTTTTTTACCACTGAGGTTTAATACTTCTAATCTCGATGCAAAAATATACATACATATACACGTGGGGCTGTTTCGAGGACTTCTGGCCTTGTGCTTTTGTTTGGGGTTCGCTTTTAAGATCACGGATGTACAACGAGACAGCGCTATACACGTCGGGATATAACCGATCCGGCTGGCGGTGTTTAAGGGCGGTGCGTGGTGGTAGTCTTCCGGCAGTCGGCACAGCACAACTGTTGTTGGCAGCGCATCGTTCGTACCGCGTTTATAAGTGGCGGCCACCGGGCGTGTGCGTTTTTCGGTTAAATTATAACGTTGTAAAAATTCAAATAAAAAATAGTTAAAAAATTGCATTGTGCACGTACGACTATAGGTAAGTGTTATCATCCGGAGTGAAAAAAAAATATAGTTTAAAAATTGTATTTATCATAATACACATTATTACATGTTCATGTGTATAAAATTATATATATATATATATATATATTATAATTTATATATAAATATAGCAATAGGATATACCTGGAAATTATTAAAAGAAAAGCCAGCTATAAAATTATGATTAAGGGGAACGAAAATCGCCGATTTTTTTACAAATAAAGACTATAACGAGAAGTGACTACCGAACAGGTTTCAAAACATTTTTGTTTTTTTGTAATTAAATTTAACATCTTCTCTATAGGGGGCGATTATTTATTTTTGTTTTCAACATTTTATTATAAGCGTTTATATTTTTACTTTTTTAGAGTTTTTTTACTCCGATATATCTAACTAATTTCCTAAGAACTAAATAAAAAATCAGCTTTTTAGCTCTCATGGAGAAAATAGTAAGCTTCACATACAAAAAAAAAAATTGAAATCCGTCCAATAGTTACGCCAGAAAATGTTTTCTATGTAAGTCATTTTTTTATTAAACTTTCGCCATAACTCGAAGAAAAACTTGAAATGGTTTAACTAGAAATTTTTAATATTTTTTTCTTCTTAAAATTAGTAGGCATATTTGAAATGGCTACTAGATCAATTTGTACGAATTGCTAAAATGTGTCTACTTCTTATTGCGAAATAACGACGGTACGTCATTTTAGACGGTAAAAGTGAAAAATAAAAAATTAACAATAAGTTTAAATAAATTAAAAAAATCGTTATTTTAACAAGAATGTTTGATAATTAAATTGATAAAACGATTCTTCGTTGTTATCATAGTTAAAAAAAACTGACTGTTTTCAATATACTTCAATACTGTTAATATTCTTATTTTCATTGCGGTACAAAAAGATTAAAGAACGACCATTTTTGTTTAAGACTTACACTAGCGGTTAGTTTTAATTTATATGAAAAATAGTTAATATATATCATGTTGCTACTATTTAAACAGATTCTGAACAATTCCAACATTATAATTAATAGTTAAACTCAGACGGCACTTGGGTTATGCAATTTTGATACACAAAATTATGGTTGCATGCAATATAATTTATTTGTAATGAATCAACAATTTTCAATAAATTTTGGCACTATCATTTTACAAATTAGTTAAAAACCAAATTGAAACCGATTCGTTAGTTATTACTTATTACCAAACTGATGGAAGATTATAAATAATAATTTAAAATTTTATATATAATATGGATACTGCAAGTCTTTTTTTGCTTGAACTAGTAAAATTTAATAACGTTCATCACTGCGTCAGAGTTAAAAAGAGTGTCAAAAAAATTATGTAAATTGAAAAAAAATGCAAAAATTACATGCGATGGCCGGGAATCGAACCCGGATCAACTGCTTGGAAGGCAACTATGCTGACCATTACACCACCATCGCAGATGGTAACACTGCATCTTTTCGATTTCATTTTAACTCAATCTTATTTTCTAGAAAAAAAAATCGTCAAAATATAATAGTATATTTTGTAAACTTCGGGTATTATTTTAAGAAAATCAAAGATTTTGAAATTTCTTGAAATTCTAAGAGTACAAAATAATATAATCATTGTAAAACATTTTTGGTTGAAAATTACTTCTGAGAAACCACCCGAGCAAGTTTAAACAATTGCATCTCATAGACCATTAACCCTTTATTTTTTAGTATTAGAATTAAGATACTTAAAAAAATGAATAGAAAAGGCGACAGCCTCTTCACTTCTCCGTGTCTCCACGCCTTTGTGATCTTTTGAGAACATAAAGAAAGTGTTGTAATTGCCTGTATAAACACACTGTTTCGTTTTAGTAGCAACGAACAAGGCTTGTAAGGGAGACCCAGGTGAAGAGCAACAGCTGTTTTTGGGGATAGTCCGTTGGATAGGTATATTTAATTTAGGTACCTTTTCTGTTCTCGGCGATGGGCATGACAGTAATTTTACGGTATTTTAGTGTATGCTAAAAAAAGAAAAAGAAAGATTTACAACCGTTGAAATAATTCGATTAATCGTGTACTTTTGTAGACGTGATTAATGGAACATTAATTTTGTACAACTACAAAAAAAAAAAAAACGCTATAAAAACTCTTTTAGTGTTTTTTTTAAAACACGAAATTGTTAAATAAAAACTACAAATTGTTTTAACGCAACATATAAATATATAATATATTAAACCTAAATTATAAACGTATCTTCGTTCTCGTAGATCTAAGGGATTTAATCTTTAATTTCTTTTGTAAAAAATGTACAAAAGAAACACATTTGTTTTACACTTCATTATTCAAACCGCTATACTTGTAATTATGATTTATAAAATATATTGTTACTGTTAGGGAAGCATACTTTCTTTTGAAAAATGTAAGTATAAATAATAGCATTTCAGTTATTATGACTTTATTATGTTTTCTTAATTCTTACGCTCAGTTACTTTTTTGAACGACGTCGTCCGTGTACTGTGTTTAATTTGTTTTGCTCACAACTTACAAGTCAAACTCAACAAATACAATAAAAAGTTAAGACTTATAATAAATAATTTACAATGTTGTAGTAAATAAAATCAATTTTTACAAGTTGGGAAATGTAGAAACAAAGATTGGATTGTTAGAATCGTACTGAGAAGAAGCAAACGAGATAAAAAAAAAACAACAACAGAATAACGGGTGTGACGTGTTGGGATATGAAAGTTTATTAGGGATAAAAGAGTAGGGAAGTTAATCCTGTCGGTTAGCACGTTGAAAAAGAGGAAACGTTCCATGATTAGAAAAAGTACTAAGAAAAAAGGCTGGGTGTAATCGTGCAAGGGACAAGGGATTTTTTTTTTTGTGTGTAGAGATGAATGAATTTCCTCAAGATACTTTCAACCATAGTACTGTCAGCATCAGTGAGATGGTCCCCGAGGACCATGGTATATTTAAGCAAAGGGCAAAAGGAGGGTACAGTCACTTGATTGGGTTGACTACACGAAATACGTTGGATAAGTCCGTAAGGATTTTCCAGACTTACAACACGTGCTTGTTTGGACACATCCTACGAGTCAAGTCATTGTGAAAGCGACGGTCGTGAAAAATCTCCTGCAAAGACAACGGGGAGACTGTTAATACTTAATGTGGTATGAGGAGCAAGTCGGACATCGTTGTCGTGAACACAACATTTAAGCTAAAGCCAAGGGATTTACCTCGCACGTCATTTTGGTGTAGTAACAATCGTTAATAATACACACAGCACTGTAATTGTTATTTATGCTTAATATTTTACTAACAATTATTTATAGAAATAAAAGGCGAGTTTACATTCAGTATATCCAGTTGTAGCCAATTGCACAAATATCTGTTTTATTCCAAAACTTTTTGGGATTTGGGGGTCGTCTCAAATCCATGTTATATTTCTAATTTAATCCAAACAACATTGGTATTATATTTTGTTGTAATATCTTCTCTTATCTGTCTGTAAAATCTTCTTCAAATAAAAGGTTCATGGTAATTTTGCTTTTTATCCATCTTCATTTGTATATTGCAAATAGTACCCACAAAATTTCAAATATTTTGTCGGCTTTTTTTAAAATTTATTATAGCTAGTAAACAATAAATAACATAGTATACATAGCTGAAATGTGGTTTTTCTTTTACCACAATAGAATCATTTCCACTCGTATGCTGTATAATTTTCGATCGGTGTGTTATACTAAAAGGTTTTTGAGCTCCACGAAAATCGATTCGGATCGCTGGTCGTCGCGTTTATTTTACCCCAAAAGAGGATTACCGAAATTATACTATTTCTCAGACTTCAGGTGGCGAGAATCGAATAAAATACTAGTCCCTATTACAAGGACTTGCATCGGTGCACGGACACACGTACTTTATTTTAACCCTATCGTTTTTCCTGATCTGCGTAGTACATTCCATTAACTTTCTAAACCGATAATCGTATTAGAGGTATTTGATTTTTGGTAAGGTGTACCAATTGTTGTAAAATAAATTTAAGTTGTACAATTGATAACCCCCCCCCCCCGCCACACACACACATAAAAATTATGGTTTTATTAAATTATTGTACATTTTTTTTTCAGTTTAGTGCAAACCTTTTTAATATATTAGAACATTCATCACATAATATAATACCTTAAAACGTATAATATTTTTATCTCGGCCAATGGTATACAAATGACTATGCAACTGTAATAAAATTACAAGTATAAACATTTCTAATATGGAATATTAACATTTTGACATAATATATTGTAAGTATATATTTTTGCATGTGTAGACACTTGTATATTATTATATTTGATGTAATATTGAAGTTACGGGATTTCGTTTACGAAATGCTAACTAAATGTGAAAATAAAAATAAACATGGGTAGTAATTGTATTTAAAGAAAATAGGTATGCACCTACGTGATATCAACTGAGTATTGAAAGTTACAACATATTTTACCGGGTAGTTTTAAATTGCTTTCTCGACAACAACTGAATAAAATCGGTAAAGCTAAAAATGTATGATTGGGGTTTCAATAACACAATTTATTAGCATCCACAGGGAGCTCAAAAAGGTTTCATTGGCATATTCGGGGAGGAGAGAAGGAAATAGGGCAAAAACCCACAACCAATACTCTCATAAGCCGCACTTTCGAATTACTATACCGTGAAAAACACATTATTAAATAATATGTACACGTAATTTATTGTTTTCATTCAACGCTCTTCCATAAATGCAACCATACACCACCAACAGGTATCATTAAACATCATAAAAACTAATATTTCTATGTATTTTATACTTTTTACAAATTATTTGTATATTATTTATATTTATATGTTATTGATTACCAAAGTGTGAAAATAATATTTGACGAAACTTATTTTAGTGAACATTTTAACTATGTCGACTTGTTTAAGAGTAAATCAAAGGATTTTGTTATAAAAAAATAAACAAAATGTGAAACAAATTATTCCATCAGCGCCATTACATAAAATGGTAGGATTTGTTTTGTTAAATTATGAAATCCTAAACCGGGTCAGTTTGAGCTCCAATTTACATTGAATACCGTATTGGGACCGTTAAAAAAAAAGAAATTTATTGAAGTATCAGCACTATAAAATATAAAAAATATTAGGAAAACGAGTTTATATGAAATAGTAATAATTAAACAATTAAATAAACATGCATTGCATTAATTATTATTATTATTTCATATGGTGTTTATGGCCGGGAATATGCCTATTCTTTGGTGTATTAAATATCAGATTTATATAAAAAAAATGTATATTTGTTCCTCTTCTCTTTTCACTGCAATAAATTGTGTCGGATGCTACAGTCTCCACTAGAAGATTTATCGTGTCATTACGGCTGATATCATTATTCAGTTGTTATAATCTCTGAACCAAACTTATTCATCATAGTTTATGACATAAAATGAAGTTAAAATTGTTTTTATTTTTAATAACTCAACCGCCACATATGGGCTTTACAGTTGGATTATTAATGAAAGCGAAAGCGTACGATCGGGGTCTTCTTCTATCCTCTGCGTTTTTAAATATTATAATACTACAACGCTTCAAAATGAATTTTATATCTTTGTCCCGAGGAAAAAAATCCATCGGGGTAAAATCTATACACTATGAAAATTGTTTATGAACGGATTGATCCGCCGGGAAATCCCAAAATTCTCAATAAGCCGATGGTTTATGATGCCGGTTATGTTATTGCTTTACAGGATATTATTTAGCATTACAGATCACGCATACATTTAATTTTGATTCGGATCTAATAGCAAAAATTGATCTTATTAAGCGTTAATTAATGTCAAAAATATAGTACTCAACTATACATATTATTTATTAATTATCATACAATTTAATTCTGTTATTGAAAAAACAAAATATGAATTTGTTACAGAAGGTTATTTGGAATGGAAAAAAATGTTTAAGTATGGAAAAAAGTGAATGTTGAAGAATTACTTTACACGAAATAAAAAACAGGTAAAGATCATAATGTTTAGTTATTGAAAGTAAAACAAACCAGGAAATTAAAAAATTATCAATTTCCGCTTTTCCAATATATATTGTGCATACAAAAATGACGATTATATTACAGTAGTTGTAATTGCGATTGGAAAATATTATTACAGATGATGAATACATACTTTATTGAGTAGATAATAACAATAGCCTATAGGGTATCCAGATGTTATCCAAAGGAGAGTAAAATTTAAAAAAACGTCTTAAATCAGATATCCGTCAATAGTGGAAAAAGTAAAAACATGTTAATTAAATAGATTTTTTCATTCGTTATTCTTGGTTATCGAGAGGTTTATGAAAAATAATACTTTTTGACAAGATTTTTAAATATTTTAAGTTTCTTGATTGTTTAGGTTTAGGCTTTTTCTATATATTCCGGAATCCGACGTTTAACCGACCTTGACCCCACAGAGAAATCTCGAATCTTTTTACAATTTATATCAATGTTCTAAAAAGTGTAATTTTGCATTTTAGACAATATTCAACAGAATTCATAATATGTTTGACAAACAGGCTATCTATTTTTGAATTAAAGTCCAAACTGGTTAACAAGAAAATCATTTTCTTTTATGCAAAGATACCTAGTATTTTTTAGCTTCAAAAAATCAATACTTCCTAAGATTTGCATCGAATCTTCACAAAAATATGATTAATATCATATTTTATAAACGGCCAATTTTATATTTATCAGTTTATGATATAAATTTAATTATGTACAGTTTATTTATTTAACAAAAGGTTATAACTGTAAATCGGTAGAATACTTGAATGTTTTACGGTATAAAATAATGATTGACAAGCTCTTATAATCAAAAACCGTTACAATAACCTAACGAAATATTACTGACATTGATGTACTAGCCGTCTACTAAAAAGTTAAAAGCAACGTTTAGAAATAAAACTTCTTATATGTATTTATTAACGGTTTTTCTCGTCACTATTCTTTAATCGTTTACAATTAATAGTTATGAAGTTACTAATTATGTTTATTACATTATTTACGACACAAAAAAAACCATGTCTTTTAATGAAATTATTATGACTTTTCAAACATGACGTTTTAAAGTACATGCATACGTCCTACATCATTACCACCAGTGTTAATTTGATGAGCCTAAGAAGGTGCGGTTTGGGCAAAGTTAATTTTAGGGGAATTAACTGAATTCAAAACCTTTTTAGTACTAAAGCTAATTCGAATACACATATTATATAGGACTAGTTAATTACCATTATTTAGTAGGTTGCTATATTTTACTGAATAGTGGCAGATTATATTATTAAAAACATTTAAGTAGTTTAGATTTTTTTGTTTTAATACGATATTAAATTGTTAAAGTCATGTGTTCTTAAACTTTAGAAATTCGTATATATATATTGTTTTACTCTCTACCCTTAAAGGTGTTTAAAATTTAAAATAAACAAAGAAGAATATTAATATTTAATGAATGTATTTGCTCCGTTTACCTACTCTCCGAAATAACATTGTTTATTGGTATTAACAAAGAGGGGATACATATTTTAATAATAATTTGAAAACATTACTCCGGGTATTTTAAATATGTTTTTATATATTATTTATTTGCATTTTGATATATTTAGCAGTTTATTGCTTCAAGTTATAACCTATATTTTATTTTATAGTGTAAGTTTCGCTTTTTGAGCTCAAGGCGGTTAACGCAATATTTTGATTGTATAAAGAGCGACCATTTTACTGACGGGAAAATGTATCCCATTAATTGGTTTTTGCTACTATAGTTAATTGTAAACGGTTATTAAACGTCAGTCTCACATAAACCAGTAAACAAAATATTCGACAGCCAATACATAGTCATATTTATAAATTATTATCAATATAAAATTATAAGTCGGTCAATTTTAGATAGGTCGATGGTTGTGAGCAATAAAAAAGTTTACACATCAAAAATAGTTATTAAAATTATTTGTGTTTGCCACAGATGTTTCCCAGTTCGGCGAATACAATTAAAAGCTATGAATAAAATGTATGCTGATTTGTTTTTAATATTTCTTTTGGATAAAGACGAGTACTATATGGATACAACCAGATATGGATGGTCAGTATAATAACTATACTAACTACAGTGATTGAGTTTAACAACAGTGTAGTTTTCCCTCCTATACTATATCGTATTCAATGAACACTAACACCCATAAATCGGCCTGCAATATATTATTATTATTTAACCATTCTATTTCCTCTATTTGGTATATAAACCGAAGAATTCTAGCTGAGTCAACAAAATTCTAAGTTTAACGACCCAAAGATTTAGCGTTTGAGCCGATAAAATATATATTTGGATTTCTGTGGTGGTAAAATGACAAAAGATGATAAATCATTATTTGTTGCTGTTACATTTTTTGGTTTATCGTGTAAAATTGGTATCAAACTTTTTCCAGTACCCACATAACGACACAATAATCTGAAAAGTGTCAATGTTTGCCATTTGTAAATATAAGTCAATTCGGCAAATCATATTTCATTATTCTGATTTTTAACCAATTCTGCTTTAATACGGGAATTTATATTTTTGATTTACAAACTGTGGGTATTGAAATAATAATACAATGACTTATTGACATTGTTATTGAACCAACATAGAGATGTATTTTACTTTTAACAACATTTGTTAGTTTTACACTTGTAGTTTGTCGTCCTAAGTAAACACGAATGGCAGGGGTCGATCAGCGTCAATTTATCCTGTTACACGAAATAGTCGCCGATGTTCAATATATTATTTATAATAAGTAAATATCGGCCAGACGGATTGTCTGATGAGTGTGAACAACTAATATCGATTCGACTAGTAAATTGTTCGGATTTCCAACTCGGCGTAGACGTACACGGGCTCTAAACAAATAGGGGTAGCTTACAATACAATAAAATAATATATTATACGAATGAATGTAAAACATTATAATTTTACATTTAACCACTGTTACCATTTGGGTCGGAGACAATCAAATGTCCTTTGCGGATTGATAAAACGTTTAATCGCAGCTCAGTCGCTAATTAATGGTAGGAATTTCGGTAATTACGGACCCGTGAGATCAACTATCGCCCAGTTTGATAAATCACATTGATAATAGTTGGTTGGATTTGAAATTACTACGGGTAAGTACGGTGACAAGCACGATTTAGAAGCATTGGACAAAAATTATAGTGTGTGTGACCAATAATGTATTACACTTTTAACTCATAAATATGAATGTGTAAAAAAACATTGTCCTACAATTACAGAAACGGGGTGATCCGTTTGACGGAAAACACTTGATATCTCTGGAGATAAAAATAATACTACACTCGTGTTTTGAATTTGAAACTTCAATAATTATTCAGAACTGATTATCGCAACAGTCATATTTTTTGGTAAATTATTCTAAATTAAAAAGTTAATCAAATATATACTTTACCATTTATCTCCAACACCCCCCCCCCCGTTTGTTCATATATTTTTTTTAAATAATTTTTCTTAGATTTATTTTTAAGTTAAATATATAGACTACTTATTTGCACCAAGGATTAGTTTTTTTTACATTCACAATGCTAAATAATCGTTTTTTTTTTTAAGTTAATTTTAAACGGTGTTGAATAATAAGATCACCGTGGTTGAGGTTTTTTTTAAATACTTAATTTTTTACTCCTTACTATATACAACAACAACTGTTGCTTAAGTTTTATTGAGATCAAACTGAGTAATTTGTAATACGCTTTGAATTTTTTATTTATTTTTCCTAGATTTTTAAAATATTTTTTTGTCATTTAAGCTAATACATTAAATCTATAATAATTTTAAAAACATTAAAACAATTATCGTGTGATTTATTACTATAAATAATTATAATAACCGTAAATAAATTGCATACACGATATTAATGTACGTGTTTTTTTCGAATGAGCGAACCATTTATCTCTTTTGTTATTTGGTTCTGTCTTCGAGAACATATTAATATATATACAGCTTAGGCTACGGGGATTTGATAGATTTATATACAATGCATGTATGCAAATCTGTCAAATCCTCGTGACCCACGCTGTGTTATGTAATAAATAACGTATGCAATGAAGTGAATGGTTTATAATACCTATTATCCGTAGATTCGCATCGAAGTGTTGTCACGAAAGTAAATTTACCACTTTCAAGTTTTGTAACTCGGTATTATAGTTATATATTAAATGTTGTAATGTAAAGAAAACGTGGTTAACAATTTTGACAGCTTCTCAGTCTTGAATTATTATTATTATTATTATATTTTATAGTGTTACTATTTTTGAAATAAAAACCATCTTTACTTAGCGTCTTAATGAGTAGTCTGTTCGTTTTAAATATTAAAACAACGATAAAATTGTTAACAATTTTTTATGTTCCTATACCTATACATAGAAAACCTAAGTAGATAGCAACATTATAATACTACTACCTTATATTATAATATACGAGTACGGGTTCTACCTTAATAAAGCAAACTATAAAAACATTTTTATATTATAATTATAACTTTTTCATCACTATTATAATATGTTTAGATTGGGTTGGTAAAAAAAAAAATTCTTGTATATTTTCCTTCGGAATTACAATCCTGTACGTATCTCCATTTGAAAATAAATCTTGTTTGTGCTACTGCTAGACAGTTTTTTTGCTTGGGTTTAAGAGAATAATATTCATACTCCCATATAGATATAAAAAGGATGCGATTGCAAAACTGATAAAATAGGAATTGCTAAACTGAACATTATTTTTCTGAGAAGTTGTGTTATTAAGTTAGAGTTATATTAAGGTCTGAGTAAAATGGAACTTTTCAATTTTAAGTTAGTTGTAATACTAGGGGAAAACAACTTTTGAATTATATATGGTAATGAGTTACGTCTCAAGGTGACATATATTTTTTTTCAAACGTGCATGTAAATTTTAAATTAAAATATAAGTTCTTAACTTTTATGGTAC